GCCATACTTAGCCCTAATCCGGCGCTAGGTATGTTTAGGATTCTAGATCCATTGCTTTGGATATTTGGGTTTGGAGGATATCCGGATTACAGGTGATGCTTTATTGAAAACTGGTCCAGCCGAACAGCAACGCAGGAAGTACATGCTACATCCACCTTGAAATACATTAATTCATCAATCTAAAAGTCTGAGATGTCTTAATTAACTCTTGTTCTTTGTCCCCTCCCGCAATCGCGCCACAAATGTGGCTCTGAAGGTCTCAATTCCAAAATCACGAATGTATATTGTGCCAGCAATGGTTGCGCAGTGTTTTAATGAATCTCTCTGTTTTAGAGGAATTTATTCAAATACTACTTTCTACTATAGAAGCTCCTTGAGGTTCTCCCTAATTGCACTGCCCAACTCCTTTGTGGAGCTCGAACCACCCATATCCTTTGTCCTCAGACCGCTCTCCAAAGTCAAGTTCACGGCATCTTCGATGGCCTTGGCCTCTTCAAACAATCCAAAACTATAGCGCAGCATCAAGGCCGCACTAAGAACGGCCCCAATAGGGTTGGCGATGCCCTGGCCAGCAATATCGGGTGCTGAACCATGTACGGGCTCGAAGAACCCCTTGACCGGCTTCAAGTCGGGTGTCCAGGCAGTGGCGGGGAGATCTGCCAAGCAGCCCGATGGGAGAACACCCAGTGTACCGGGGATGACGGCAGCCAAGTCAGACAGAATGTCTCCGAATGTGTTATCGGCAACGATGACGCCGTTGAACATGGATGGCCTGGTCATCATCAGAGTGGTTGCGCTATCAGCCAATTGATGGACCAATTCCACCTCAGGGAACTCCTTTGTGATAGTCTCTTCGACAATGCGGCGCCAGATACGAGACGAAGCAAGGACATTAGCCTTGTCACAGCTGATGACCTTCTTCACAGGAACGGCAGGTGAGAGTGCCAAGGTAGCAGCCATGCGGGCGATACGCTCGATTTCGCTTCTCTTGTAGCTCCACAGATCGGACGCGTAGTCTGGTTCTTCAACCTTGGGGCCATAGAATGCACCACCGCAGTTCTCTCGCAGGACAATGTACTTGGTACCGCGGACGAGCTCTTCTCTCAGAGGAGATTTGCCCTGGGGAAAGTATTCGGTTGGTCGGATATTGGCGTACACATCCGTCACCTCTCGGAGACGTAGAGTAGCTCCCTCGGGACCTTCGAAGCCGCGTCGCTTGCCGTCCCACTTGGGGCCACCCACGGCACCCATGAGGATGGCATCGCACTTCTTGCCCTGCTCCAGGGTCTCGTCGGTAACGGAGACACCGTGCTCATCGATGGAACAGCCTCCGAACGCCCTAGGGACAAACTTGAAAGTGGCTCGAGCGTTCGGGGAGGCAGAGAGCTGGTCTAGGACAGCAGCGGCTTCTGCCGTGACCTCGGGGCCGATGCCATCACCGCCCAGAAGGAGGATAGAGTATTCTGGCTTAGACATTTTGTATATATATGATTTCGAGATCGTGAAGGGATGGAGGGCTCGTCTCGTTATCGGAATTGTGGAAGATATTTCTGATTCAGCGAGTGAGGTCGGCGACTGCTGGAACCGAACAATGATCTTTCAAACTCGGTGATCTTTTAGTTATCAATAATTATCCTGGGATACAGCCTTAAACATAAATATTCTAATGGTTCTCCGATTTCGCAACAAACACCGAATGTCAACAGTGCCCGGAGGATCACGCGGTGGGGAACATGGCCAACGTTTGAAGTCTCGAGGTATCGGACTTCGAAGTGGTGAAAGTGGAACACTCCCACATCCCCCTCCGATCACGAAGTAACCGCTGTTTTGGCTACTCTAGGGCGGACCACATGACTCACCAGAAGCGTCGGGGTCCCCATGGGGTAGAACAATGTTTGTGGTGTGATTTTCGCAGTTGTACGCAGCCTTGCCCCTGGTTTAGCGTCGTGCCGGGTGATTGGGATGTTTGCTCTACCACTTCCTCCTCCCTGACCCTTGAACTTGAGTATTTAAGATCTCGTTCGTGTCCATTCCTTCCCTTTCGAGCCAGCTTTTCTTCATCACCGTTACTGATACCGCGATTACTGCCATCATGGGTGACGTTACCGACGAGAGCAAACCATCCCACAACCATGTTGACAAACTCAGCGTTGCCAACCCAGAGGAAGGAACAGTATGTCAAACCTCCTGAGAGTGTCTTTCTTGAATACTTACAACGCCAATTAGCTTCCCGTTTACGATGACCCTGAGACGAAGCGCATCCTTCGCAAGGTCGACTATCGGCTGATTCCGATGTTGACACTTCTCTATGTTGTTGGGTTTCTCGACCGCGGCAACATCGGAAATGCAAAGGTTGCGGGCATGAATGTGGACTTAGGTTCGATAACAAAACCCCTTTCTCGATCATGTCTGTAGCAAGTTACTAACCAGTGGCGTGAATAGGTCTGACTAGTTCCCAATACAACATTGCACTCACCGTGTTCTTCTTCCCTTATGCCTTCTTCGAAGTTCCGAGCAACATTGTCCTCAAACTCCTTCGACCTTCTATATGGATCTGCATCATGATGAGCTCGTGGGGCCTGGTACGCATTCACTGAAACTGCTGTTTGCCGTTGTTGGAACGATTTTCTGACTCAGAGTCACAATACACAGGTCATGACCATGCAAGGTCTGGTCAAAGGCTATCACGACCTCGTCATTACCCGATTTTTGTAAGAATTATCTCGGGTGAAGCCCAACTGGGGATGGTTAGCTAACTTATGCAGCCTCGGTCTGACTGAAGCGGGTTTTTTCCCGGCTGCAAACTATCTCCTCACTACCTGGTACGTATGATTCCTATTCCTTCACCTAGTCTTCCACTAACGCGATGTCAGGTACTGTCGATTCGAAGTGCAAACCCGAATTGCAGTCTTTTACTCCGCAGCCTCGCTGGCCGGTGCCTTCTCAGGTCTTTTGGCCTTCGCTATCGAGAAGATGGATGGTGTTGGTGGCCTCGCTGGATGGCGCTGGATCTTCATCCTCGAGGGAATACTCACCGTCCTCATTGCCGTCACATTGCCCTGGACTCTTCCTGACAGCCCGGAAACGGCCAGTTTCCTAACTAGAGAGGAAAAGGATGTCATCCGTCGACGTCTGGAGCAGGATTCGGGAACCTCCGCCGGGACAGTGCAGACAGACGAAAAGTTCCAGTGGAAGTTCCTCTGGGCTGCTTTGAGCGAATGGAGACTCTACTTCGGTATGATTGCATACTGGGGCAATTCGTAAGTTATTTTGATATGATGCTAAGTTGCGAAAGCATACTGATCTTCTCGCAGCGTGTGCCTCTACTCCTTTACGTACAGCGCCCCTAGCATTATCCTTGATTTGGGATACAGTGCCGCGAACGCCCAGTTGCTCAGTAAGTCCTCACTCCGCAATGCTCCATCAGGGCCCGGCTAATTATTTTGTAGCTATCCCCATCTATCTAGTTGGTGTCATCAGTACCTTGGTGTTCGCCCGGCTGGCAGACAAAAAGAGATATCGCTGGCCTTGTATTGTAACACCGTTCGGAATCGCGCTCTGTGGCTTCATCGCTCTGCTGAGCATCCCTCATCCACGGTTCCCCGGATTAACCTATGCTTTCCTATTCACAATCCCAGCAGGTGTTTATCCTCCTCTTGTCGGAATCCTCGCCTGGAGCGGAAACAATCTCGCACCAACCTGGAAGCGTGCAGTCGGAATGGCGCTGCTTATCTCTCTCGGCAACCTTGGAGGTGCCATCGGCAGCAACATCTTCATTGAGCAGCAAAAGCCCCGGTACCCGCTCGGATATGGTTTCTGTCTTGGTATTTGTGGTGCAGCTATCATATGTGTCACGGTTCTTAAATACTCCTGGAAGAGGGAGAACAAGAGGCGCGATGCATTGGATGAGGCAGAGATCCATTCTCGATACTCGACCCAGGAGCTCTTGGAATTGGGTGACAAGTCCCCTCTCTATCGGTATGAAACCATCGAACTTCCATCTAAAACTGATGAAATGCTAATCTCTATGCCAGATACGTGATTTAAAGGTTTTCATCGTTGCGAGAGAGACTGTGAACTGTACAGATCTAGCAGTCCTGGTCAGACCGGCATCGTGATACTCCGAAGGAAGCTGGTGCCTTAGTTATCAAGATTCGGCTTCGAGAGCGGATTAAATATTATACAGGAAGATAGAAAATACACGAAATTCTTTCTTCGAGTCCCCGTTTTTTTTCGTTGTATATCTTTTCAAGGCCTTTGATATTAATCTAATACATCACCCGTGCATCACATTCGATCGCCTAGGAGATCGATCATGAGATCTGAGGCTGAAAAAAGCGCCCAGGCATATTCAATGGAATTCTCGAAAGCTAGCTAGGCAGTCTCATACCACGTGCTCCCTCCCCTCCATCATGAGCCAACGCACTGCTCAGCCACAGGCGCGCTCCACGAGCTGTTATCAGCCTTTCACTAATTTTGTCTCCCGCTAGCGAAAGTCAACTGTGGCGCCTTATTCATTCATTCGCATGTGCTATGCATGGATCTATTTTAGCTTTCAGATTGTAATGCAACCCGGGCGACAGAGCTGGGCTTTGATCACCATTGTCGCTGCCTCTGGAATAAACAAGGACAAATCTGATACTACCTCCAGTCTTCATTCAAAACGATATTCTTTGTCACTGTCTCTACAAAACTATCGCCAATAGCATCCCTACAAGCCACACTGCAGAAGAGTGTGCTAATTCATTGCGCCCACTTGGCTCAATCTGATTGACGCACCATCGATGAGTCAGACCGTGATGCATCTACGACGTAACCATCAGCGCGGGAACGCGTCGATTAAAATCCACCCTTAGAACCCCAATACCAATCCCTACACTCCTCTATTCTCATTCCATCCCAATCCACTGCTCTTGCGCAAACAGGGCTCGAAAGAGCCACATCCTTACTGATCAACACCTACTCCCTCTACTCTCCGGACTAGCCTCTTAATTATTCTTATGGCGACCGTTTCCCTCGATCCCGGGGCTTATGGCTTCACCCTGCAGAATCTCCCCCACGAAATCCAGGCTCTAATCTACAGATTCGCCGTTGTCGAACCTCCAAGATGGGCCAAGAGACACAGCCTCAAGTGTGATCTCACACCTAGCAGAGCCAATGTATTGGAGCCGCCACCTTTCGTCTTCACCGAGGTTCAAATCAACCACAGAGCCACCAAAATGAGCACCACCACCCGCTGCTCGTGTGCGAAACGCAAGGGTCTCTCGCTTTTGCTTGTATCCAAGCTCATCAATGAAATAGCGTCTCCCATTTTCTGGTCGCAAAACACACTCTGCTTCCTGGATGCTGTCGAATTCATCGTTGCTGTCAAGCACAACCTCCGGTCCGAGTACCGGGAAATGATTCAGTCTCTCAGCATCATCAGTCCCGATCACAGCGGAGCCCCGATTCACGTTTCCTTCGCCGGCGAACGCCCAAAGCACATGGACGATTTCTGGAAAACCATCAAAAATTGCCCGTCTCTTCGAAAACTAGAGGTCGCTTACGCCTACATCCAACCGAGCCGCAAAGTCCCAACACACGAGCATCTCGACGAGATACCCGAGATGCTCCCAAATCTTCCCGCCATCTCGCTTTCCTTCCTAGTCCCCATCAACCGGCGAGGTCTCCATTTTGATTATCCTCCGCCTTACTATCATGACGAGTGGAGCCATCAAGTTCTGTATGTTAAATGCTCGCGCCCTCTTTCATTGCTGCGGGAGAACCCGTGGGAAGAAGACGAGCTGAACAATTTGTACCGAAACTTCCACTTCAACTTCCGTGTTTATGTCTCAACTGCGTCCAAAGTAAAATTCTGTGGCGCCGACATAGAGAGACTGGACAACTATAGCGGCTCTTGGCAGATTCCTAAGACCTTGAACGCGGAGAGCAACGTCCGCCGGCTGCAATTGCCGACTGGGGAAACCACAGTGGTCAAGGTGTATGGTTTGCCACTGTCGGCAAAAGCGAGGAATACCAGGCTTGGGTATGCCAAAGCCGAGGCTCGGAAGAGAGAACGCCGTCCAGACGGGTCAAGGGTTGCTGAGCATGTGGCCATGAAATTTGCCAAACAGCGAAAGAGACAAAGTCGCCAAGGGGCAATGGAAAAGGAGAGGGGCGAATGCCAGGAACTACAATTGGCTCGCGGAGTAAGGCGAGTCGATTTGAAGGCTGAGGAGGACAAAGCTGTCAAACACTCGGCAAGAACTGAGAGGGAATCTGTACGGAAAGGCATCAAGGCAGCTGAAGAAAACCGGCGATTGGAGAGGAAAAGGGTAACGAATGGTCCCGTTGCATGAACTATTCTATCTGATAATGGATCAAGTTCGGAGCTATCCTAAATTTCTATCAACCTCAACGGAGAATTTAGCGTCCAGCACGTACCATCACTGGATGGAAACACACAAGCTTGTTATTCCGTCAAGATGATAGCTTAGTAAATTAATCCAAAGAGCTCGCTATTTCTTCTTCTCCTCAATGTGGGAGGAATCAGCCTGCGCATGCTCCATCTTCTCGTTCAGTATCTCTTCATTTTCTTCTTCCTCGATGGCATTTTTATATAGGCCCTTTCTTATGTCTCGCTGCCAAAGCACATAACCTGTTAGGAACAAAGACACCCAGACGACGCAGAGACAAATGCTTGCGGTGAAGCCTCGTGTCCATTGGGGCCCCTCTGTAACTGGGAATACCACGACGTTATACCACGTGAAAAAAGCCCAGCCGATTGTCATCTAGACGCACCACAGGTGTCAGTACATAAAACAATTGCGGAAAAACTCTAACTGTTTCAACAGCTTTGAGACAAAGGATTGGTTCTCACCATAGCGCCAGTGGTGAAACTCTTGGCTTCGTTATCATCTTTCATGATAAGATGTACAAAGGGGAAGAGCATTGGCGTAATGCAGGAGTTGAATCCCATAAGAAACCAAGTAGCGAATTTCATTCCCGTGGGTATATACCAGATACGGAGACAGATGTTGGAAAAGAGCAAGATTGTCCCTGAAAAGAGGACTGGCATCCAGATAGGGTAGACCCTTTAAGAGTGAGAAGTTAGCGAAGAGCACATGACGCCAGAATCGAGCATAGGAAACACTACAAACATAATCAAACACTCACATGACAAACTGCGGGACCAAGATACCGCATACAATCGCCATCAGTTGCGTGCCAGTAGGTAGAATGTTGATCAATTCCACTGAGTATTGGCCCGTGGACTTGACCCAGATACCCATCTGACCGCCAACCCAGGTCGTCAATTGGAAGCTAGTCGCGCACAGATATGTTAATTTCTTGACTCCAAGTGTGTTGCGAGCGTGGAAACGTATGACTCACCTGGTGTAGGTAACGACGGCAAAGTAGAAGTGCCAGTGCGTAAAGACACGCTTCAGCATGCGCTTTCCAATCTTCCCGCTCTTTCGTACACCGTCGTCCTGCATTCTCGCCTGGGCCAGCTTTTGTTCCGACTCTTTGAGCCACCAAATGCGTGGATTAGTTGTTGGCAGACCCGGAAACAAGAAGAAACCGGCAATGGCAATGGGGAGGCTAATGATACCATCCACAATAAAGACCCAGCGCCTAAATAGAAGGTCAGTTGAACTCCAATTTGAAAGAATATGAGAATGGAACGCACCATCCCTCCATGCCAAGCTTCCCATCCAACCCAGCGTGAGCGGCGGCCTGCATATATCCACCAAACGCAGCGCCGATGTTGCTGGAGACGTACCAAACTCCAGCTCGTTTGAATACTTCATCGGCGCGATACCAGGAAGACAGAATATAGAGCGATCCGGTAGCGGCAGGAGTTTCAAACAGGCCCATGAGAAATCTCATGCCGAATATCATTTGGGAGCTGTGATTCCGGCACTGAATAAAAGTAATAATTGACCACAGGGTCTCGCAGATCGGGAGATACCAGCGAGCCAGATGAGGGCGAGAGATGATCATCATGGATGGGATTTCCAGGATCATATAACCAATGTTGTAAAACGTACTGAAAAGGTTGTACTCGACTCCCTTGATATTGAGGTCCTCTTTCATCCCCGAGTTATAGGCATTGGTGATGTTTGATTGATCAAGCCACTTGATAAAGACTAATATTTATTAGTTTGGAAAGCGGCGCATTGTCCATGATATTACTGGAAACATACATAGCAAACAGCTGTCGCCATGGTTAGTACAGTGATGTCATCAGAACAAATGGGGCCGGAACATACATAAGAGGAAGGATGATGCGGTCCTGCTTCTTGAGAAGGGCTATCTCCTCCTTACTGTAGTGGCTTGGGTACCAGTCAAAGATGTATAGCCACGCCAGTTTCAAGCTCTGCTTGGGCTTTTTGGTGGCCGAGCTGACCACGACACCATTCTTGACCACAGGGTGAGAACCAACAGGCTCATCACCATTGATCTCCTGAGTGACTGTGGCCTCCACGGTAATCTCATCACCTGTCTTCCGTTGCTGTTCAGTCGCCATTGTGGCTTAAGACTCGCTCTTCCGGGCCGCTAATGGTTACCCTCAGAGGGGAAGCTAATCCTCGCAAGAGGACACAATGAAAAGGTCCAAGATATCACAGGCGGAGTGGTTGAACTCCCGATGGGATGAATGAACTCAACTGTTGATCTTGATAAGAAGAGGTTTGAACATTGAGAGGATGGGCGGGATTCTTATTCATAGCAAGATTCTCCTCCAAGACTCGTCCCACACCCCATGGGCAAGGCCTCGATGTCCACGGGGTAGCGTTTACTCCACATGGCGCCACCAATTTCCCCGCATGCGAGTAGCATTTCCATGGAACAGGGGCATCATTTGCGGTCTGTAGTAGAAACCCTTAGTAGCCCCAGATAACAAGCCCAGAAAGGATTGGCCTCGGTGTATGTAATGCGGTCTCCGGACGAGCTCCTCTCCGAACATGAGCTTATGACGTTGGCCACCTTTCAAGACTTTGCAAATGATCCGGACAAGTAGTCCGGTGCACCGGAAATTTCGGGATAATTCCAACGAATAGTCCACAGTAAAGCCTTGACAACAGGATCCTTCTTCCATGTTAGGGATGCAACGCGATCTGAAGTGGATAAGATTGGCCACTATGCAATAAATAAGCGCTATGAGAGTACATCCGAAACTCGTCAGCAGACCTTTGATCGATTAAACTTCCTGCATATTCCAGGTTTACACCTCCTCCTTTCTTGCTATGCCACATCACCACATTCTCATTACTTGGAACAGGACACATCCCGCCACGAACTCGGATACCTCAGGCCTGCCCAAAACAGAGAAAACCCCAAAATTGAGCCGCTACCATGCAGAATAACAGCAGCAATGATGCTATATCCTTCAATACTCAGCATGAAGTGCCTGTGGCAAATAATACACTCATAGAATCAGTTCAAACCAACCCACAAGACTCCTCCCACCAGCATGCATCTGATACCTCCAATATGGAACAACCGAAAACACCGCCACATGATAGAGAGTCATTTCAGAGGGAGCAGCCTCATCTGAATATCCTGTCACCGACCGACTCACCCCGAACCCAGCCACTTGGCTCTGATGGCAGTTGTGAAGTCGACAGTCAAAGCTTAAACAGCCCGCTTACAGAACCGAATCCTTCCACCGAAGATGGCACCATCTTCACTGAGGGCATCACAATCAGCACAGAACTCGCGGATCTTTATGCCGAGAATATCCTAGCCAAAGTCTATCGGACAGCGTGCAAGTCCATGATTGGGGAAAGAAGATTCCCCGATTATTTCCCCGAATACGTTCCCCAAGATGGTCCGGATGCTGGGAGTTATACACTGCGTGAAGCAGACTTCTGGACGTGTGGCTTCTTCCCCGGAACCTTATACTCCTTGCTGGAAAGGGCCATCCGTTTCCCCGCACATCTTGGAAGCCCAAATATTACTTCTTCACAACAACCCAACAGTATCAGTATACAGACCATTCGCCTGAATCTCCATGCACTGTGCGATACCTGGTCCAGGCCGCTACACGAAATGACTAGCCGTACAGACACCCATGACATAGGATTCATCGTTATGCCGGCGTTGCGTCTCGATTGGGAACTTACGGGAAATTCACGGAGCCTAGACTCCATCATCCAGGCTGCAAAGAGCCTGGCGACTAGATATGTTCCCACCTCGGGCGCCATCCGGAGTTGGGACTTATTACTGAAGAAGAACCTGGAAATCCGAGATCAAACCGAGAATATGATTCTCATCATTGACAGCCTGTGTAATCTTGATCTTCTGTATTATGCAGCCAGTCACATGCCCAACGGAAAGGAACTCTACGATATAGCCACTTCACATGCGCGAGTGTTGCTTCGAACGCACCTAAGAAAAGAGCCCCCCATGTCCCTAGACAGTCTATCATATAAAGGTGCTTGGTATTCGACATGTCATGTGGCCAATATAAATCCCCGAAATGGAGAGCTCAAAGCACGCCTGACTCACCAAGGTTACGATAACGAATCCACATGGGCCCGCGGCCAGTCGTGGGGTATTCTAGGATACGCCCAGACATACATGTCTACCAAAGATGACGAGTTCCTCTGGGCAGCGTGCGGCTTGGCCGAGTACTTCCTCCACAGACTGAAAACGGCTCCAGATTGCGTTCCCCAAGGCACGCGGCTGGTTCCTCTGTGGGATTTCGATGCTCCAATTGATGATCCCTCGAACCCATTGCGTGACTCTTCGGCTGGCGCCATTGCTGCCAATGGCATGCTAGTGCTCTCGCAGGGATTGGCGGCTGCAGGCCAGGATAAACTCTCCATCAGGTACCGCCGAGCAGCGGTTGAGATTGTCCATGAGCTCCTCGACTTTGCTCAGGGGCCTGAAAAGGCTCGCCTCGTGGGGGGATGTACAAGTGCAATTACGGTTGAGGATGAAACGCCCCAGACCTTTGATGCGATCCTCAAGTTTGGTACAGCTAACAACAACCAATACTCTAAGAAGCGGTATTCCAATCATGGTCTGGTCTATGGAGATTACTATCTGGTCGAATTCGGTAATCGGCTGCTGCGAATGGGTCTCGTGTGAGCTGTGATGAGCACCTTTCTGTTCCATTTATCATAGACATATATCTAGAAATTACAATTTTTTTCTTACCCCAATGATCAAATAGTACAGCGTAGGCACTTACAGGAGATCGTTCTTTCCTGTATAAAGACAAAACAAAAAATCTCCTCTTTAATCAGCCCGGTATTACCACTACGAGTCCATTTCTTGATTATATAAATGATGCTCAACGTGCCAGAAATGGGTAGAAAGAGTGTCATAAAATTGCTTCCAAATAGCCAAGTGACTTACATCAACAGGATGTCACCGCAGCTCAATTTACGACGGTAAATGGGACACGGGTTCAGCAAGTTGTTCCCACTCAATAATTTGAGCCACAATATTCCTATCTCTTCACGAAGGAATCAGCGGGGGCATTTGCTGCAAGGGTGTCGGGCGAGGTCTTACGGACGACGGAGCATCAGCTGCCCTGCCGACCCATTAACCCAGCAATCCAATATTCCCTAGACTGGACAGCCTCATTTTAGGACATGATCCAATAAGCTTATATCGGGCAATTCGTACCGAGGGCCTGGGCCAGCGGGGCCTACCACTCTCACGAAGCACTAGAGGTGCCATGCTCGGGACAATGAACGCGACGCTCGGGTTTAGGAAACAACTTCTTGTACGTGAAGCCTCAAACATATCCAAGACGACAGGGGCAACACGTGATTTTCCAGTGCGTTGTTTTTAATAAAGCCAAAGTCGTGATTCCCGAATGGAGTGATTAGAATGGGTGTACTCGGGCTAGCAAAAGGCTCTTTTTTAAGGTTTTCGTATTCATTGTGTTGAGTTGTCGGGCTCTGGCAGCTTCCATTGCTGTTGAACTTTATTCTCTTTCTCTTAGGTACTCACGCTGGTTAACTCAATACCGGTTTCCCCTCTATTTCTTCTTATCAAATGGTATTATCGATTTTAAAGGCCCAACTTACATTCTTTCAACTCTCTCAGTTGAGTTCGTAGGGATCTCTCGAATATTCTAAGCGATGGGGGGGGGGGGGGGGGGGGTTCTTTGATCGAAGAGATCGCGACTATGGCAAGACAAAAGTTATTTGTGGCAACGGCACTCTTGCTCCGGATCATACTCACCTTCAAAGCCGTGATTATTCTATAATAACTGATGGCGCCTTCAGTACCTCAAGAGGGTTCTATTGAATCATTGTTTCCATCGTCGATCGCGTGGCATAGACACGATGGGGATTTTTTGCGAAGTATCGTCAATTTCAATTTAAAAACTACCTAATCAAATTCAAGTTTTTTTCTTCCAGAATTTTCTGATCGTTTTTTCCATCCTCCCTTATTAGAAACTCAAAAACTCAAAATGAAAAACCTGAAATTAAGTGAAAGTGTTGGCCAGTCTCTTTTTTCTTCCCAACCCCAAACCGAAATCAATCCGTAGCATCCGTAATTTTCGCCCTTCCTTGTCCTTAGTTCGCCTCAATACACCACCCATGGCTATTCACAAAAGTTCAAGCTCCGTCTGGGGTTAGATCCAGCCGCTTTGACCGTTGCATCATCTGTCTCTTGACCCTCAGCAAGTGGAACGTCTCGTTCGTCAGATAGTGCTCCTGCGCTTCCCACAGATACGATTCGCTGACCGCGAAGGCCAGTTCCAACGATGGGTTTAGTCCGATGTCGAGGAGCAGGTTTCTCATCCGTGCAGCGATGCCGCAAACGTGATCTCCGTTCTCGCTGTCGGCTCTATGGATTTTGAATCTCCCGCTCTCAGCTTCCGATTCGTATCCCAGCATCAGCCAGCAGCTGCGCAGTCTAGGGAACGCAGAAAGGAATTTTGGCAGTCCGACAAGCATAGATGGGGTGGTCAGTCGTGTTCCCAGCAGAATGATTTCTCGAGTCTCGGCAAGAGCGAGGGCTTGATCTGTGACGCTGAGACCAAGCAGTTTCATCGGTCCCCAATTGATCTCGGGCTTGGACGTGTCTTTAGTGTATGTCTCATTCCTAAGATCTCGCCCCTTGCGTTCTTCCTTCCTAAGACGCCTCGCAGCAAGTTCTTCAAGCGCGTATACTCGATGACGCACATACTCGTCGGCTCGCTGCTCGGCGGGCTGGTCGAGAAAGCTCAGTCCTTGCTGAAGCCTTTCGCCAAGATTTGCGGACATCATGATGCGTTTCTCAGCGAAGAAGATGGGCTTGCCCAGTCGTCGGAAGCGTCGACAGGTGGAATTGACGATGAGCCAGTCCTTGATATGCTTGGCCTGGGTAGCGCGCGCCGCGGGTGGGCGAGGCGTCGTTTCGAGGCGCTCATCCATTTCTTCGGCCGAAGCAGGTGACGTCAATAAGTCCGCCAGGATGGGGTCTGGCAGTTGATTCCATCCGGGGGTTTTCTTGGTCATGTGGAAGCGCGGAATGTCGACGCAGTGCTCCAACCAGAGCGGCGCGTTTTCCACGTTTTCCTCTGCTGCGACCGCCTGCTCCGGATTGGTGTCGCCTGTCGCCATGCTTCCGGTGAGGAGATCGCGGAAGATCTGGATGAGAATCTCATCTGGGACGCGGTCAATCATGCATGGACCTGGAGGGGAGCTCATCGCGACGTCGGGGGGCGGAGACATGTAGTGATGGCGAGTGAGCTGTCTTCTTTCGCGCATTCGTCCCGACTTGAGATTCAGCGGATTCGATCTGTCGCTGCAGCCTCACTCGGGGACAGTTGCAGTGATGCCCAAGAGCAAAAGAAGCTTTTGGGGAGACACGGCTGAGTGCTCCACCCCTCTTTCGACAATGATCAATCATCGCTTGATTCTCGCTTACGAAAAGGCTGGGCTGCTTGCTGACTAATTGCTGCATCGGGTGTTTGCCTGTGTTATGCCGAGACACGGTAATGAATTCGTGCGACGGTTTCTAGGTAACATCGGAAGAAGGGCGAATATTAATGCAGGGAGGAGTGGAATTGGTATCTATTGGTGCTACGTGATTCGGAGCTGAAAGACTCGTGCTGCTCTAAGCACCGAAGCGAGCTCTTCAATCTGTCATCTTTTCAATACATAAAATCAGCAGCTAAAATGTCAGGCTGGGTTGAGATATCCAACTGCCTCTCCATCAGGCTGGCAGGCGCGTTAAAGAGGTATACGATGCGACAGAGGCTACATTTTCTATATTTTTTAGGTAACCATTGTCACGAAGATGCCAATCACTGTTTCTTTGAAGGAAGATAGATCGAATCCAGTGGTGCGCAGACGACAGACTGTTTCGCAGTCCAATGAGAGTCTAGCATGTGATTATCACCACGCTTCAAATCGAGTCATATAAACTTTTTAAGAAAAGGACTAAGTGGAGCACAAGATACCCCGGCTTTTGCCGGTTTTGACACTACAGGGGTGATATCTTGAGCTCAGCCTAGCCTCCTCAAGCATGGGGTTTGGCCCACCATGTGTAGATATTTTCTTGGCAAGGACGATCGATCTTCGCGGAGGGTTTTTATTTATTTATGGATTGCTAACTGGAGAAATATTTATGTTATGAAAGGCGGCCTGTGGGATTTCACCCGATGTCATGTTACTCTCCCCCGCATTACACTGCGTGACAGCATGCAGTCAGGAATTTTCATCACAATCACCATGACTATCAACCCACGGCTTACGATGAGATCACTGTATACGCCGGTGTCTAAATACCGGCATTCATACATCCAACGCGCGCGTAGATTTATGAACAACTTGTGTGTGCGTTGTGCCCGCAATTATGTTATCAATGAAGGTATGCGTCGATATCTCAAGTGTCCCACCCGTCTCCGATGAATCATCCCTGCCAAACCCAATAGATGCACGAGGGTTTCGTGTTCTATAGCGAGCTGAACTTGCTGGTAATGTCAAGTAATGACAAGTAACGGGCGGGGGAATCAAGGGCATGTTTACCTTTATCCACTTCCGGCGTAACTATTAGGCGTGAAGTTGCATTTCATGCATTTTCTGGAACCAACCAAGGGCTGTAACTAAGCAATGATGATACAAACAGCATGCTACCAGGTACGGTTGGCCAACTGGTAACTCTACTAAAACACGGGGGATGCCACCCTCGTGGAGGCAAACAGATATTCAATGGAGCCAGGCGGAAAGCATCAAAAAAATGAGTATTTTCTAGCTTTCTTAGGTAGTGTTTGAAGACAAGGCCATTTATGGACAGTCTCGCGAATTCCCTCATCTCACTAATGCTCTACATGTCAACCGTGTTGGCATTTTCCGCAGATGGTGCAGTCAGGAAAACAACTCTTGACTCCCTCCATGGCCAGGCGCTAAATGGCCTGAGGAGCGATACTACCTTGTTGGGTGAGCAGCTGGAGGTGGGATATGCATCAGAGCCCACACTTGGCATAGTGAGTGCAAATATGCACTCAGACGCGTGAGCTGACGCCCGGAGCATGATTATTTCCAAAGAGGCCAGCTGCAGAGCCCTTCGCCTCCATCCCCTCGGTGTATCGTATTGATCTGATTGATTGGCAAACGGTGGTGACGGCATGTGTTCACTTCTGCTCATGTGACAGCCAGTAACAATTATTAACCCCCCATCCCGTCCTATCCCGTCCCATCCATCCCTCCATCCATCCTCGCATGATTCCCTGATTGACGTGTTAATGCCCATCCATCGCCGTTGCAGAGCCTTATTGCGCCCACCGAGTTGTTTCCATCTCCAAACCCGCCCGATGGCCTGACACGCGTCACCATGGACGGCTTATACATTGCAGCGGCAATTATTCACTTCATCGAATACGCCGGCCGTCTCGTCGCCTCGAGCCAGTCTAGACAGAGCCCATCGAATAACATTCCTCTGGAGCATCGTGAATTGGGCTCCATCGCCAAGTGTCTCCTGTCAAGCAGCCGCCAAATCGAAGAGTCGCTGCGATCCCAACATCGCGAACACACTCATACCAACATCGGCATCCTGCAACATCAGACCGCGAGCCATTGCCAAGGCATCGCAGAGGAGCTTCTAGATGCCATCGAACTTCTTCAGGCGGCGGGACCCGGGACGAAATGGCGATCTTTCCGCCAGGCCCTCCGTGTTGTATTGAGCGATCCCAAGGTGCAGGCCTTGGATAGAGGCTTACGCTCCTTGCGCCATCAAATAATCGTTACTACGATTGACAGCCTGAGGTATTTGACTGTTTTTTTTTCATCCATTTTTCCTCGGTTTTATCCGTCCCAGATTTTGCTGATATCTGCCCAACAGACTTGAAGCATCCAGGTTGAGCCGCGCCCAGGCGGCCCTTCGCCACGCCTCCGAAGGAGCACCGCCAGCTCCAGATCGTGGTGTCTCGGTGGGAGATCGGTTCGTAAACGACAACAGGCTCGGGGACGCCTGGCGAAAACTCATCGTGCACTCCATCCTCGAGAACCAACGAAACCCCAACGCGATGCTCCCCCCGTTCCTCGGCCTCAAGCCCAAGGGTGCCTGGGCCCGTGCATACGAGGGCGGCGTCCGGGCAAGGGTCCTGCACCGACTCACATTCCGAAACATGGAGGATCGCGAGCGGCAGATCCCCGAAGCGGACGACGGGACGTTCGGATGGGTCTTCCGTGACCCGGCCATCCACGATAAGCCCTGGTCGAGCTTTAGGGACTTTCTGCGCTGGCCCACGAGCAAGATATATTGGATCACTGGCAAACCGGGGTCTGGGAAGTCCGCCTTGATGAAGCACATACGTCAAAGTTTAGAGACTCGAAATTTGCTGAGATATTGGAGTGGGGGCCGGAATGTCCTCCAGGCGAGGTTTTACTTCTGCAACAGCGGAGAGAGCATGCAGATGTCTATCGAGGGTCTACTGCAATCATTGCTGCTGGACTGTCTCAGACCGATTCCCTCGTCGATAATCCAGAGAGTTCTTCCAGCCCGGTGGGAAGTTGCATGCCTCTTCGACCAAGATGACGTTCCTTGGAGTTGGGAGGAACTGCTCGACGCCCTGCGAACGCTGTTGATGGATGTCTATGCACATCAGAAGTTCTTCTTCCTGATCGACGGGCTCGACGAGTATCTTGGAGAACAGCCACAGCTTATTGATCTGATCATGGAGTTGGCGGAGGAGACAAACAACCTCAAGCTCTGCGTCTCAAGCCGACGCTGGCCACACTTTCACGACGCTTTCATGGGAAGGCCGCATCTGGTCCTAGAGGACCTTACCGATGCCGATATCGGTCACTATATAGAGGCCAAGTTTGAGGAAAGTTCGGCCTTCTGCCAGCTCCGACAGAGACAGCCGGAGAATTTCGAAAGACTCATGAGAGACACTTCCCACAAGGCAGAAGGTTGCTTCCTGTGGGCCCAGCTGGCCATAAAATATCTCACCGATGCCCTATCAAACGGAGATAGGATGGGCGATCTCGAAAATCGGCTTGGGGACTTGTTCCCAGGAGACATCGAGAGAATATTGGAAAAGATTATCGAGTCGTTGGATGAAGAAGAGCGGGATCATGCTTCTCAGATTTTCCAGATCGTCAGGTCTTGTGACGATTTCGCCACCGTCCTCTGTGTTGCCCTCGCAGATCTCGAGGACACAGGCCTGGCCAAAATGACGTCTGCGAAAGTGATGCCTATCCAGTATAAAGAGTCACTATCCAAGATAATGAGGAGAACACTGATCAATAGATGTCAAGGCTTGCTTGATATTCCCGCACCAAACATGGACGAAGACGACAGCGATGAATCCGATGAGGAATCTGAGGACGAGAGTGGCAATGAATCCGATGATGAAGCTGACGAGGAAGAAACAAGCGACGTATCGTCCTCAAAACAGAACACAATCACCAATCCCATATCTCATCTGGAGATAAAGTATCTCCATCGTGTCGTCAAAGATTACATTGAGAGCCCTCACATTTGGGACTGGATTGTCAGCATGAGCTCCGTTCGCTTCGATCCAAATGTGTCACTCTGCAAAGCAAACATTCTTCAATTCAAGGGACTGGATCCTTTGTCTCTCTCAATGTCCGAGTTCTGGTTTCACGCTGAAATGGCGATCAAATACGCTGTTCGATGTATGAATGTAGAAGGCAACGTCAGGGAAGTTATTGAACTATTAGACGAGGTGGACTCAACTGGAAGCGTCCTGACATACCACTATACCAACCCAACATTCGTCGACCGGCCCGGCGCATCCCTTGGAGAATACGACCATTGGGCCACCTTCTTCCTTCCTAGCATCTCACACCCCAACTTCAGCCATTTGATGGTGGCATGTGGGGTGCACCAATATCTTACCCGGCGTCTGCGCAAGGAGGATGTGCGAAACAGCAGGCTCACTGGGGAACCGACCCCATTGCTGATCACGGCGGTGCAAGAGTTCGCAAGCCTATCTAATTGCGATGAGTTGGCAGGCCCTCATGTACGAGTCGTGGAAGCTCTCATGAGGAAAGGGGCCGATTGTCTCCAGGTCTATCACGGCCGCTCAGCCTTCAGCTTGGTGCAAAGAGCGAGGAAGTCTGAGAAACAAAAAGCGGTCTATGAAGAGATATTAAGAGTGTTCGAGCGATTTTCCAGGCGGCCGCTACCTGTGCCAATCAACTTGGACTCTTCAATGGCCGTTGCGCGACAGGACTCTCAGTTAGGCCCTTATCAAGGGTCCGATAATGATTCCATTCGATCGACTGATGGTCTTGCCGAAGGTCAAAATGGACGAGAAGAACCCGGAGAAGGCAAACGCCCTTCCCAGCAATACAGAAGTGTACACATTGAGGGTAAGAATATCAAAATGAGAGAAGTAAATGAGAGGTCCGAACTTGGTGTACAACGCCGTCCTTCAAGCAATCGATCGAATTATTCTCATTCTCTATACTCTAGAGGAGGAGAAACAAGTCGGGTCGGAAGTAGGATCGGTCAGTTCTCAAACTTCCAAACACCAAGATCGCTACTTTCTTGGGACCAGCAGCAGTCGTCTGGGTCGCAACTCATCACGCAGAGTCAACAGAACTACCCGATGAGCAACCCTTACTCCAACGATCTAGTTCGCACATCTCAGGCAGCTGCCCCCAGACGACGAAACTTTTTCCCATCACGGTTCTTCAACAATCCATTTGCGCGACAGGGGAATTCCTACTAAACCCGCAAAAGTCGTGCCTCAAGAAAGAGAGAAGCGCAACTCTCTCTGCCAACAGAGGCATCGGTTCATATCTATTACATCTTTCATCTATTATAATTTCGGCTTACGAAATGCTCACCAAATCATCAAGCAGCAACTCACATTCATCTATACCTTCTTGGTGGCATTTCGCGAGTTGAACCCAGCCATCCCATTAAATTTCCATCTATCATGTTTGAATAATGCTATTGTGGTGGCGGCAGGACGAACACTTCTGTACGAATTTACGAAGGCTTAAGTAACGACCATTCATATTGATCACTGACTGGGAGAACAGGGCATGAGGATTGTTTGGGTCAAAGGACAAGATGTAGGGTGAAAGCTGTTTTCAGTCAAGGTAATTTCTGGTTCTCCCATGGCGATTTCTTCATCCACGACAGCGTTCTAACCGCGTACCCTGTGTTGGATCCCAACCTATACCCTGTCCAGTTTGCTGAGAAGCTTTTACAGGGCGAGAAGTGGCATAGAGATTGTTTATTTTTGGTGGGTGGTGCAAAGGCTTTGTCTCAGTCAATGTCTACTTTCAGATTGTTTGTGAAGGATTTATTCAAATGTAGTATCATATGTCATGATAATGAAGAGCTAAAATTCTAACTTTATGTCTGTGTCGGGGCTACCTCATGCTCATCAGGACGCGTCATGCTGATGTAGGCATCGTCGACACACTGATTGCCATCAATGGCATCACGCCATGCGAGATTAATTTACTTATTTATCAACCATTTCATGAACTTTTGGGATTAAATTGAAACATTTTCAGATATTTATTCTGTCTCGTTGACTTTGAAATGCTGAGACAACTGAAATCGACTTAGGATTTTTGTCATTCGATCCACCGCATTATGATCCTTTTAACATTCAAACGCTTCGTTCGTTCCTCACTCCAGCCTCGTCATTAAAACCCCCCAATAATTTCAATCCTCATTCCTCTCTCAACCACAGTTTTATCTCTCTTCCACTCCGTCAGTCTAGGTTCAATCTTTCCCGAGCAAAGACCGCCAAGCCATGTTCAATGCGTCCAATTTCAGTTATCATCGGTCTCGGAAAAAGGAAGCAGTTCCTAAACTTCTTCCTCATACAAGCGATGTTGCATCTCGGTTTTCAGTTCTTCGAATCGTCCTTGACATGCTTCGACTTCCTCCTGGGTGAACCAGACGCTCACCAACCTTCGAGCGAGCTCTTCGCTTCGAACGACGACTGGCTTAGAAACACCGCCTTCGAACATTAGGCACATTCTGCCTACTCCAGATCGAATCACCAGATCTTCGATCGACTTGGTGATAGTTTCTTTAGCTCTCATAACGAGGTCGCTGTACTGCCTTGAGAAGCTGGGGTCTTCCATGACTTCATCGACGGTTATATGATGATGTTGTAGGAATTCCACAATGCCCCTAGCAACCTCTTGGGAGATTGCGCGACGAATATCGCAACCCGATCGAGGAACTGAGTTGATGGGATGTCCTTCCATCAACAGACTTGTAAACTGGCGAGAGGCCCCGAGATCGAGAACATATCGCACGGTGCCTCTATATCTCTCGAAATTGTTCCAGGTATAAAGCTTCTCTTTCCAGCCGTACTGGGCACCAGTCAAGTCCATCGCAAATTCTTCATTGCTGTGAAGTTTAATGTAGAGTACCGCGTGATCGACATCTTCGATCTCGTCGTTCCCAACAACCTGAAGTGCGGGATCTTTCGGCTGAACGCTAATCTCCCTTAAGGTGTGGCAAAAAGCTGCCAGACCAATATTAGTTATTTGTAAGCTCTCGCTTTGTGGCAAAGGATGGGGTCACTTGCGTTCGAGAAGAGCCTTAATAAGAGGCAGGCCGGTGCTCAAACTATCAACACACATGTTGTAGTATAGCACTGCGTTTTCCGCCACGAGTCCTAAACCTTGCGGCACGATGCTGCCAGGGAATGGGTAGAAGACCGGGTGTCCCATTAAGGGACACGTATCTCCAAGTTCTGTTCGGGGTACGAGAAAGATGAACTTTCCATCGATCCTTGTAAGTCGGTATTTGCTTGTGTATGTCTCGCGACAGAAGTTGTCCCAAATTTCAGACAATGCAGCGACAGCCCTTCCAAGTTTCTTACGGTCGTGACAAATTAGTTGATGGTTTGGCTGGTCTTCCGATCTACATTGCTCGGAACAGTAGGAGGTTTCGATGGATCCGACGTCCTCGATCTTGCATTCCGGGCATATGATGGAGCCTGCTGGTTCAGCGCAGTTGGAGCAGATCATCTTGCGATCGTTAGGTGGATGTGAAAGAACAGTTCAGGGAACTACTCGAAACTCGGCGTTGTGGTAGGTCTGGAAGCTGAGAAGCAACAAGGAAGTTGACAGGGATGTGGAGGTTGAGAAGGAGTGAGGAGGAAGCGATCAGAGAAGCAGGCAGAGAAGTTAACTAAGGGCCAGAGTGAGGAGACGCGTCACTATGTCAACAGTTAACGGCAGTGACAGCGACTTCGTTACCCTGCTGTTTCCAGCAGCTCAACTACAGGCTGCTATTGTAGAGCCCGGGGGTACCTAGGTACCGCAGCTGTTAAGGATTTTGTGTTCTGACTCCAGCAAACTCATACGGAGCACCATGTTTGAAATTAATCATTCTCTATGTAATCAACCCAGACTCCGGAAGCCTCGTGTTGCTCTCAAGCGCGATGACACGTTCTATTAAGAACCAAGTTCTGTCTAAAGTTGTTAAAGTAGAGTGCTCAACCCGATCCACGGACAAATTATGAGCTTGAAAATTGAAATCTAACATCTTTTATCGCCCAACTATAGCCATTATCTTTTTTTCTTCTTCCCTTCTTTCTCTTCGGACCTCCCAAGTACGTCGCTAGCTCTGCATGCCCAGCCAGTCTTGCATCTGATCTCGCTTCATCTTATCTTGCAGTTACTGGATAAACTTCCTGCGACGGTGGGGAACAGCCCAAGAATTTCGGCATTATTCTCACGTTCAACATTATTCATATTTTTCAAAGTATCTCAGTGCTCGGCCGAAGGGCTCTGTGGGATGGCAGCGAGCGAGCAGTGTTCCACAATGCTTCTTTTACAGTAGGTAGCACAGAGTAGGTATGACCCAATAACTAACCTAACCCTGTGAGTTGGCATTCATCCAAGAGTGGACCGAGCAAGAGTTGATGTGAAATCCACTGGCTCTCAATCACGAATAGCGCGAGGTGACTCAACATTTCCCCAGTGTGTCAGCATATATATTTCTTTCTTTCTTTCCTTCCCTCTTTCTTTTTGCTTTCCCGAGGAACAAACTAAGTAAAAATGTGCTAACAGCCCGTGAATGAAACCCCAGGTCGGTCGTACGGACTAGCCGTACTCCGTGTAACGTGCTGGAATGCATGTCAGCAACTGCGGCCAACAACTAAACAAGTTCCATTATCTGAATCAAGCCTAGCTTGCACATGTGTGCACTCTCGGAAACCTTCTAGTGCCAATACGACCCATGCACCGCTCCAGAAATTATGCAAGTCTTGTGCCCGTGACCGTGATCCTGGCTGTCACATGAAATAATAGCAGCAGATTCCGGCGACATGATGGATAAATAAAACACTGATCTTTTCCATCTTGCGCCCGAGCTCGAAAATTACCTTTATATTTTGATCTGGTTTTCTAGCGTTTGTGTCTTTTTTCCTTTCGTCTGTTGGCGACTCAGAAGCCCGTAATCAAATTCCAGACGAGCATTACGGAGCAATGGACCAGGCCTCTTCAATCCCGAACAGCCGCTACAATTGAGAATTGAGATGCAAGACACGATGCAGGGACGATCCGAAGGGCTTATGAGTGCCCTCCTTCACCAAAGCGCCGACTTGCAGGCCGCCTTTTCTTCGATGCAGTCCCCAGCCGAATCTCAAGCAGATGCCTTTGCCGCCACCTCATTTCCCGAGACCCCATCAAATGAAACCTCGCGAGCTCCATCACCGTTGCAACACGGATCTGAAATGAGGCCAGAAGCCAGTGATGAATTGGACGCAAATCTGGCAGCCTACATGTCGGGGGACATTCTGGGCGACAATGGAGATCCCGATCCTCTGACATATCCCGCATCCCAGATTTTGGGCCATCCCTCGTTTGCAGACTCTATGATCTTCTCCACTCTTCCGCCGGCCAGCTCGATGCACTTCCCAGACCAAAGTTTCCGTAGGCAGAGAGCGGCATCAGTCGGTGATGGTACTACTCAAGCTCGGTATGATAACATCAACACATCGCCATCGGTGTCTTTTAAGCATGCAAAGATAAACCATGGTGATTCTCCTGGTGTCCCCAAATCCCAGCGCTACGCTTGTCCCTATAACAAATGGGATCCAGAAGGATGTCCTCTTTGCTGTATGCCGAGTAATAAGAACCCAGGAGGAGGGGCAGAAACGTTCTCAAGAGTCAAGTGAGCTTCCCAACTGCCAAGGTATTCCCATCCTAGACCGTACTGACTTGCTAAGGTCGCATATTCTCCGAAATCACGACGAATCGGTTCGTTGTCGGCGGTGCTGGTCCTCTTTTGTAGGCAGGCCTGAAGCATTGAAAGAGCATGTCAAATCCGGCGATTGCATATATAAAGCCCGTCCGAAAGGATATTGGATGAACGAGTACCAAACGAGCTATGTCCGTGGTCAACGCTTCGAGGGAGGGGGTGAGGAGAAATGGTATCATCTTTTTACGGTTCTCCTACCACACGTGAAGATTTGCGATGATCAAGGGAACAATTTGATAAGCCCTTGTATGTCGACTCGAGCGAACAGAATCGAACAGGGCTCGAGCTGTCCACTAATAGGTCTTTTCTAGATTATACACCACTGTCCGAACGAGGTAGTGAGCAGGCCATCTTAGGGGCCCTGCAGGCAGATGCCAAGCAGGCTGACTTTCAACCCTCGACATGGCCATTTTCAAGTCACACTTCCACAATGGGCTCTCTGTATGCTAAGTCAACCACCCATATCCAACTCAAGGATTCATTCCCTCTAACAGGTAGATAGTCGTGCCCAGTATGAAAACGCATCGCTGCAATCCTCGTCCTGTGCTTCTCCAATAGTGATGGAGGATGTATTGTCTGTAAATGCCAGCTTCCCTTCTCTGGACTCCTCCGCACATAACGGTCCTGTCATGGCATTGAGTCCCGATTCCGGGCCGATGCCGTCTTTTGTTTCGACATCTGCCCCTCGGCCAATACCGATTCGGGGCTCTCATCGGATCGATGGTTGTATAGACGAAGCGAGCTCCTTCAACACCATCAATGCACCTGCCTCCATGCCACATATTCATTCGAAGCGGTTGTCCAACAACTTCCTGAGTTACGATAACGACAGGTTGCGTCGTGATAATCGGCAGTTGCGCCAAGAGAGGAATGATCTACAGAGACGAATCGATGCTGTGCGCGCGAACATCGATCCGCTAAACCAGATAATCGAATCTGCGCTTTATCAAAATGGGATTCCTTTAGAGGTTTCGACGAAACTGTTTGCTGCAACCGAGACGTTGAATAATCTTAGACAGGCTTTGGGTTGAGCAGCTCACCAAGGCTCCCCCAAATCCATGGGCGGAACAGGTTTCATCTCAATTATTTCGGCCAGCGTCGATGTATGTGAGAGCCAAGAAACGACTCATATATTCGATATACGACGGTAGAAGGCATGCTACAGGCAGAGGAACGCGATAAGAAAGGCCTCGAAGTTCTAATGATTATATTGAATGAATATGAGTAAATGAATGAACGATTGAACGATTGAACGATTGAACGATTGAACGATTGAACGATTGAACGATTGAACGATTGAACGATTGAACGATTGAACGATTGAACGATTGAACGATTGAACGATTGAACGAATAAACCAACATACATCCAGATGAGTTCAAACCTAGATCTGAGATAACGTGTGGGTTTGTTTTCGGTGGCATAATACGAAGTTGTACTAACTCATTGGGACAGACTTTCAATATCTCAAAGACGGTTCGATATTTACACCATTAATTCTGCAGGCCAAATAAGGGCACTCCTCTTGGATAGTGGGTTTAATTAGATGCATTAATCGAGGAGCAACGTTATATTATGCCTTGTTTCAGCGAGGACCTCGACGTGGCAGGAGTATAAGGAGGGTGGATAGGGAGAAGTTGCTTTGCCTACATAGGTACGCAAAGCGAGTTCATGTTTATCCTCTCAGTGTCTACTTTGTATTATGATCAGCAAGCCTTAATATATCACAGGGTGCTTAACTACCGATCTGGTAGTATGTTAATTACCGCGTGCCGATTTCTCCACCTCATCAACGCATCAACAAGATGCGAGGGGAGATTATGCCAAGCAACGTTTCATCTAATGGTGATCCAGGACACTGAAAACCTAATCTTTCGATCAATACTATCCTACCCTCCCGTTGACGTAGACCATAGTCTATAATCCCATGGAACGAGGGAAATTATTGCTGCTGATTCTCCTTTTCATCGGTAAATTTCCATCGTTCTGAAACACGGGATTCCCCCATGCGCTCCACTGCCGTTTACCAACAAAGCAGCTGGACAGTTGATGGACGCTAGCATGCAGGCGCCTGTCCTTGATCATGAAACACGCATTGTGGCGAGTAAGCATACACACAGCCAATGATCGAATCATAACGGGTGGTCCGGGATATGATGTTTCTAAATTGCATGCTGTCCATGCGTGAAGGAGTGTCAGCTCCTGATTCTTGTATAAGTCGTTGGGTGATCGTCCTTCAGCGTGGCTACAAAGATCTCTTTCTTCTTCTGTATGTAACAACCCGTGTTGTTGCTTGTTGTCGACCCTTCTCTTCTTAACACTCTTTTCACTTTGCAGACTGGCCTTTCGAAAATGCGCAGTTCACTCATTTCTGCTTTTGTCCTCGGATCACTTGCCGCCCAGGCGGCTGGCAAACGTTCCAGGGGATCATTGTGCAAGTCACTGGTTACTGTCACGGAAACCATCACCGTAACTGGGCCTCCCCCGCAACCCACAAGCACTGTTCCCAGCTCTGCAACTTCTGTCTCTGTGGCACCAACCTCCCTATCACAATCACAGGCTCAGTCTAGCTCAACCACCCAGGTGCAAACTGAGGAGCCAAAACCCACAACGACACTCGTCGAGCAGTCATCCTCCTCCTCTGTAGCTTCATCATCTGCAGAGTCGATCGCAGTATCGTCCTCCTCGTCTTCGATCGCCAGCCAAGCCCCTGCGTCCTCCGCGTCGAGCGCAAACCCAGTCGCAAGCCAGACTTCGACAGCCCCATACACCAGCGCCACGGAGGTCGACGTCAAGGTCCCTGCCACGGAACAATGCGGTGTCGACGATCGGCTGCACTTCACCGGCATGCCGTGGACCCTTTCCAACAACATGTACAACTCGGAGAGCATGGTGGGCACGCAGTGCACCAACTTCGTCCGAGCGCTCGCGGCATCTGATGGAACGAGCCTCGTTGAGTGGACCAGTACAACAGATGTTCAAAAGATCGAGGACACGGCCAACATCTGCAAGGGATACTCCAACTTCGGTGACGGGCCCGACGACAAGCCCCGTCTGCGTGACATCAAGTCCATTCCTGCGTATTTCAAATGGTCTAGGTCCGTTGAGGAGGACTTCAAAGGTGGGCTCTCTTCTTCCATACACCCCTTACTGTTCTTACTCTGCTTCCCATGATAAATATTTCATAATAACTGATCAATATTATTCAGGTGCTCACATCTTCGATATGATGACATCTGTCGAGAAAGATGTAGGAGAACAGCCCAACACCAAAGAGTTCATGCTATTCCTCAAGATCTGGGGTGACCAGCGGGTAATGGGTTGGGGTGATGGCGCGATCGACACCTTGGAATTGTTCGGTCACACTTTCAAGCTCTATTATGGTGTCCACTCCACCTCGGGGCAACAGGTGTTCAGTCTGGAGCCAGACACTCCTTTCGAAGGCGAGTTTGAAGGCGACCTGAAGGAGTGGCTCAATTTGATGGTGGAGAAGGGCCATGTGACAGACGACGAGTACCTCAACCACTGGACTGGCGGTGTTGAGATCTTCTATGGCAAGTCGACTCTGAGTGCTACTAGCAACTTGAGTCTTGTTGTGTAAGGAGTCTGGCTTGTTGGTCTGCGCTCGAGGAACGGAGAATGCCGAACCACAAACATAAATTGGACAATTGGAAAGTTTGGTATAAGTTATGAACACATTCCCATGAGCAGTGAAATCACTAACCTAAATCATTCGGTGAGAACCACCAATTGTTGACGAAACTCCTTTAATCAGTTTTCTATGAAGTATATGCTCCCAATAAGCGTATGGATATAGTACACAAGATAAGTATTACCGCAAAAACGCCAGCTCTCTGTATCAAATCAAGCAAGAACACGCTGACAGTGGGGAATTATTCACCGCACTCCCTATGATAGCCAAGCCAAATAGGTTTCCAGGGCAAGCCAACAATACAGTCAAGCCCTCTCGCTTCTCGTGGTCCCAACAGCTCATTAGCCTTTTCCTATTGCACTTGGATGGTCTGTATTACCCCATACGATGGAACATATTAATGATTTCTCCTTCTCCTATTCAGAGAAGAGGCAATCGGAACAAAAGCCAGTTCATGATGAAAGCACCCGTTTCTTGGTGTATCCCATGATCGATTTATGAGTTCCAGTTGGCACCGGAGTCACTCTAACAAGGACTGAACCGTGCAGTTGAACCCTAACCGCCCGGCCAGTTCGTGCCACAATACTTATTTATGTCTATTGTTCAACTCGAGTGGGAATGAATGGACGGGTTCGACGTTGACCAGCAACTGGAGGCGGCTTTCGTGAAATCGTATCGGTCGTTGAAATGTGGTATTTGATTTTTATTCTCAGGTGTAATCTCGGGACTTGTTCTTCTTCGTTACCGGCATCTCGTCGAGATCGTCGTCCAGCGATTCGAACTGTTGTAGCTGTTGCAGGTGTTCCATCTCTATCGCAGGAACCTCGTTGGCCGGCTTCTCGAACACCGGTTGGAGAACAGGAGAGCCGGCCATTTCGTGGATGTTATTGCTGTCGATCTCCGTGTGTTGTCGACCGATGCTGAACTTGTCCTTGGGCGGTAGCGGTGGCGGGATGTCTTTGAAGTACGCAACACCGGGCGATCCCAGCATCTCGTTGATATTCCGGCCGTCAATCTCCGAATACCGCGTGTGTATCGTGGAAACCTCGTTCTCCATCGCTGACTCGGTCACGCTCTCTGCCACTGAACGGAGGACCGGCGACCCAACCATCTCGTGAATATTCACGCTGTCGATCTCCGAGAACCGCCTGTGGAGCGAGGGCGGAGGCGAGCTCTTTACCGAATAATGCTTCGTTGAGGGAGGGTGCTGGCTCAGGGCGTCCACGTCGCTCATTATGTCGGACTTGGCTTGTTCGGACAGAGCCTTGGTCGAAATTGCCCTTCGAGACGTCCCAGATCTTACCGATCTTGCAGCTTCTGACCTCGCAGCTTCGGACCTAGCCTTGTGAGGTACTGCGCCTTCCGATCCCGTGTCTTCCTCCTCGATGCGATGCTTTCGTCTCCAGAAGAACCACACGATACCCAAAATGATGCCGAGACCGGCGAGCGCACCGAACACGGGGCCGGCAATCCATGCTTCTATGATAAGGGATGCCCATTAGTTTGACATGCCATCGCCGGCATCTTACGTCTGATTCCACTCACTGCTCTTAGGCTCATCGCTCGACGTGTCCGCGGTATCGAAGTCTGTGTCGACGGAACTGGTGACGGTCGCTGCCACCGTGGGCGCATATTTTACATTAACGATTGTCGATGTGGTGCCATCCCCCATGCGTAACGAGCTCGTAACCAGGTCGACATCGATATTACAGTATGCGAGGTATGTCAATAAATCCGACGGAACGGCACCGGGCGATCGCTTTTCGATACATCGGGAGCAAGGGATGTAGGCATTCTGGAATTTCGAATCGGCGCCGCAGAGGTCGGTTTTGGTCGAGTTTTGGGCGACTTCGAAGGCCGTGTCTGGAGGCGGTAAGATCAGCACAATTTTCCCACCTTTTTGTCGGAAGTACCCGCAGGCCAGCCGAAGTCCTACTCACCACACGACTTGGTGCACGCCGAACTTATCGTAATGCCATCTCGAAGCCAGATTGGTGGTGCCGCTGCTCCAGCCGGCATCATGACGAACGGCCAGCAAAGGACTGGCGAAGGATAGACTGTCAAAACGGAGGAACGAGCAACCAAACGGGGAGACCCTCTAGGCGGGTGCGTAGGTGGCGTGAGCGGGCTCTGGATTGGTTTTATTGCTTGGCCATTGCCTGTGCAACCCTGCCTGAGAGCAATTTAAAGGGGCTAATTGGATCGTCGTGCGTCGTTAGTGCTGGCAAGCCGCCGGTGCGCTGCTGACGGACGCGCCATTTCAGCAATAAACATTCCCTCCATGTAACCTCATAATGGCACCAAATATGTCCCGATTTGGGCAATGGCAGCAAAAGACCTGTGCCTGGCGCCGGGGGTTTCAGGTCGCTGCCGCCTGCTTACATCTGGTGCCCGTTTCCCCAGCATGAAAAGTCCGAGGTAATGAGCGTCGGAATGGCTTCAATTCACCTCCGTCGAGCATTCCAGAGGACCATTTCATCAATAACTGTCAGCCATCTAGCTTGGACCCTGACTTCTCATCCAGAGGGCTGCCACCTAGGGCTGGGTCTGCTGGTGGAGAGGACATGGTTCACCTGCCAAGTGCCAAGGACCAGCCACCATAGTTTCCGGTGAGCCAAATGAGAGACCCCACGTCCAGTCCAAAATCTGACAGTGCCGCTGAGCCAGACGGCCTGTTCTGCTGCTTCGCCGCCAGAGCGCGCGCTCTGTGCCTGTTGATTGCTAGCCGTATGCCACCTGCCGATCCGGGACATTGCCATGGTCAAAATCAAGATGCTTCTCGCTTCTCTGTCGTTTTGACGTGTATTGATGCGTTCAACACCTCGTCAAGCTTTGTTGGTGATGACTGCTCTGTTGGTGATTCAGTGCTAGCCCTGCATATACAACACAACACACTGGGACCAACAGTGGGACAATGCCGCCAAGTTACAAGAACCCCATGCCGAACAATTCATCACTTTAGTGCGCTTTCACCATGTGTCGGGTGCAGAGAATCTCAGACAGTGCCTGATCAGTGATTCATCACATGGCCTAGCCGGACATCGCCCCGGAAGCCATTCGCCCTAGTGTGAATTGTCACACTTCAAATGCGGGGCCCCTTTTCAGGAAATCTCGGAATCTGGTTACTAAAATCACTAAACGCTCCTAAGGCTGGTCTAGACTCGTCACCCTGGATCTCTCCGCGCTTTTGCTGGCGATTCATGGGAATTATTCCTGCGTATCGGTCCGGCGTTGACGTAGAGACGCGACTTCTTGTGTGTACCCTAACTAAAGCTGATAGTTGAAGAATGACCTAACTTGGTAATTGAATAATAAACAGACATGCTGCGGCAGTATGTCAGGGCGAGAGCCGCCATGCATCAATTGATCATTGTCGCTACAGTCCGCGCAGGAGCAGCCTGGGTTTTGCTACATCTTTGTTCCCCAGAGGCGGCAACCAGGCACTACCCATGAAAATTACAGATATTCCTCAGCTATCATCTTGGGAAGTTTAACACATGCGCTGTGTGTCTGCGTATCGCGTATCGCGTATCCAAGCTGTTTGTTAGCTACAGGGTATGTTGATCTCGTGTTGACTTGGCATTGCGCGATTCTCGGTATGTGAAAAACGATTATCCGATTAGGTACGCAATTGTATCGTCACGTGCTGGAATCACAACCCCGTCTCTCATCGCCTTGGGATAAGCGATGTTCGTAATAAATCCCAATTTAGTACAGCGATCATGTTGTAGAGTGAACTGAAGTTCCCGTGGAACAAGGTAGTATTTGGTCCTGCATGTACGTACTAGAGGCGTTCGCTGCAGCAGCATTTGGTGAATTAACGTACTACGAAAGGGAGGCGAGAAGCGGGACAGTGAGCTGTGGAATCCAGGGCCAAGAACTCCAATTCCTTCCGTCGCTCGGCCCGGCGTAGCCAGGCATTCAGCGTCCATCATCATCGACTGTAACGAGGAGCAGTGCCACTTGGATGCAGTTGGCTCCACTAGCTAAGATCTCGTTCGGGAGAAATTTACCTGTTGATATTCTTAGTAATCTAGGACTCCGTTTGGACTGGACAAGCGGACGATGACTCTCCGAAGATGCGAGCTTGATGAGGTGTAGGAGGCAACTGTCTGGAGAGTCGGAGGGACACGCACGCAGTATTGACATCAGAAACATGGCAACGGTGATGAAAGAGTACATGTATGCTGCAATAAATGTTGGTAGTAGGTTTAATCATGACATTGATATTGATAATTTGTAACCACCCCGCAACCATCATTAATCATATGCATCGAAATGTTTGACCCAAGGCCCAACATAAGATTAAAAATAATAAAGACAACGTGAGAGAAAATCTCAAGTAAACTCAAACATACAAGAATACTGCATCAGAAAATGCAGAAAGGCATCTCTTTCCATCGCCATGACCAATACCTCGTTGGTGATAATTGCCAGTAAGGGTCCAGGGTAGGCAATAGTCCGCAACGAGTGTTTGAGGGAATGAGACCAAGGTTCTATAATTAGATCATTGGATCAACGGAACATATTTCATCACAGAAGGACGCTACACAGTATGTGCATCGCCCGTTCGTTGGTGGATGAAAGGCAAAAAATAACCTGTTATTTTGATTAGATCAACCAACGAGTTTGTTTCTAGAACCTGAACTATGGACGGGCATTTCCTGGCATGGTTAGTAGTTCTGCTGATTGTTCTAAAAATGAACAGCCGACTGCGTAACCCGGGCTATGTCAGCATTTCCCCACTGAGCGCAGCATGGACAGCTGCTAAAAAAACATACCAAAGCGGATCTTAATAAGCTGTTCCCGGTACAGAGGGCCTGTGCTGAACAGCGCTGTTGACCAGAAGTTGCTCTTTGGTTCGCCACCCCCGTCACAGGCAGAAAAGATCCTGTTCGTTGGCTCACGTACCTGACTAGTTACCAAATATGCCAGGGGAGCGACCTATTTGGGGCATGCCTAGCGGGCTGGACCGTTGGATCACTGCCGAATGCTCACAGTGTGTCCGTCTTGGTCTTGAGCGCCCCTCAGCTCGCATGAGATTGAGGCCCCGTTAAGGAGCGGCACCCATGGTAAAGTCAACAACTGGACCAACTTCCGTGGTACAAGCCTAGTGTATGGGCAGCTTGGTGCCTGTGTTGCGTAGCCTGTAAGTCATTTCGTCTCTTCGGGACATCGCCAACAGGTGGATTGCCTCCATGCCATCCCTTGCCACCACTCTGCTGATCACGTCGTTTTGCTGTCGTGTGCCTTCTCCACAGCCTCGAATACTTCCGGCGACCCAGGCTGGTCACTCACCATCTCGAGATATATAAACTGCTCTCCCGCTGCCTCCAAAACGAGATGAAGCATCCAGCATTCAACCACCCACCTCACCCATAACAGCACCATCTTCACATCTAGAGCCGGTCTCTACGATAATTCACTTCAATCTTCCCTTTTTACCAATTTACAATATTGCCGGTCAATATCAACTTTTTTACCACCTTCAATTCTTAATTTAATCAACCCTTTTCAACCCTTTTAAATCAATCAAAATGGTCTGCTCCAAGAAGATTACTCTTTCTGTCACCGCCGCCGTCCTTCTCGGCGTGGCTGACCATGCAATTGCTGCCCCCCTTCCCCGCATGGACGTTGCTCCCCGAGCGGAAGGCAGCATTGGTGCTGCTTATGAGGCGCCCCTCGTCCAAAGAGAGGTGGAGGCCCTGGATGAACGTGACGTCGAGGAGGTCGAGGTCCGCGATGTCGAGCTCCCAGCCGAGCGCGATGTCGAGGAGGTCGAGGTCCGAGATGTTGAGGAACTCGTGGAACGTGACGAGGACCTGGAGGAGCGCGAGTTTGACGAGCTTCTCGAGCGGGACTTCGATGAACTGATCGAGGAGCGTGAGTTCGACGAGCTTCTCGCGCGCGATGTCGAGGAACTGATCGAGGAGCGTGACTTTGATGACCTCCTTGATGAGCGCGATGTTGAGGATCTGGAGGAGCGTGAGCTGGAGGAAGCTCTTGAGGAGCGCGACTTCGACGAATACTTGGAGGAGCGTGAGTTCGATGAGCTCCTTGCGCGCGACCTCGAGCTCCTCGAGCGGGATGTTGAGGATATCTATGAGCGTGACGCTACCGAGCTGAGCGAGCGCGACATCGAGGAGATGTACGAGCGTGATCTTCTGCTCGACGAAGATGCCTATGAGCTCGTCCTGCGCTCGCTGGCTGACGAGATTGATGAGCGTGACATCGCTGACGAGATCTACGAGCGTTACGACCTCGCAGACCTGGAGGGCCGTGACCTTCAGGATATGGAGGAGCGTGACCTCGACGCCGTTTCCGAGTGGATTGACTTTGCTGTCAAGCGTGGCCTGGACTTTGACCTCGAGTAAATGTAATATTCGGCAGAGTTGTATACGCAGGAGGAAGGCGCCCAGGATGATTATGGCTCATCAATTTAATTCATAGATATATACCCCAAACTTCTTAAAAACCCAGAAAATCAATAAATTCAAATACTCCTCATTATTATCTACAATTGCCGCCCGCAATATCTCGTGACATTTATCATCCAAATTCATTTCATCGGCAGTGAACTGCTGAAGACAAACATTACCATCTAAATGGCTGATTTCCTGGATCCCACTTTGTTATCCTGTTGGAATGGGGTGGCAGCGAGAAGATTCCTATGGCCCAAATTATCATCTAAAAGGATGAAAGGCGTGTACAAAATCCCCAATTAAACGCCGACAAGCCTTTGTGGTAGCAGCATGTTTTGTGGCCTGGGGCCTAGGGGATCATACTCGTGCTTGGCTACTGAGAGAAGTCTACAATCTGCAAAGCGCGGGGTAATTATGTGCATATTTGGCACTGTTTGTTCTTCATAGCCCGAGAATGGGGCTGTGCCCTGAGTGATTGGGCATTCTGCTCCACGAGGAGGAGGCGGGGGACTGGCTGCGGCAGACTGATGCTGCAAGGTTGTGTCCTGCAAGACTGTCAAGTTTAGGACCTGACGTCTTATTCGTATTAAACCGATCCAGCTCCTTCGTTATCGGTCCCGGAAAACAACAATGGTCTCGACCACCTGCTGAGGGGAAATCGGATGTGCATGTAGCCTGTCGCTTCACGTGGCAGCCCTTGATAACCCCCATGGCCAAGTTGACCGGCGAAACGAGCCCTTGTTAATGAGCTATACTGTGAACGGCCATAGATTCTAACTAGCATGCTGAGCTACGTATGGATTTTCACGAGTGCAGGACGGTTCGGTTGCAATAGCGGCCGGGAGGAGTCGGCATTAATTGCCAGATTCGCGGTAATGATGGCATGTTCCCACCAGTGAATGCAGACGATGTAGCATCCCGCCTGGTCTTGCAAGCTGGGATGAGGGGGTTTGCTTCTGGAAGACTCTGGGAATGGCGGTATGAGCTTGAGAGACGGGGATTTAATCCGCCGGTGGCCATGGGAGAGAGACATGGGCGAGAGACATGGGCGAGAGGCAGAACCTCGCCAGATTTCATAGACACGATCATTCGACGGACGTTCAGGTTACACCATTTGATTGACGATGAGTGAGCATCGAGGGAGCAGAGGCCGCTCTGGTGGTGGAGTTCGGCTAAAAAGCCCGTCATCAATATGCACGACTGAACAAACTACGAACATTCCCCGACGGATGCCTCGCTGCTAGTATGCACCTCTGGCGGTGACCGAAACCTTGATTGCTGCTGACGGCGTCATGCCCCGATGCATCATGCATCATAGGATGGGTCAGCGCTCTTGTGAATGACCAGTCAAAGGCAACGGGATAGAGGCGGGACAGCGCATCGTCTTTATCCTTGTTCTTCGCCGGTCATAGAACAGGCAGGACGCAGTAGCTTATGCGCGGGGACTGGAACGAGTGGACACCAATTATTCCAGGATACACGGCCGAGTTGCGCACCTCATGATGAGATCTACGGGGTTTGCTGGTGAGTAGGGGAAAGGCAAACTGGATATAGCCGTCGATAGAACCAATCGCAAGGAAGCCAGTGCTATTTAGGCCAACCATCAATGCCATTGAAAGAAGAATTCATCGTCAAGCAGACGAATGTTCTGCTGCAAAACATCGGCTCCCCCACCATAAACCTTACATCCCTGCTACACGAGGAAAACGGATGGTTCCATCGGAAGCAACCCATGTCTACCATACCATAGCAGTATCTTTCTCAAGGACCTGAGTAACCCGCAAGCTTTACATGCCGAGCTGAATGTGGCCGAAGCGGCCATATGATGCTGTAGAGGGTCAAGTTGGGCTTGGGATGCCGCTCGAATAAGCTTTGCCTGGTGTCCTCGAGATCCATCGTTTCCGGCGCGGGCCGGGATCCTAAGCCTTGGGATGAAGCCAGACAAAGAGAGGAGAAGGCGGGCCTTTCTGCACGTGTTGTGAGGGAACCCACACGTTTCCCCCATCCCCTCACCACCTAAGCCCAGACCAGGAGGGATATCGTACCACCCTTACCGTCTGCATGCTTGGCTGAGCGGCGAATGTGCTGTGCCCGCATTAGGCCAGCATTAGGCCAGCATTCATCTACAGCATGGTAGTCCTGGCGCACATAAACCCAGTAGGGGTTAATCCGATCCAATTCGTTAACGCAGGGTCCTTCTCTGAACCCCAGTAACCAACCTACCCATTAGATCAAGCTGGTATGGCACATGATGGATAGTCAGGTCGGGGAAACCCATAAGCAGTGAAAAGTGCTTGGGGCTGCGCACCCGCTGCTTAGTTTCCCATCCCCATTTCCACTAAACAGTCTCGGATTCGAGCTTGTGATACAGCTTATCTCTTTGCTTGTTTTATCTTGACCAATTCCCCCGTGCCTCGAGTTGAGATGGCCGAGGAGAGTGCTCGTCCAGTGGCCACACAGGCTACCAGTTCTGCGGCTCCCGCCCAAGCTGCTGCTGCTCAGACCACGGTGGCCGAAGAAACCACTGCCGATGGAGATACGCACATTGCGGCGTTGGTAGGCGCCCCCAGGGGTCACACCACATCTGTATTAGCATTGAATCTGACATGAATAAACCCTTTATTGTCATAAATAGGAAGCTGAAGCTATCGATGATGAAGATGGAGACTCTGCCCTTGGAATTGTGAGATGCCTATCCAACCACCTCATGGGACCTGCACGAAAACATAACGGCCCGACCCGTGAAAACCGGACTAATTCCATGTCGATTACCTAGACCGACGATCAATTGTCCTCCGAGTCATTGCGGTCCAGCATCTACCATTACCATATGGAAAACGGTCGCATGTATCATTCGCTAAGCCAAGGAAGTACGTCTTGTCTCGGCTTATTCTGGTAGGACATGGCTAATTCTATGATAGAATACATCCTGCCCAATGACGAGGTTAGCATTTAACTCGCAACGCCGGAGCATGTGATTATATGTTACTGATTTTGGGTCCATTATTTAGGAGGAGAATGACCGGCTTGGTACGACTCACACAATAGCTGACGTCCATTCGATGGATTTGTGCTAATATGAGAGCTGTAGATATCCAAAACCACCATTTTCGGGTCACCTTTGATGGACGTCAATACTTTGCCCCAGGCGCAGATAGTGCCAAGCGTGTTCTTGATGTTGGAACCGGAACCGGTATATGGGCTATTGAGTTTGGTATGATTTTGACTCCTTTGATCCGTCTAAGAAAATACTGACCATTCTACGTAGCTGATGATCACCCTGATGCCACGGTTTGTTACACTGGTTCTTTGATATGGAGATGTATCAGTATTAACAGATACAACAGGTCATCGGAGTTGATCTTAGCCCAATCCAACCGGAATTGTAGGCCCTCGCCTTTACAATTTGCTTCAGTCACTGTCTTGCTAACTGATGCGCTTCACTTGATAGCGTCCCTCCCAACTGCCAATTCGAGGTCGATGATTTGGAAAAAGAGTGGACATGGACAAAGCCATTTGATTACATCTTTAGCCGCATGATGATCATGAGCTTCGCGAGCTGGGACAACTACTTGGTGCAAGCGGATAGGTAGGTCGCCCATATTACTTCCCCTTTGACCAAGCATTGCATGTTATTCTTGGAGCAAGCAACGAAGTGAGATGAAGTCAACTGATAATATTATTAGGCATCTGGCACCTGGCGGGTGGATCGAAATGATTGATATCTACTTCCCAGGTGGTTCTGATGATGGGACTTTGACAGAGGATCTCAATCTCTTCAAATGGAACGAGTACATGCGCAGGTCCAGTGTTGAGCTCGGCCGTGATTGGATGGAGGTGCAAAACCACAAGAAGCGACTCGTCGACTTTGGGTACCAGAATGTCCAGCAGAAGAACTTCAAGTGGCCTATCAACACGTGGCCCAAGGACAAGAAGCACAAGGAGGTCGGCCTGTGGACCCTTGCCAACATCGAAGCCGGCCTGGAGGGTCTATGCATGGCTCTGTTTACGAGAGGTCTGGGATGGACCAAGGAGGAGGTGGTGTCTTTTGTCGCCGCTGTTCGCAAGGAGATGAGAGATCCCCGTATTCATGCCTACTGGCAGATGTAAGTTGCTGGCTGACCACACCAGTTTTAGTTTTCTCTTGATTACATGGCTGACGAGTGATTTCCCAGTGTTGTTATTTATGGACAAAAGCCATATGATAAGTAAACAGATTACCTTGGGAAGAACAGAATGTTACTGGGTTGATGCCGGCGGCGTATGGTTTGTATGGCTCGGGCGATCGCGTATAAACGGGTCGATCACATATATAGGCATACCGTGAAGAAGAAAAAGCAAATAAAAATCCAAGTGGCATTGTTATGTGATGAATAGTTGAAGATGGTCTCCCTGAAACGCACATAGTAGAAGTAAGGCGGTTTGATTTGTTTGGTAGCCGCTCTTCTTATCTTGACTGTGCTATTTATACACTATAATGAGTCTCAAATCGGAATGAATTCATTGATTTGATTGCAAACCCATCAATGCCTCTAGCAACAATCATGTTGATAACAATAACTATGGGAATCCCAACTCGAACTTCACCATTGATGCCGGTTCGTATCCGATATACTTATTCCCTTGGAAGGGGGAAGGCCCATCCCCATAAATATAATCCTGAATTTCATTAGATACGCGGACGAATGGTCCGCTCATAACCAGTTTCTGACATGTGCAGATGGTCAATTTGATCCATTCTTGCTTTTGCCGGCGACGCCAATCCAGCTTGTATTTGGCCTCACCAAGCACCTGCCCATAACTCCCCTTTCCAGACCGGAAATGGAGTCTGTCTAGCTCGACGGAGCGCAGGGTGCGAGGCATTGTCCCGAGAAGAGCAATCAAATCCTGTGAGCGAACGCACATACCTGAAAGGCCAAAATGGCGGAGCCGGGGCCAGCATTCAACCGGAAAGACATGAATCAAGGGAGGGATGTGATCACTGGGGATTATGCTCGTCTGGACGCCGGTTGTCTGTAACCACACTGAACTCGTCTGCAGCCTGAAGTGCTCCAAATCTTTTGCGCCGCTCAACGCCTGCCGGAAATGCCCACTACTAAATAGAGGTGCCTGATGAGTTTGACCTTCTACGGCAACGGCTAGGTCTAGGCGACGGAAGCCTGGGCGGCGGATCAATGTGGTTAGGTCACGGAGCTCATCACACGGATCTTCGAATATGCGATGGCTGATCCCGGTCGGGAAGATTCCTGCATCCAAGACGAGTTCTGAGACTCTGCACTCGCTGCGTGAAAGCTCGGCAAGCAATTTGAAAACGGTACGCACCCCTTGCCACATGTTTTTCTCCGATTCTGTAAGCCGGTGCCAGGGCTCAGAGAGTTCATGATTGTTCACTATTCCGAAAGGGCCATCGAGAGTCCAACGATAAGGGAAGGGATAAATGAACCCGTGTGGGAACTCGCGGACCATGGGGGAGGGGTATCGTGGATTGTGCACACCACCATGGGCGTCGGGCGTGATGGTGATTCGCTGAAGAGCAGGGAACCGGCTCACACCAATATGCAAGGCGTTCACATGACGACCAGACTGGCGTAATTCATCTTGCGCCCGGACGAGTTCTTTATAATACTCATACGAATCTCGGGTTCGCTCATGCCTGCGAGGGCCTATGTCGTCTTTTTTACTGTTTGACCACATTTGCTCGATATCCAGTCTCCGGCCCTCAGCATGCTGCACGAACCATGTAGTTGAGGCATCATTCTCTGAGAGACCACCGTGACTGGTTTTTCTCGGTGGAAAGGTGGTAAAAACTGCGTCATCCCAGACAATCTCGGTGACGAAGCGGCGCAATGTCTCGTGAGCTGCAATGGCTAGAAAGACCTCAACATTGCGCGGATTGGCCGAGAGGAAGACGCGATCTATTCGTGGTTCTAGAGAGGCACACAACTTTCTCGATGACAAGCGCATATGCTTAATATCTGTGAGATCGACATGTGACTGAACGAGTAGGAGAAGCTCGGTTGGCAGAGTAACTAACGACATTGTGACTGCTTTTCATGAGGATGAAGGGAAGAAATCGGCTCTCGTCGCTCAAGCTGAATGAGAAGTTAGTTACTCGATAGTCTGGTAATCTATGATGCCCAAAACGTCGACATGCAGAAGCGGGGTGGTCGTCTGGCCTTCAGTGCGTTGTCAAATCGTACCAATTAGGTCAGAAGCTTTGCCTCGATTTCCTTATTTGATAGGTATCCTGTTTAATTAAGAAAGTATCGATATCTTTCTCGTGACTCCGAATGGTGGCAACGTCATATCATTTACTAGTGACATGTACGGGATGGATGATTGTGATGAATGCATATTAAAATCCAGGTATCTACTGATTATAAACCGCCTAAATAATCATGTCTCATGCGACTAGAAATAGATCACAAATTATCTTGTGATCCCGTGCTGCTATCAGGGTGATAAGACATTCTACGAGGTATATTCCATCTCGGGATGAACTATGACACCAATGCTCTGTAAGTGCTGTAGCTTTTTTGTTGTATATGTTCCGCTAGAGAATGAGTCACGGCATATGCTTGATAATTTACATAGGAGAGAGATCACGGGACTTGATGATGAGTAGACTTCTTGTGACATGACACTGAGAGATAACTTCAGAGACTTGGAATCAGAGCTTTCGTCCAAAAGAGACTCCGAAATACAATTGTGATAAGGGAGGTGGAATCTCAAGTCGAAGAACTTTCATAATTCTATGGGTTCGGCAATAGTCGAAGGGGGAACATTACCGCGCTAGAAACATCTCGAAGCCAAGCCGGTAGACCCAGTGGTTGAAGATCTTGGACTGAGAGAAGATCTGTCTAATACAAACCGGGTATGAGTCTGTAGATCCCATGTGTAAATAAATCTGGCCATTATTCCGAGCCTTTAAGGTGCGAGGAGATGGAACGCGGAATATCACCGTCGAGCTGGGGTGGCTGGATTGCATCAAGGGCGCGATTTGACTTTTTGCAGAGTGGATAGCTATCCGTTAGTAAACGATTGACAGGAATCGGGTCTGGCCGTGGCAGAGATCGGGAGATCGCTGATTAACCCGATGCGGTGGTCTAACTATGTAGCCATAGCATGGACCGTTGGCGAGAAACTCGGCGATAAGTTTAATACGCCAAAGTAATGGGATAAGCATACTTCGTGACAATAATGCAAATAGCGGAACCGGAGAGGAGCCTTTCGTTGTAAGTCATAGGAAGTAGGATAATTGAACTGCTGGATACCCTAGTGTTGAAGGTTAAGATCGCTGGGAGTCGTTGCATCGGTCTCGGTGAAGACTGCCCACTTGGAGGTTCTGAAAGAATTACTGCATGAACCCTCACTTATTGCTTTTAGATTAGCCTCCCGATCGGTATCGATCATCTTTGTCAACTGGATCGGAAGAACCACCGATCTTCTAAAGAAGAAAGTTTACTTGCTATGAATGAAGCAACGACCCGCTCAATGTTCGCACCAACAGCATCTGGCTATGGGGTTAGTGTTGATGAACACTGGGTTGCATATTTTCTTTTCGTCTAAATGATTTTTTGGCTGCTGGCTCTGAATATAACGGGGCAGTTCGACACAGAGTGGCGGGATATAAGTACGATCAGCCAAACCCCTTGCTGACGATCGTCGACTTTGAGCCGATGGTAAATTTGGGGAATCTGCATTACCCCCAACAAGAAAAGAGGAAAAAAGAGGTGCTCGCTTACGGTGATTCGATTTGACCTAATCATCTTCGGTGTAGTTTCGACAAAGGTTCGTTGGTGCCAAACTTAAAGATGTTGACATGGCGCGAACTGAAGCCAACATTCCTACCAGAAGCGACTGTGGGGTCTTTATACCCGGCCTTGACAACCACTAGTTCAATCAGACACATTTAAGCTAGTGAAATATCTCCCAGGGCCAAGATTTAATGAACCTTGCCTACCGCTCTGACATCAACAGTGAAGTGTTATGGCATACCTACTTAGGGTTGCGACCTTCACTCTGCCGATGGCCGTTTATTTTGGACCAAAAAGATTGACGAGATGACTGTATTTTCTGGAAAAGGGCTTTTGGTATGAGTCTTGTTGGTCCCCACTGGGGTTAAAGACGGTAGAGACTGATCTAAATCTAGGCCGTCGAATGGACGCTTCTTGGCATTGCGCTCATCCTTCTCATCGCACGACTCAATCTACGAATTCGATATCTCCGATCAGGATTTGTGATTATCGATTTATTTATGATTGCAGCCTTTGTCGCGGCTGCTTCCTTGACATCCGGCGACACTTGGTTGTATCACATGAAAGTGTACAAGGCAGATGTGGATTTTCAGATGAATAATTGGAGTTCATCAGTTGAAGAGAAAATCCAAGTTTTCAAGGTATGTGAGAGCATATCGCCAAGATTTTATAAAGACCAACAAAACTGAGTGAATCCGGAGGCGTTCTTCAGTTTATACTTCCCCTTCTATGTCGAACAATATCTCAACAAGGGTACTCTAATTGCATTGTACTTCGAAATATTCGGCCAACATATGGGAAAGACGAGAGCCTCCTTATTTGCTCTTTCGACCTTCTGCATCATTGGATTCACAACTACTGTGCTGATGAACCTGTTTTACTGTCGCTTCGGCTGTTACTGGTACGCCTGTTTCCCATCTCTAAAAGATGTCTGGGGTCGCTGATCTCGTTTAGGTCACTTAACAATCCGTGTGATGCAAGTTGCGTCATTATCAAAGACAATGTGGGCTGGGCTTTTCATTTCTCAAGTGGCCTTCTCAGTAAGTATCACTTGGTGGCAATACAAATCCAAGTCGTTAACCTTACCAACCTAGTCTTTGTTTTGCCCCTGGTTTACATTAACCGGTTGAATATGTCAAAAACACACAGGATTAGCACCGGTATTATTTTTTGCCTTGGCTTCATCAACCTCTGCATCGCCTTGGCCAGGTGGTTCGTCGTCCAGTCTGTGTTCTCACCGAGCCCTTCTCTTCCTGTCGGCGGTACGTTTCTCCCTGCTTATGGATTTTGACCCAACGAAACTTACGTCCTATCACAGAGGCACTTGCCGTGTCAGACGCCCATTCAGCGCTCATAATCTCCATTTTACTATCACTCCGGGCGTACCTGAGAATATTCCGGGGAGAAGACCCCGAGACTCGCCATGCACGCCTCACCAATACCAGTATCAGTGTCAGTGGCCCGGGCTCCCAGGCATGTGCTATCCGTAAAGAGATTACTACATGTCAAGAAATATCCTATCTTAGCGTGTAAGATTGATCATCCTCTCATCATTAGAACATTCAGAAATTAACTGATGGGGTCGACAGGGATGAGCAGGCCTTTTTCCAAGGGAGAGTTCCGGATGTGTTTTGTGACACGAGGTCAATCAGGACGGTATCCGTGAATGGAAATGCGGTCTGAGATTTGAGGTGACTTGCAGCTTAGGCCTGTTACCTTTGATAAGAGGTACTTGAGCCCCCTTCGCACCTCGACCCGTGGTAAGAAGGCTGGCGGTGTCTCAAGCCAGTTAGAGATGTTCCACGCATATGAGTGAATGACGCTACACACATACTTCAAGTTCCTCAGCATTACTCGGTGGGCTGACGAATGATATTTCATTTAGAGAGACATCAATAAGAAACTTTATATAGAATCATCAAATAACTTCGTTATCTCTAAAACACCTAAAGGTGTATGAAATATGACATGGCCGCGATGGAGTGCAATTATCTAGTGCGCAATGAATGAAAAAGATTCCAAAGAGATACAGTCTAATGCAGTCTAAAGAAGTAGAGCCAAAGTGGAATGATCAGAGCCAGCTGTAAACAAACATAATACACCAACATCTCAATACCAAAACGGTTCGAAATAAGACCAAAGAGAAATGGCATGAACGCTGCACCAATTTGGCCCATGGAATTAACAAACGAAATGCCCGCAACCTGCACCTCCCTTGGGAGCAGCTGTGTCATCATAATAATGCCAGAGGGATACAAGGGCCCGAGGAGGAAGCCTAACAAAGCCATCAGAGCTACTGAGACGGCTGGGATGGTTGAAACTGCAAAGGCAACTTGAGAAAGAAGAGCTAGACAAAGGAAAGAGGTGACCAGAAGTTGAACTGGCACATATCTGGTCATTACTCCTAGGGAGAGTTTCCCTGCTGCTAGGCCGAGGTGAAATAGGGAGACGCAAGCCCCCCCAAGCAGATTTGAGCCTTCGTTTACTCTATTCATGTACGCGATGCCCCATCCTGTCACGGTAACTGTGGATAAGAGGTCAGGTTAGGTTGGGGTAAATTGTCTGGGTGGGAGGATGGCTCTCACATTCGACGCCCATGAACGCAAATACATAGGCGCTTCCAATCCATGTGGCAGTATATCCAAAACTGGACTGAGGACTCGGTTCTTCATCGGGTTCTACTTCGTCTCGAATGTTCTTTCGCCCATTTTCGACGTGGAATGACTCGACATCATGTTGCCAAAAGGAATACGCTAGGCATGGTAGCTCGAGGAAAACAAAAGCGGTCTGGGAGAATCAAATTAGCCATGGATTCGGTCGTTTCTTTCTCTGCCTTAGATTTCCCATACAAGAACATAATACCAATTGTACCACGGTCTATGGGCAGCCGAGGTGATGGTGTTTGCCAGAAAAGGCCCAGAAGCGGCACCGATCGAAAACGCACCATGGAGCAGGCCAATGACAGTCTTGGCGGGCTTCATTCCCCCGACCCAGGCGTAGAGCGACCCATCCATCAATCCAAAAAAGCCAACGGCGACGAGGGAGGCCAGGAGAACGGGGAAAGGAGGTGCCTGGGAGGCAGTCAAGGCGTAGGTCAGTTGGCATACTGGTGCGATTATAACGGCGACGCGACGACCGCATTTCAAGTGGAGAGAACGGCTGAAATAGGCGGCGAGGAAGAACCCAACAGGTGGGCAGAGGAAGATTATGGATATGGCTTTATCGGAGAGCTGATAATATTCCTCTAGCTGTATTGGAAGGCGGATTGTTAGCTTGTTGCTTGTTAACGAGTCGATCGGTCGGAGGGCGGCGTCGTACCTGCGGTAATATGGCCTAAAAAGAACACCGTTAGAAATGTTTCGAATGTTGTCGTACATGACATCACAAGATGAGACAAGCCAAGACAAGCCAAAGAGGGCGCAAGAAGGGAGCGATGATGGCTGTTATAGGGTGCAACTCACGCCCAAGGTGGAAGCTACCAGTCCTGCAACGAACAGCGCGTATACTCCAGAGGCTATTTCAGCGAGTGGAAGTGCCTCCTTGGTCGGTTCCAGGATTTCTGAGGACAGGAGCGCTTCTTCCGTTCCACGATGCTGGTCGCGACCCCGCCCGGCGATCAACGGTTCCGATTCCATCGCTGCGCCTCTCGCTGCACGTGGAGCAGTAACCGGTACAAGGTAGCGATGAGGGAATAGGACGGAGCCCGGGGGAAGAGAAGTTGGCGACGGCAGATACCAGCGAGGGTGATGGATGGAGGGATATTAAAATGGCTGGATGGTGGTGCTGGATGGAACTCGCGAGGCAAGCAGGGGGCCGATGGCGGCATCTCTCCCTTCGACTGCGTTAAGACTCGTGGGTCAAGAGATGGAACTGACTAGGATAGCCATGCCCTGTAAGAGTACCTATGATATCGTTGTATTTCAATGAGACGAAAAGTACCTTTACTTGGCTAATTTTGTCTATCACCTGGGTTCAAACCGACTGGAGACCTGTATAAGGTAGATAAGATAAGATAACACCGAGGCGGAAGAGTGGCCAATCAGATGGGCGCGATCGGCGATAAGGGTCACGCTTATCGCCTTACGTCATCCTCTTGTTCTTTGTAGCTCCTCGGAAATCTGGACTTGTAAAATAGCTTGAGATAACTACACAGTCGCGAGGCTTGACGAGTCATGAAGGGGCCCTTACTGACGCTTGTTATCAAGAATAATATCCCTCATATATCCATAGATGGCCATATGCTTTCATAGGGGGGTCGCGGTCGAAGGGGAAATCGAGCTCGAAGCTCATTCCGTCTAGCTTCGCCCTCTAGTCTGAAACTGACGATGGATTGCAATAGCCTACATGTATCACAAAAACCGTCATAATTTCACTGAGTATAAAAGCTAGATAAATCCATATCATTAAATAAAAAATACTGATGTCAAATTTCCGAAACACTGCACTTAAAATCCACGTCCGCTATGCCTTTCGGCAATGGTTAACATCCAGCCGACAAAGACAACACCGTAGTCTCTCTGAGCCCATCAAGGTATTGGTGATGCATTCACACCTTCAATCTATTCTTCCAGCACAATACGCGAAAGGGGCGAAGGATTTGACTCAGGATGAGCGGTTTCTTGGTGCTCAAGTAGTTGATGAAAATCTGACCAATTCCTGCCGCAGCATCGGAAACCTTTCAAGTACTCGACCCCTTTGGTACGTATGGAGAGAGAAGAGTGAACTGAAGAGGAAGCCTTGGACGAAGATACCGACCCACGCCAAGGTTTGGCTGCGCTGAGCATTCTTTCAAATTCTCCTGATCCTAGTCCCGATGATGATTTTATTTCGGCCCATTCCCTCTTCCTATTGCGTTCCTGAGGGATAGCGATGCGATCAACTTTAGGCATAGGGTTATCGGTACTTTCTGGGAGAGGCGGTGATAAAGTAAGACTGACGTGCTGATTTTTTTGATGAGATGCAGGTTCGTCGTCTGAGCAGTCTGACATTGTGAATTCATCATATGCCGTTCCAAATGATTCCTCTATAGTAGGTAATGCTAGTGATGAGTTTGTCTCGCTATTTTTAGACGTGGATAGGGGAATTTCATGATGATGAGTGACCTTGACGCATCGCAAAATTTCCAATAGCTCCTTATCTCCAGTAAGGTCATTGGATATTCTTGGTGGCAGCTGGCCATCACTTGACCTTGGCCACGGATTAACCTTTCCAGTCGCCAGTAAAATACGTATGATGCCCAAATACCCTGCGTCTATAGCGTAGAATAGTGGCGTCTTCCCTGCATTATCTTTTCTGTCCAATTCGATTTGGTATTCAGAAGAGGAGGGATCTTCTTGAATCCCGTGCTCGAGTAATTGTGCAACTATTGAAGTGAGGCTAGCTTGCGCGGCCCAGGATAATGGGCTCCTCCCGCATTTATCTAGAACGTCAAGCTTAGCACCGTGCTGTATAAGAATTCTAGCGATAGATGTCTTTGATTTTGAGCACGTAAGTCCTAATGAGGTTCGCCCAAGCTTGTCCTGATGGTTGATGTTCACAATATCGATCAAAGAAGAGATCCTCTGCTCTGTTATCCAATTCTCCTCAACGCCTCTATGGATAATGGTTCGGCCATACGAGTCCAATTCACCGCTGAATTTTCTCATTAATGGCTTATTCGATAAATCTTTTTGACGAAGCATGTTTAGAACCATATGTGCTGGAGAAAGTGATGGAAGCATGTTCTTCGCTTTCATTTTCGGTAGCTCGGTGAAAAGGTCATATACCGTATCATAGTAAGATTTGATGGCAGCGTTTGAAGTCAATGAGCTTGCCCTCATTGTAATCGCATACTGAAGGCGTATAGACGCTTCGTAATTCGAGAGGGCCGTTGCCTTCTCTACTAGCGAAGCTAAGGCATTTGTTATAGAACTGTCCTGGCAGCCTTGACAACCAAAACACTTGATGTGAAGGTTGAGGGTTAAGAAAAGAGATAGAAGAAGGAACGACATCTGGTCAGATTCTGAATCCATCACCAACTGCCGAAGTTCTCGGAATACTGCGATTCGGTTTGAGCAGATTTCTTCATGTAATAGAATGTCGCTTTGGCGAAGCTGAGGGAGATTTGGATTAGGCTTGTGGTTAAAATAAAAGATACTGAGGTTAATAGCCATACTTCGATTCCACCTGTATATGATTTAGCGAGCGGATCGCGCCTTTTAGTAGCTCGAACTCACAGTTCAACGTAGTCACTGAAAGTCACGTTGGATTTGGTCATGTCCCATCCATTACCAATGGGTAATGTAGGCTCAGAGGATGCGCTCGCCTGCTGGCCAGCTAGAACACTTTCTGAACAATCGAAATTCTTCTGCGCACATCGATCGCATTTCTGCCCAGGCCATACTCGGTCCCCGGGCTCACACTAGCCGTCTGGTCAACATAGAACAGCAGGTAGAGAACGAGAGATGCAATATACCTTCTGTTTATCCTTTCTACATTGCGTGCATTTTTTGTAGTTCAGTCGCCTGGGTCCGTCCGTCATTTTGTTGCTTGTCTTTTGCAAGTTGCCACGCTATTCGATACGTCAAGAGGAGCCTGGCTTCGGAGTCGACAAGGTGAAGCTAAAATCTGCGATTTAGGAAGAGACGGCTGGTTGAGGCGGTGTTGAATGGGGCTTCGAATTTTGGTATCGAGGAGAGAAAGATGTTTATTTTGTAGGAAAAGAGAAATATGAGATCTTATGATTGAACAAGCCCTGGACTGAGAGTTGATTGGGCGCAGCCTGCAGTAGGTCATCGCAGTCATCGCACAGCTGCGTTAATGACTTCTAATTGGTTCGCCAACCAACAGGTAATTCAGGTTATGCCGTGCCCATCACAATTCATAATATAATGCATACATTTCTCAGCTTAGCGCTCTCGCAGTCATCGCACTGTTACATCGGAGATTTCTTATTGGTTCGCTGCGAGCCACACTAAAGGTGGTAATTCAAGGTATGCCGTGCCTATCGCAATTCACAACATTGAATGCATACATTGATGTTTTATCGCAGTGCCCATCGCACTCTTTGCTTCTAGGTATCTTTCCTTGTGAGCTACGGGATATTGATATGAAATCTCTTGTTTGTAAAAATGAGGTTAACTATTGGTCACTCTTTTTATCCATGTCCCTGTGTGTTTCGGGAAGCCCTTTTCTTGGTCTTGCCGTCTATAGGCACGATGTAGTTTTAGGCCAAGTTCATGCTCTTCCCTTTGAACCTCTGAAAGTTGTTCTTTGATGGCTTCAATCTTCTTCTTTTCCTCCTCACGCTTTCGCCGATCCTCAGTACTGGAGAATAGCGAATCTTTCGGCAATAGTGATATCATTTGGTTGATGGATCGAACCAAGTTGACCCGTTGATGTGCAAGCATTTGTAAGTTGGAAGTCAATAAACTAATGCGATCCTGGGTTTCAAAAACTGCTGGAACCATGGGCAGCTCTTTCTCTGACTCTGCCGCCTCCTTTTCGTCTTTAGCATTGGACATGGTTGTGTTCTGACCCGAAATATTATTGGCATTATCAACAATGCTAACCAAATTATTACTCCCAGGACTCGGTACAGGTGGGATCTTTATAGGTAGTTCGGCTTGTTCATCTGATTGGGGTGGAACAGTATCCGAAGACGATTCTATTGATTGCAGCATTTGTCGCTCAATAGAGTTTCCACTGACTCCGACTGCACGTGTATTACCGGCGTTTTGTTGACCGAGTGCTGGGGTATCCGAGTTTGAGGTAGATAGGCGAAGCGCATGCGAATCAGTTCCGGGATGAATCAACTGACTGGTTGGAGACTGATGAGATGTTAGACATGATTTTCTTTCAACGTCCTGAAATGCTAGGGGATGGAAGTCCAAGGGTTCTTTCTCCATCTGATTGGGTTGTGCATTCCCTGATGGTGTTGTGTCTTAAGATTCTCTATCTTCGCCGTGTTACTTACTGCTTCAACTTGCTCTGTACTAAGCTCTCCTTGAGGTGCCTTGTTTGCTTCTGTGGCCATAAAAATATCCTTGGCATTTGAGGCTTCTATTCCTGGCTGTTGGGGTAAGGTCACTGATAGCGGCAATGACTTCCGCCTAATTTCTAGATTCTTCCGTGGGTATGTTTGTATGTCGGAATATCCCCTGTGAAAATGTGTTTGTACTGAACTATTAATCTGTTCGCGAGTTTCTTGATTCTCAGAACGCTCCGTAGGCCACGAAGCCGAAGCTGTCGTAGGGACCGTTGTTTCTGAATCTTCTAGCAGTGGCCGCTCGTCCATTGTTGAAGCCCTTAATTGAGGACTGATTGCTAATTTGGGCTGTTTAAATGATTGAGAAGCGGAAATAGAAGGGGAATTCTGGAAGTGAGATTGCCTCATTGTTCCAACGTCTTCCCGGGAGCTCCTTGTCGGCCAAACCGCTGAGGGTCCTGTCGTTCCCTGGTGGCGATACGGTATATCAGTGGTATTGGAGTTATCTGCAAGGGGCGTGTTGGGCTGTTGCCCGTACGAATTAGGGATGTCTTGGTCGAACCATGGATGTTCTAGTGCATCCAATGCGGTGAGTCGGTCTGTGGGATTGCAGACAATGAGCGATTTCAAGAACGCAATCCCCCCATCACTTACTGACAGGTCTTTCAGAATAGTCTCAGGAAATTTCATCTGCCCGAATGCAAATTTTGAAAGCCTTGCCACATTTCCAAATGTGGCTTGGCCAGTGAGGACCCTGAAAAGAGTCTCTCCAAAGCACCACATGTCAGTGGCATAGAGGTTACTGCACCTTTCAGTATCACTCATCACGAATCCATGGAGTTCAGGAGGCCAGAATACAGGCGTTCCGCGCCTTGTTGTAGTTGAATTCATCTCAGGCCCCGAGCTACGTCGACTGATTCCGAAATCAGCCAGCTTAACTGCCCAAGGGCTCTCTGGCGGGTGGCTTTGAATAAGGATGTTCTTGGGAAGAAGCATATCCTGTTAGTAAGGCTCGGATAAAAGTATGGAATGTATCTGAGGTTTATCTTACCGCAGGTTTTATATCTCGATGTGCAAAGTACTCCTCGTGCATGCTGGAAATCGCTTCCATGACTTGAGATGCAATCTCGCGGGTCTGGTCCTCTGGAAGTCGATGGCCCGGGCACTTATCGAAGAGAAACATTTGCAAATCCCCGAGTTTGCAGTACTCCATTGCGATGTGAACAGTATCTTCGCTTGTGAACCACCCAAGAGATTTGACAAACAGATCTCCATACTGGTGAGCACCAAATATACATGTCAACAAAAATTTATCTCAAGGCATCGATAAGGGACATCCTTACCCGCAACGAAGAAAATTTGGCAATTGTCTCGAGCTCGCGAACATAAAAGTCGCGGTTGGACAAGAGCTCGGCTTCTGGAATACGGATGTTTTTGACGGCCCGGAGCTGTGTTGGGAGTCCCGTTCGCGTCGACTCCCTGCATTGCAAGTCCACTGACCCGAATCCACCGGCGCCTATCGTCTTGATTCGAACCCATACATCCTCTTTCTGTTCGAGACGGCCTCTAGTTCCTCGGGGGTGGACGATGTATTGTTGTTGCCCGTCAAAACGGAATACCACGCGTAGCTTCGAATCTCGTACGGATTCGGGGAGACTTTCGAGGTGGTCGAGGGCTGCCATGATGGCACAAGGCCGTCCAGTTGCACTGAATGCTATGGAATAGGCGTGATTACAACAAGAGGCTTGAGAACTTTGGAATCAAACGCATCCACCGTCGCTCGCAATCAAGCGTGGCTATGCAAAGAAGTCAGTCAGCCTTGGGAAGCTGAAATCTGGCTGGCACAGGCGAGCGCTTACTGAAGCGGGGTTACTTCACCAAAAATAAATGTCACATGCAGATCAGACTTGGCGGTTAGGAATAAATATCCAAGAAAAAGAGATGGAAATTCATACAAGATAGCAACTAGATCAGCTAGAAGCTCGAGGCATCCTGTAGACAACATCATTCTAGCCTAAGCAATTTTCTTCTCCCGTATTGAATATGCGTAATATGTTATAGATTAATGTAGGCAACTTGAGGTGGGATAGCGGCGCTTAGGCAGCAATGCCCCCCTGTCCCCATGCCGTGCTGACATTTGATGTATAACGTATCATTGAACGGAGTGAGGTGTGAGTTGTCTCCTTCCCCTCAATTTTTTAGCTGACTCTCCTCATACAGTGCTAACTGAATTTCATATATTTCTGTAAGGCCTGGAGTTCAGAAGTGTCTCTTTCTATATTGCCTACAGAGATCGCCGATCAGATCATCCCTTTTGAGAGCATCGCCCTCACCTGTAAGTCACTCTTCCATATCTACCAACCATTAAACAATAGATACAGCAGAAAAAAAAAGACATTTCAAAAGCTTTAGTTAATCACAGCATTTGCCCAATAGTAGATGCAATACGTTGGGTGATGAATCCACTTGCTTAATTCTTTGATACTCGGATAATACCACCGCGTTCACTAGTTAAAAAATACCATACATCTTCGCCCTCCTCTACATCATGCTAAGAGATCCTGCCATCGGCCGCTTTATCCGTTCGCTTGATCTCAAGCACTGCTGAGTTCTGCTTCCTTTATCTCATACTCATTATAGCATACACCGCGTGCACATTCAAGGGCGACCCTTGTCTAGAGCAGTAAAGACAAGATACACATCCGCTAATTTCTATCAAACTCTCTATCTAGTTAGGATCTCCTCAAAGATACTTCAATCTTCAACTTAGATACAATATCTATCACCGAAGCGGAAATATTGCTTCTTACTATATTACCTTACATCACAGATATAGCCCTTTCCAAAGCATAGGCTTATTCTATTCCATTAAGTAGGCTGATTCAGCTAGCAGCTATAGTTAAACGCGAAAAGCGAGGCCCCTCTATCATACCTACAGGTTATAAAGCCCTTTGTTGGACATGGCTTTGACTCCATTGCACCCCACTCCCAGCTAATGCCTTTCCTTGTATTGGATTCTCTTGGAGAGTTTAACATAGGTGGTATCCAGGCATTTGAAATCTCCCCACAGCAAGACCACTTTCGGCCCGGCTGTTTTAGCCCCCTCTCACGATAATTAGACTGAATAGGTCTTGCATTAGTGCTATCGAGCTACCTAGGGTTGCTGTCCCCGACACTAAAACTGAAATGCTTACGCCGGTCCCACTGTTTGCCAGCCGCAGTTCACACTGCATCCATGCTTTATCGTAGTGCCCATCGCACTCGTTGGTCGTAGGTATCCATCCTCCGCATTTTCCATGATGCTCCGAGCCTGGATCGAGCTTGAGAGCACGAGAAGCCATCTTTCATGTGTGTCACGTCACGGAGCAGCAACTGACGCGGCGCAGCGAATGCTGGAAGAAAGATTCGAAGCAACGATTTATAGTCCATATTGCATTAGTTAGATCAGGTATTCAAGCAGCTCTAACCCTTTGGTTTAGTGCAACTTTGTACCCTCCCATTTCTTTGCTACCTCCTATTCGGAGCCCTCTGCAATGCTGTTGGCGGCATGTCTCTGGGGAGCATTCTCAGTCGGGGATTGCCAAAAGCTAAGCCAAAGTATTTGCTGGCTTCCAGTATCACGCTCTTCAACAGTTTGTCAGCTCCATGTTCTGCTACGCAAGTATGAAGAAAGGCGGAGTTTCATGTACCTCTTTTTTTATGTTGCAGATGGCTCTGGATGATAGCTGTGATGGCAAGTGCAGCAGCAATGGAACCGAAGATAATAGTAAACAGGACCTCGGACTTCATGTTGATATTCCTAAGACGGGCATGTATAATTGTAGGTACTCCAAAGTAAGAAGAGTATGAAAGGGTGCAGGTTCATCTGCTGTTCTCCCTGTAAGGCTCTTGCATAGTATTTATGCTGAATAATCCCTACGTTTTGTGCTCAGCCTCTGATCGCATGGGCGGTACCGCCATGCATATGATGTTAAAAGGTTATAGGCTATCATCCATCCCATGGTTTGCATCACAGTTCTTTCGTCTGCTGCTCCTACTACCTCATCTTGATGCCCTCTTGAGACACAATCGGGGTCGAAACTATTTTATTCCTACTGGTAATACTGCCAGCACCCCAAAGCTTAGAAGCTTGTATTTAAGGCTCGGAGGTTCCAAGGTGAACCTTGGACTGCACCCTTTGCTCCTCAGTGGATGACTCAGAGCCTGGGGATCCTGTAACTGGTTGGTTACTTTCGTTCACCCCCCTTTTCCCTTTGATAACAATCCATATACTCTTGAATCCTCCATCAAAGAGGGGATAAAAGTTGCCTACAATGAGGGTAAACCAGAGAAAAATATAGGCGAAGACTATCCAGGCGGTGAAAAACTTATTTTTTTCCTCCATGTTAGCAATGATCCACGACGCATTAGAAATCTAACCAACTTACTGGTTTTGAGAATACCATCTTGGCCCCGTACATTGCCAGCGGCCAGAGCAGAGCTTGCCCAACAATAGTGAATATTGCCCAGAACGCGGCCCAGCGGCTCATCCGTTTCATGTACTGGATCCGCTCGGGGGTGAACCACTCAGCCTGGTCTGTTCCAAGCTGCGCGGCACGGCCATGTTCAGTCTTAATGCTCTTTATCTGATTGAAATGGGACCAGTCAAACGATTGCGGCTGGGCTAGAGAGATGAGGAGTGTGACGGGTAATGGGACGAAAAAGGCAACGAGACAGCCAAACAGGTTGGGTTTCGTTGCTCCGGTAGAAGCGATGGAGACTTCCCCGTAATAATACCAGGCAGTTGATAGCCAGACAGAGATGCCACAGATCATTCCAACAATAGGTGATATGATTGCCGCCAGCCTTGTTTGGCCTCTCCAGAGGAGGGTAAAAAGGGTAGGGAAGACACCCGGATTGATCATGTTGCCGATAACATAGAGTAGCCAGCTCATGTCTACACCACCCAGATGGAATGCTGTCGCCAGAGTTGAGATGAAAATCAAAGTGGTAACGACTCCGATATGAGACCAGCGAATGAGCTGCTTATCATTTGGAGTCTTATTGATGTAAGTGCCATAGATGTCGAAGCTAATGATAGAACTGGTTGCAATCATCTGCGCTGAGGCAATGGAAGTGCATGCCTACAGTATGTGAGTTAGTCCGAATGGTCACGCTTTTGGTGGTTTCGCTTGATCTTACCATAAAAATCGTGACTAGAAGAGCCGCAGCACCTGCTTTTCCTGAGACGGCTCGAACAACGTATGGAAGAACCAGTCCGCTGCTAATCTCCTCCGCGGTCATGGTCTTGAAATAATTAGCGTTACTATTCGGCGTTTTGTTTACTTATAGGACATACCCTCGGATAGATGGGAAAAGCTGGCGTTTGTTCGAGAGCTATTGCAGCCAAACCACCAATAGTACCAACGGCCCATGGCACAGAAAAAGAGGCAACTCCGCCAAGAACATAGCCTGGAACGGCAGCAGCAACATCGGCTGAAAATCCCTGAGGCACTGTGAGTAAGTAGTTCTATCTTGTTCTTCAACCTGGCGCTCTAACCTTCTGCCAAAAGCCGGTGTCCATTATGACAGCCCCGATATTTGAACTGACAACTCAATTAGATAATTAATTGCCACGGAAGATAGTAAGGATTTCTCACATTACGTGCAAAATACCAAAGAACAGACTCTCGTCGCTTCTCATCGTTAGATGCGAGCCCTTGTAATTCCCTTCGACTGGATTAATTTTATCTGCAGCGATGACCGCGTCATAGAGAGCACCAATCGAGCCAATCTCCTTGACCACGATTATCTTAATCGTCAACCAGACTAGGATGATCATGACAATGAATGTGTGAACGTAGTCTGTAAGGAATGTGGCTCGTAAACCACCGAAGTAGGTGTATATGGCAACCCCAAGCTTGATCTTTATCAATATTACGCTCTTTAACATCGGATCATTTGTAGACTTACTGGCAAGAGATATGTACTCGCAATAACCGACATTCCAGTGAGCGACGCGACTGCAGTGGCTGCACCTAACAACATAGCAGAGAACACTAGGGTGTTGTTGAGGAGGCAAAGAACCACCCACAGAATGTGAGCCGTGGTGCCGTAGCGAGTTTTGACGAGTTCCAAAAGCGTGTGTGCGTTTGGCGATTTTCGTTTCGCCTCAATGGAAATATAGGACAAGAGACAGATAACAATACTGGCGGAAGCTCCCCACCAGACGCCAAGTGCTAGCCCATATTTGTATGTGAGTAAGGTGGCGCCCAAAAGTGCAGTACTATAGAGCCAAGATGAGATAACTGCGGCGGCAGTTAGCCCTGTCCCGACAGAACGGTTGGCGACCATAAAACTGTTCGTGTATTAGTAGGGGTGTGGCACTCGTAGAAAGTGGGTAGTCTCACGTCTCTGTGGCCTTGTTATCTTCATCAAAGGCCTTCTTCATTAGATGAGTGACCCAAATCATTCCTGTTTGCTTCGTTAGAGGACTTTGAACTAGGTGCGTGAAGATAGAGGGTAAATACCGAGAGCGAAAACAGCCCCGAGACCAACGATCACACCGTAGCCGGCGCTTTGTGGCAACGGAGGTGTCACGTCAGCCATTTTTGAAAAGATGCCGTATGTATCAAGTTAAGTTGGTAACTACAGTCACTACATGATATCGTGGGGTTCTTATTTTCTCTAGGTACGTTTATATCCACAGCATTTATCTAGACAATTGCTTGGCAACTGGGTTATCTAATGCTCTGATCACATCTTTGCAATACAAAATTGCGAGACCCGATTCCTTCTTTGATGACCCATTGCCAAGGCCAGCATGCACCTAGGCGAGTTTCATTCGGCTTGGCCATATGGAGAAATTCAATGTTATTTCCAAGTAAACCCGCACAGTTGGTGTGGAGAAGTAGGTTAAACGAGTCAAGATCCCCGTTCAACATTTCATGCCAAATCGCCGAACATCTCTGCCTTTGAACGTAGTGAAAGACAGGGAAAAGAAAGCTCTGCTTTTTGTTTTATGAAAGGGCGAGGTGATGTATCCCAAGCCAGGTTTTGTTCAAAACAGTGGCTTCTTATGAACTGACCTTCCTACTTTGTTACCAAAGCGTGTACGGTTAGGTTATCGTTGATCAACAAGCGCTGTGACCGATTCATTCACTTAAAACCGCGATGGATACCTGGAAAGAGGGATCCCCTAAACTTGACGTATCGGAGAGTTTCGGCGGTAGGGGTAAATCTTCATGAACTCCATTCAATGAATCCCTGCTAGAGGGGCTCTTGTATAGTTTTCTCTGATGTATTGTTGGGTTTGATATATGAACGTGCAGGCCTCTAGGGTTCGCAAGTGGATCTTCCGTATTGCATCATTGCCCTCGCCATATGGCGCAAGATCCCTCCTAGTACTATGATTGGACAGACAAGTTAAAGCGAAAGTTCTATTGAGGATGTGTTTGGTCAGAACCCATAGTACACCCTGTGGTTCCCAGGGACATAGAAAACTATCAGGGTTAAGGGCTTATCTAGAATCAGAAACAATCAATTGGGCAAGATAATGGTGTGAGTGAGGCCAAGATAACGCCTTAGATGTATTATAAACCATTATCCACAATGATGAACACGTGGAAGTGCTAGGATAAATTTGTCAAAATATCGGAAAACTCGGCGTCACCTTCATAATGTAGGCCAGTACTGTGTACGATTCCTAGCATTGCCCATTTCGCTGTGCCAGATTTGTTCAATCACAACTCCAATCCATAACTTGTCAACAATCATGGCGAGAGCAGACGAAATAAAGCCGAAGAAATGGATCTTGAATGCGTTTACAATGAGCACCCCAGGGCACTTAGCTCCAGGTACTTATGACCGCCTTGATTGATGAGCTTAACTGACTTTGCCTAGGGCTATGGAGGCATCCTCGTAACCAGTCTGCTCAATACACGGATATCGAGTACTGGACAAATCTAGCCAAGATCCTAGAAGATGGGAAATTTCATGGACTGTTCATCGCAGATGTCTTGAGCCACTATGGAGTATACAAGGGTGCTGGTAACATTGATCCATCATTACCAGGCGCTACTCAATTCCCGATCACCGATCCTTTGTTAGTTACCCATATGCCAAATGTAATATTGCGACTAACTAGTTGCGAAGTCTACCCGTGGCCGCCATGGCAGCAGTGACAAAGCACCTGTCCTTCGGAATTACAGCCTCAACCACTTACGAGAACCCATTCCTGCTTGCGAGGAGATTTGCTACTCTTGACCATTTGACGAAAGGTCGCGTAGCCTGGAATGCTGTTACTAGTCATTTGGAGACAGCAGCGAAAAATCTCGGGCTCCCCACGCAAATTGCCCATGATGAGCGATATGAGATTGCGGATGAATTCCTTACTGTGACATACAAGCTGTGGGAGAGCTCTTGGAGAGATGACGCCGTTGTTAAGGATACCGAAACCAAACAATACGCAGTCCCAGGAAGAGTTCGTCAGATCGACCATAAAGGGTATGTGAATCTCCATCTATGATTTGAAACACCTGGTAACTAAGCCATCCTAGGAAATACTTTTCCACTGCTGGTCCCTTGACCACGGAGCCATCGATTCAGAGGACCCCTTTCATCTTCCAAGCTGGAGCCAGCACAGCTGGTAAAGCCTTTGCTATCAAGCACGCCGAGTGCATGTTCGTTCCCGGTATGGAGGCGCACAAGGTCAAGAAGTCGGCCGACGAGATCCGACAGCAAGCTGTTGAACAGGGCCGCAATCCAGACCACATAAAGATTATTGCTGGCATTTTGGTCATCGCTGATGAGACGGATAAAAAAGCGCAGGCAAAATATGAGGACTACCTCAACTACATTGACCTTGAAGGTGCTCTCACCCTTTTCGGAGGTTGGACTGGAGTTGATCTCGACCAGTGGCCAGACGACGAGGATTTCAAGTTCACAGGCCCAGGGGCAATTCAAAGCATGATCACTTCATGGTCGGCCACTGTCCCGGGAACGGACGGGGTCAAGTGGACGAAGAAGAGAATCGCCCAGGAACTCGCTCTCGGCGGCCCGCATCCTCGTGCTATTGGCTCACCGAAGACGGTTGCGGATATTTTGCAGAGATGGATTGATGAGTCTACCATCGACGGCTTCAATATTTCATATGCTGTTAATCCTGGTGACTTTGAGGACATATCGAAGTGGCTCCTTCCCGAACTTAGAGCTCGTGGCGTGTTTTGGGATGATTATGCCGCAACTACGACGCGGGAGAATTTTTTTGACGACGGCTTAGGTCCTCGACTGCGTGGTGATCACCCGGGAGCGAAGTATACCTGGCTGGCAACCGAGAAAAGCGCCGGAGAAGGGTAAAGAAACAACAACTTGCACAATATTGACTCCCTACACAATTAGAGAATTAAAATCTCTCACTGCATCAGATGGAGAGAAAATCGTGGATCCAACTCGTAACCTGGATCAATGAATGTAGTCTGACGCATTTTGCTAGGGTCATTGTACATTTTGACTTATAGAATTCGCACTCCCTGCCTGTGTTGATGCCTAGTATGGGTCTTGTTTTTCTTTGGAAAGAATCCAAACTGAGCTTCCAAAAAGGGCCACACGGTGTAGTTTTTGCAACACATTCGATATGCGAATTGGTGATCATCTGTAGTGCGAACATTGATCGCCACCTGCTGGATTCATGGAGGATCATTATGATGGCTGTTTTACGCTTGACACTGTATCTCTGGGGTCCTATCATTTGAGCTAGGAACTTGTTTGTTTCTGCGATTGTATCTCTCTTAGTATTGACTGGCGGCGTAAGTAACTTATGTGATAATTCCTGGGACGTTGCTGTGCTCTTATTTAGGCTAAACCCTCATATTTTTCACTACCTACAGTGTGTGCCTTGATTAAAGTTTTAATTAAATAAACATTACAAGTTGCGTTTGAGATACAAGTGGCTCCGAAATTAGAAATATGTTCTGCCTAGGATACTAAATACTGCTACAGTGTATATGTAAGCGGCTTTGTCTTGGCTAGGTCGAGGGACTTCACTTTTAGCCTATAGATTTGCGTTACAAATTGCAACCTGAACGACTGGCGGCATGCTGAAATCAACATGAAGGGAAAGCTACACGCCTTCATCATATCGGGTACCACCCTACAACATGAACTTACGATCATTAGTCGGTTTCCATCGGCCGTGGCCCTTCTGCCTCGACCTGATGCTCACAATACCTACTCCATTTCTAAATTAGGCTGTGTGTCAGTCGGTAGAGAAGAGAATAGAGTCCATAGGGTCCAACAAACGGGAGATAAAAAAAAAAGTCGCGTTCCGTCTGGAACAAGCAAGCACATATGCAATGGTGTTTCGTTGACACGTATCAGTAGGAAAGTGGAATGTTCATAATACTTTGTATTTTTCGCTTTTGTGAATAGCTACTCGTCGTGTATCCCGAGCCTTTGACAAATTCTCAATCATCCGCTCGTCTTCAATAATCTGTACCTAAACTGATCTAGGCACCCTTATGAAAAAAAGTTCCCTTAACACACGAATGGTGATCTTCGTCAGCTTCTCGGTGATTTGAGTTCCCATACGTGAGCATGAGAAGGCCTTCGAATATGCGGCGGAAGATGAATGGAAGACGCAATATTGGGCGCCATATTGAGATATGTTTGGTTTCTGGTGCTTTAGATGCATCCGTAGTGGCCGTAGCAGTATTGGTAGCCCAGACCGGTACAGTACGTAGTAGGGTCGGGCTGGTCAGTGCAGACTGGTCCAGAGCGCTCCTCAACGGTAGGAGTAGCAACGGCGGAGGCCACGAGGCCGAGGAGGGCAAGTGCGAAGGTCTTGGTGAAAAGCATGTTGATGGAAGAATGTTTGAGAGTCCAGTAGAGAATATCTTGTGAAATGATTGGGTTTAGAGGAGAGGGTTGGGTCTTTATAGCAAGAGAGTAGAGACTAAGTAGACTTATATTCATGCGTTAAGGAATATGGAGTAACCGGTGGGCCGAGAAACGCGCGTCATCTAGAAGAAGCGGTGTTCTGGAACCGCAGTCACCGGGGTTGTCTCAAATAAGACCCTTGTTGCCTTGTTTATCAACAATTGAGGCGGGCTACGACTGTACCTTTTTTGCATGTCCACGCAAGGGTAGTGAAACAATTACGGCTTGTAGAGTTTGCTCTCCCACGAAGCTACCACTGGTATGAATGTCTTTTTGAGCATACATGAATCCGAGGCCAGGGTGGCAATAGTTTTGGTGGAATGATACATGATACTTGCAGTCTGCTCGATGTTTTGTCGTGAAATGCTACAATGACTGACCCACTCTTCATAGTATGTCCCGATCCATGCTGCTTGCTACTGACACTTGCCTAATTTGCAGAAACGCTCCGGAGGTTTTAACATATCCTTGAGGAGGTTTAGTTCCGACCTCGGTGCACACTTGACGGTGAGCTGAGCAGGAAAGACATCTTACATTGGTTGGAATACGGTTGGCCCTTAGCTCTGCCGAAATGCCGAAGGGGTCTCTCAGGATGAGTCGCTTGAGGGCACACTCGTTCAAGGAATTGCTACAAGTAATATTCGGCATTTGATATGAACGGGGCTGCATGACACAGTGGTGGGTCTGGAACCGTTGAAACCAATTGCGGCTGTGGAGGGCGTGATGTTTAGATTTCAGTGGGGTTGGACAATGGAGTCAATGTTCACAATGGTGTTGATTCTCCGACAACTTTGAACCAGAGGTAGTGGGTAGGAGATACGATGGCGAACAAACACCCACCCCAAGCTGGTCCTTCTCAATGAAGGCTTGATCATGGCCTTTTTTCTCATCAAGTTCTCAGTGAGTCTGCTTGGGACTTCTGTGACAGTATTGCCACAAAGCAATGCGCATTTTGCCACTGGTTTGGGATGGTGCGACTGGGCTGTCTTTACCCCAGCTCGTCTCCTGAAGGATTCTCCGTGTTTCCAGGGATGTTACTTGGAACTTGAGGCACGATCCACTTCGAACAAATTTCATCTACAGCTTGTCTCCCATATGCCGCTTAATCATTCATTAATAAGGCATGAGAAGGGAGTTAGGGTTGGTTATGTGGATTTGGGTCGGCGAATTAATGGTCCCATGACTATGAGTATGCTGTTTTTTATCTCAAACAATCAACTAATTGAACAACCTTGATTGATTTGAAAAAGCTTGTTTGAAGCGGAGACCCGCCAATCAATTACCAGGGTACACTCGAGACGAACTATTGCCTCTCCAACAACTTGCGATCCGTCTTGGAAGAAACGATGAAGTTTTCTCTCTAACATGCTAGGGGGCTGGTATTTAAGCTTTCCGAACAGCAGGACTTGCGTCCGGAGTTGCATACAAGACAATGAAAAAAACATGGGGCCATTCATTGTATTAGAAGGAGGACTTCAGATAAATTGATCCTATTTGAGTGCCTTGGCGTGGACAACTTAGACTGGCGAGAAAGCGAAAGAGCAATCAAAATTTGTCTTAACAGCTAGAGACGTTCAACCACGATGTTGATCAGAGAATCTTCAACAGCTTTTTGATGGATTCTAACCGGGACGTAAAAAGAAAAAAGGCAGGTTTTCTACCCAGAGATCCAACACAGCTTTGATAGCTACCTTCTGCCTTTCTCAGGAGAGATTGTATGTTGATGGGCCAGATCAAGTGATTAAAGGGGATATGAATTTTGTATATTGTACCAAAAAGGGTGATCATAGGTAAACTGAAGGGGGTAAGAGAAGCCGGAAAAAAAACTTGAAGTGATGCACTCCATTTCAACATTTGGTAGAGTGTTAGTTTAATAAGGAGTCTTCAACTGGCTGACTGTTTTATTCATTGCTGGTGGAGGTACCAGTTCATGCAAGTGTTCCCAAGTCCAATTGAGATCTCGCTTGGCATGGATAATTACTTACTTAGACCAATACGAACAGGGTGCCGTGGCTTGGCTTACACAAAAATAGTTAGGGCTGGGGTTTCCGAGCAAGCAGATGCAGGCTGCGCTCAGCAGAAATTTATCGATCCGAGCTGGAAAGTATTACTCAGACGGTGCTGGCCAACTATCGTGAGAATCTGCCCCTGCAACTCTCGATATCACCCTGCGATGTAAGATATCTGCTCCCATCATCAATACGTCGGATCCTCCGTGCATCCAACCAAGAGACCAGCCAGCCCAACCAATGCCAAAAATCGCACAGCATCGCCTCGCATGGCCATGGGTGGCCATCCAAGGGGTGTGGCTTGCCGCTCCTCAAATACCAGCCCTATAACTCTTGAAAGCCATGCAAAGCACACAAACACGGCCAGCAAAGAAAACATTGCTGCAAGTCATGGCCATCGACTTTGTTGTCGCAATCCCGACGTTGGTTGGGTCGTGGCTCTCATTCTTCGCCTCGACAACCGCCATTGTGCTCCAGATTGTTCGTCCCCCGAGACGGCATTTCCGCCATGCTCTGATCATCAATCTACTTGTATCAGGTACGTCGTGCAGCAGACTTGAATGTGGCTCAGGGGAGCTGACATTTGTATCTGAGCAGATGCCATGAACACCTTGTCCAACGCCGTCTCTGGCTCCATCTTCCTCGCACAAGGCCGAATGCCAGGCGGCGAGACCAAACCAGATGCGGCGTGTATCGCCAACGCCTACATCAACCAGCTCAGCGTCCAGACGATTGATTTCAACATCCTTGTCATATCCATCACGGTCCTTCTCACTGTGCTGAAGACCGATCGTGTCGCTGATCTCTCGATTCGGTTCCAAGCGCTGCTCTGCATAGCTGCTTGGGTGCCAGCTCTCATCACCAGTATGTCACCTCGCTTACACGATTCGATTACCACCTGCATATGCTGACACGAGCCCTCCTTTCAGGTAATATCGCGCTTGCGCTGAACGGGTTCGGCTACGTAAGCGGCAACTGGTGCTGGATCCGAGCTGACCGTCTGGATCTGCGATACGCGCTTACTCACGGCTGGCGCCTCTTTATATTCTTTGCTACGATTCTTATTTATACATATATCTACATCCATCTCAAGAGGGTATTCAGGAGAATCCGAAGTGTCACTACAGAGCTTTCTGAAGCGAGCTACGACAGCTCCGTCGCAGGAGGCTCCTACACGCAAGACTCCGACGGGCACCAGGTTCTGCAGCCCGACTCCTTGCCCCTTGTCGATAGGCCACAACAAATAGGAACCGAAGCAGCAAGGGGCCAAGTATCCGGTTTGGCAATATCTAATCAGCCGCAAGACCGCGCTATTAAAAGCTTTCCATCCAAGTCATTGATGCCACCGCCCCCTAACCTCAGCAAGATGTTGCTATTAAACGGGTATCCCATCGCGTACATCATCTTGTGGATTCCAGGGATCGCGAATCGACTGACTGAGTCTTTAAACGGGGCATCTCCGCGATGGCTCAAGGCTCTGCAGGCCTCAACGCAATTTATTGGCTTAGTGAATGCTGTGACGTATGGTTTGAGCGAACAGACGCGGCAGAAGGCATGGAGGAAAATTAGAGGCGATGTTTGATTCACATCCCAATAATCATCCTAATTCTATAATTAAAATATATAACTCAACTTATTAGAGTGTGCTGAAATCTGAGTAACATGATTGTGGTACGTAATGGTGTCAATGATTAGCTGGAACTATGAGTAGTTTTCATATTATACATGAATACATTGAGTCAATTATAGTGGGTGAGGGCTTTACTTGATGCAACAAGAACACTTACGATAACACCCTGACCATTCGCAACGCTATTCATCCAAGCTAGAGCGTCTTGGATGCGATTCTTTTAGATTAAAACGGGAGCATCCATCAAATAACTTTGGGGTACTGATAGAACTTTATTCATCCAGAGTTGAGAATTGTTTGAATAGAAAATGGTGAGGATATAGGGAATGTGGCCCTTGAGAGGAATGGGATCTTGTCCTCATAAACCCATGTATGGGGTTGATTCGATGGCAACTGAGCAGTGGGATTGGCTGGATGTATGCGCGAGGCAGCTGAGGCAATAAATTGTTGTATCCCAAGGTTGCTGACGAAGATCAACTTAAAAGCGTTTGTGTGGGCTGTAGCGATCTAATCAAATCTCGTGGACATTTCGTTGAAAGCTAAACCATCCAAGATTCGATTGCGCGCCATACGGAAGCAAGCCTGAATAAACTGCATATTTTGAGCCTTGAGCTGCTCTTCCTGGCATTGCGTGCTCTCCGTAAGAGTGTCATCAATACAAGCACCTTTTAGTCGAGAGATGTTCAGGCCGCGTCGGCTTGAGAAGTGCGCCTAGGGCGTTGTCAGTCAAATGGCAACTCCTCTTATAATTTAAATAAGGAAGATTCTACAAAAAAAAGTAAATAAGCATTTTATACCATGCTATTAGCTATTAATCTTATAGGTAAATGGGTTATAAGAGAAGGTATTTCTAAATACCTAATAAGAGATGGAAGAAGCTAGAGCTAAGACTTGATTTCTTAATAAAGAAGATCTTCTTAAATACCTAGAAGGACCTATGGGTATTAGGGGAAGATTAGTATTATGTAATAAGATTGGTGACTTGTTTGAGATTTATCCGGAAACCCGCCACTGGGCATCGCTGTAGCAAAATAATACGTCGAGATTACTCGGGCATTGCTCGAAAAAGGCGTCGGTCTAGAATTCAGAGACCAAAATGGTCTCCCACCTCTATTCCGCGCGAATTTCGTGAGACCTAGAAGTGGTACGACTTCTTCTTGAGTTTGGGGCCAACGTCAACACCCTCCGCTCGAGCGGTGACGCCATATTGCGTTATGCTGGCCAAGTGCCGAATATGACAGCCATCCACATACGACTGCAACACAGTGCTAATGCTAACGCCAAGAATGCAGGCGGGCGGACAACTCGAAAACTTGCTGTACGTCGTGGGTGGGTGGATGCTGAGAAGATGTTGATTGAATGGTAAACAGTTTAGGAACCCCTGCGGCCGATGCATCGGCATCTAGCTGCTACCCAAGACTACTTTTCCGCCTTCAAAACCAATAAAAACTCACCTAGTTGTTATTTCCACGAGGATGCCTAGGGATCATTTCCGGGGTCTAATAAAGAGCCGGCCTAACTTTTCACCCAAAGTGTGGCTCGGGCTCTTCGTTGGCCCGTTTGCCGTGCAAAATGGATATAGATTAATAATGTATAAATCAAATTTGTAAGCCCACTTGGCTACAATCCCAAATCTACACCCTCCATGCTCTCATGAGCCAAATAGTGTAAGTGCAAAACGCTTTCGTAGAATACATCCTTGTTTAGCTGTAGAGTTATAGTTAGTCACGAGATAAAGGTACGATAATACAAGGATGGTCACACATTGGCAGATACCACTGATATAAAGTAGATGAGGCCTCCCCACTGATTCCCAGGTCAAGAGCGGTTGATTTTACTCCATCATTTTGGCCGACTTTTGATAGCACTCGCAATGCCACAGAGATATACTAGCGAAGGGGTGGACGTCAGCCCACTGGGCCAGCCACTTTCCTTTGAATTTAGTGGCAGGACGGCCAAAAACCGATTTTTGAAGGCTGCCATGTCCGAACATCTGGCCACATTCAACCCCGATGTTCTCGAGGATCGGGGTGTGCCCTTGCCCGAGCTGGTCAATGTTTATCGCCGGTGGGGTGAGGGAGGCTTCGGCGTCCTGCTCACTGGTAATGTGATGATAGCCTATGATCAGCTTGAATCAGCTGAAAATACCATCATCCCGCCGGATGCCACATTCTCTGGCGATCGTTTCGAAGCTTACAAGGAGCTAGCAAGCCAAGCTAAGAAGGATGGAAGCCTGATTGTTGCTCAGGTTAGCCACCCAGGACGACAGGTACCGGAGAGCGTCCAGCCACACCCGATCTCCGCGAGTGATGTGCACCTCGAGGGAGGATTCAATGGCAAGACCTATGCGAAACCGAGACCTATGGAAGAAGCAGATTTTCAGAGCGTTATTAATGGCTTTGCACATGCCGCTGAGTACCTATATAGGGCCGGATTCGATGGTATTCAGCTACACGGAGCGCAGTAAGTAGTGACAATTTGGATAGCTACGGGGCCGAAACGCCTGCTGACGAGATGCAGTGGCTACCTCATAAGCCAATTTTTATCCCTGTCTACTAACAAGCGCACCGATGAGTACGGTGGGACAAGCATCCTCAACCGCGCCCGGCTGATCGCTGAGATCACTACTGCTATCCGATCACGCGTCCCTGATCCAGCCTTCATTCTCGGCATCAAAGTCAACAGCGTCGAGTTTCAGAGCGAAGGTTTCTCCCCCGAAGACTGTAAATTGCTTTGCACTGAGCTCGAAAGACTTAGATTTGACTTCATCGAGCTCTCTGGAGGAACCTACCAGTCCTCCGGATTCAAGCATGTCCGGGAATCTTCAAAGAAGAGAGAGGCGTTCTTCATCGAATTTGCCTAGGCAATCATACCTGCCCTAAGCAAGACAAAGGCATACGTCACTGGTGGATTGAGGTCTGCTAGGGCTATGGCAGATGCTCTCAAGACTGTGGATGGAGTAGGGCTGGGAAGACCGGCAACCCATGAGTTTGACCTCCCAGCAAAGATACTGACTGGGAGCGCCAGTGGTGCCATAGACGTGCTAATTCGAGAGGATGAATTTGGGAAGGCAATTATGGCAGCTGGACTACAGTAAGTTCCCACTCTCTTCTCTTTCACACGCTCGGTTTCATTGTGAGAGTATAAATATGCTGACTTGTATCAGGCTCAGACTGGTCGGTAATAACAAGCAGCCGCTTGATCTCAGTCATAGTGGACACATGAAAGTGCTTGATGATGCTATTGCCAAATGGTCTTCTGGTGCCGTACGATATGGTGATCTAGATGCCTTCGGCATTGAGCTGAATCCGTATGGCACACCGTACCAGCATCTAGTTTAGCAACTACCGGTAATTTGCGCTTTAGGATAGACAATATGCATATATTCTATATAAATAAGACGGCATGAAATGAGACTAATAATCGCGGTGAAAACAAGTTTTGGATAAGCTTTTCATGCAATGGGACGTTGACGCGGTAGAAATAAACATCACAAACTATGGGCCTCAGCAAATCAGGTGATCTTATTAGAGTTTCACTAATTCGTATTGAGCCTATTTGTTGCTTGGCTGAATCCTGTAGTGTGGGATGGCCGATTGCTTTCTAGAGTTTCTCGTTCCTAGATTTCTTGCCCGATGCCACCCGTCCAGGTGTCTGTCAAGGCCATGGGCTGGGTTGTAACCCGTAAATCGCCGCTCATCGCGTATACGGGAAGGCCCATCCCACCCACGAGCCGAGATTGATGACATATGTCCGAAACTGGGATTCATGAGCGGCATTTATCATCTCTGGTCGATTATTATATTACCTATAATGAAATCAACCCTCAATGCCGCTTACGTAGTCATTTCTATCGGACTCCAAGAACTATCCGGCATGCGAGAAGTGTTGTTTCAGAATTCGCATGATACGGTAGCCCACAGTACCGAAGAAGAAAAAGCAAATATATGAGGGAAAGTGGCGTATAAATGATCGCTTTCGTAGGCGTAAATGGAACAAACAGCACCCTCTATCGTTCTAGAAACTCAACTTCCTATTAACAAACACCATGGTCGAAAACACTCAGTCATCCAACGGAGTCCCGTTTATGAACCGCTACCCTTCAAGCGGCCTGTCCATCCTCGTAGTCGGTGGAGGCATCGCAGGACTGAGCTTCGCAATTGAAGCATACCGCAAAGGCCACGACGTGAGAATTCTCGAGCGTCGACCGGATTTCAAGGACTACGGCACGAAGCTCCCCCCAAACCCCGTGATCTCTAGGCGTTACTAACGGTGGCCAGGTGATCTGATTGCGATCCAAGCATCTGCTCTTCATTCTCCCCAAAACTGGCCCGGCTTCAAAGAATGGTGCGAAGAATCGCCAATCTCAAAGACTGGGCACATTTACAAGTATGACGGGACTCTTCTTGGCACCATGGAGTTCCCGCTCTCTAGCACCCGATCAAAGTTTCATGACATGCTTCATTCGTATGTAGAGAAGCTTGGTATTGAAGTCAGCTTCTCGACTATGGTAACTGAGTACATTGAGAATGACCATAACGCCGGCGTCGTTCTCGAAGATGGTACCACCGTTACAGCTGACATTGTAGTGGCCGCCGATGGCATTGGTTCAAAGTCGTGGAGACTTGTTTCAGGCTTTAAAGAAGTGCCTATGAGCTCTGGCTTCGCAATGTTCCGTGCTACATTTCCACTTGAGCGGGCTATGGAGAAACCCCTGGTAGCCCAAGAATTTGAGGGAATCGACTCGAAGGGAAATCTGACAATGGGCCCTGGAGCACACATCATAGTTGCAAAAACGAAGACGGAAATGGTGTTCATGCTTACGCACAAGGTATGTGTACTCGTTTGAAACTATCCCAGCTCAGCGTAGCAAATCTAAACAATCTAGGACAACGGCACTGCCGAGGAGGAATGGACGAAACAGACCTCGATCGAGCATGCGCTGCCATACGTTAAGGGCTGGAAGCCATATATTTCTGAAGTCATCAAATCCACCCCCGGTGGCGAAGCAGTCGACTTTCGGCTGATGTGGCGTAATCCGCGAGAGACGTGGGCATCTCCCAAGGCAAGGGTCATCCAGATAGGTGATGCGGCGCATACATTCCTCCCCACATCTGCCAGCGGTGCTACGATGGCCCTCGAAGACTCGTACTCGCTCGCAGCATGTTTGCAGTTATCAGGAACAAGCAACGCACCTCTGGCCGTCAGGGTGCACAACCTTCTTAGGTAAGGCTCATGGTTTCCGCCAACGAGTGGCGTGCTGACTAGCAGCGTTAGAGCGGAGCGTGTCGCGTGTGCTCAGCGGATGGGCTTCAAGACGCGTGAACTGTACCATAACACCAACTGGGACGTTATGGACAAAGATCCCACTCGATTGACCAAAATAGTTGGCCGCTGGGTTACTAACCACGACCCTGAACAGTACGCGTACGACAACTATGGCAAATGCGCAAACCACATCGTATCAGATGCGCCATTTAAGAACACGAATGGCGTTCCCGGATACACATATCAGCCGTGGACGGTGCAGGAGTTGTTGGCTGCAGCCGAACGTGGGGAGTCGATTGTCGACGAGGGAGACTGGTCCTAATTGGAACGTGTGCGTTGAGTTATCCGTTCCCAGCATCTACCCTCCCTTAGCAAGCTGTTCAGTTGACAAAAGTTTTCAGTAAAAGGCTACTACTTTAGCTTTCATCGGTGTCTAGCTAAGATGCTGAGAAGACTCCCTAGATCTAGCAACCTCAGCTATATGCATAGATTTAGACTTAGAAGAACCTATAATACCATATGTTCTATTTTTCAAAGGGCTAATTAAAAGATTCGTCGATCAGCAGAGCTCACTTATTAATTCCAGAACAGTCTAAGATTTGATATATTTCTTGACTCTGTCAATTGGCCACAAAGGGGAACTTTTGGCTCGTGGATGGGCCGGACCGAGACATTGCAACACATGACCGAAAAAGTCACCGAAATATGACGTTGGATTAGGTGCGCTTTCCAATATTCATTTTACGTTAGTAGAAGTAGATCCAATCAATAAGATCTCGCCCTACCGCAGGTCCTGCTCGTCCTAGAGTCATTAGTGAGATCATTTGTGAGCGACAGTCAGCGCAGAAGGCTGATCTACAAGGATCCGTATCCAACATCACTCTAGTGCCCCTAAGAGACCAATACCAGCATGGATGAGATCACATTTCGGGTTAATATAACGCTGCAGCGATTCTAAAGGGCCATCCGGATTTCCTGCGACTAACTAGTTCGTACCACGAGCTGCTCGATCAAGAGCAAAAACACGTCTATCTTAGGACTTAAAACACTCCTATTAGATTTCTAGAATCAGAGAGCCTATTATTATACGAGAAAAAGTACCCTTTCCACACCGGGCCTCATGTTGAAAATGACGGTGAGGCCGGCTGACTACCTGAACACTTGGCCCCCACGATCAAAGCACTTTGTAGGAACTTTCCGAAAACAAGAGGTGTGAAGGAGAAGTAGAACTATCCTGCATGATTATCATTGTTAGGGCCATGATTAGGCCAAGGTGATTGCAAATGTGTCCTACAAGTGGGGAAACTCCCTCGTCTATACGGGGCCGCCACTCGTATCCGTGATGTGGAACTCAAGCGAACTAAAGGGCTAGAAGGTGATAACGTAGTGAAGTCTCTGATTACTACCTACATCGCTTCGAAGGCCCTTACCAGGCTATTGTATTAGATCTCGATACTCAGTTAGCATTCGATCGATGGGAATATATAGAGTTTGCTATGCACAAAACATGGACGGCAATGAACTTGTTCTCTTTGGACCGTCATTATCAAACCCCAGAAATGCTCTTACTATGGGAAAAGACCGAGAGCCCTCCGAATACCGAGTTTTTATTGGCAAAGTACAGTAATTTCCCCCTAGTCCTAGTTAGATGTGGTACGATGATGAACAACAAACGACTAGTGTCAGTCAGTTGTCACCGCCATAGCACACTTGAAGAAAGTACAGCCAATTATTAATCTACATTGGCAAAGAATGTACGAGCTCAACTCAAAAGTGCAACTGCTGACCATAGGTTTATGATAAGGCTGAGGTACTTAGGAAAGCGCACAATGTAGGCCAGGTGAGGATACGAAGCTCACCAAGACCGACGGACAAGGCGAATGGCTTTTGGATTGCTTCTGACAAGATCTTCTTCCGGTCAGTAACAGCAGCTCCCGCGTGTATTCGGCGGGCCCAGCCAAGGGACTTTCGTAAAGCCTCCAATCTAGCTGGTTAGCTAGGGTCGGTCAATAAGTCGGTAAGTTGGTAGGGCTGAATGGTTCCTAGGTCAACACGGTCCCACGCTTGTTAGTACTAGACATAAATTCAATATCTGCCAGGAAGTACGAAGTAGCTTCGCCCGTATTAGCGGCAGCTCTAAGATCTGCGTGAGACTGAGCCCCCTTTGCCAACGGTGAGAATGTCTTGCCGACCGATGAGGCCGTTAGGACCAGAAGAAGTAACATTTCATTCATCGAGATATCCATATTAGGTCTCGCTTCCATTCTGGGCCGAAACTAGATACCGGGCAGTGAGACGTGGCGCCAACCGCCAACGCGTCGTCAGCAGTTGGGAAAACGTATAAAATCCTTGGAAATATTTGGTAGAAAGAGAATGCCCGTTGTTTCCATTGTTATCTCTTTCACAAAGTCAACCACTGCTTTTCCAAACCAACGCACAAGAGGAACAAATATGAGCCCAGAGGTCCTAAGCACCATACTTTTCGGCGCTTTAGCAGCCGTTTTAGCTATTGCCACCATGGTTCAGAACTATCTGTACGTTTACCGCGCAAGAGGTTAGTTATTCAAACTGATATTGTCGTCAAAATCTTCCTACTTATAAATGTCTTGAAGTACTGGATGTAGAAAATAATACTCACTGGGAGACCGATGCCAGAACGACCTATCTCCGACGTTTATACCACCAGCGAGCCAGGATTATCAGCGCGAGGCGAGGTCAAATCTTGCCCCTACATCACCCTATGTCGTCGAGGTCCGCCAACAATCGTATTTGATGACATTTCCTCGGTAGAGGACACTATCGAAGGCCGAAAACTCATTATGTGCTTACTATGTTGCATGAATGAAAAAAATACGGACAAGATTCAAGTATTAGAAGAAAATATTTGCCAGCATTCGGGGTGCATCGTTGACGGTGTGGTACAAATACTGGACGAATTCAACCGCGATATACATCTATAGAGGACGCTTATGAATTCTAAGCGTAAAGGGCTAGTCTCCACGCTTTTAATGAATATATTGAGGTCATTATCAATAGATCCGTGACATCTGTGATGTGCATGGTATATCCAAGTCTGCCTCTAAACTTCACATTAAACAGGCGAGATGCATTTATTACTCCGGGCCAGAAAGCCCTGCTACAGTGCAGATTACACATGCTTCACAGACTACAGATTGCAGATTCCAGACCGCAAGAGAAAACAAGCCGCAGTTCTATTTTCTAGCCAGGTCTATAGAAAGACAAACACCTGTGTAACTCAAAGTCCCCTAAGGAAAGAGGCAATAGAAACTCCTTACTCTATAAGATGCAATGGGTTCCTCAAACCTCGGCCATTTTCTTTCATTGATGCGTCAGTCATGCGTGGAAATCTCCAAATACTCAGAGGAGTGATCTGTTCCGCACCGCACTAATGGCGGCGGCGACGTATTCGACGTTCTTCGAATTCACTGGTGAATCTAACGTTAGCAAGGCTTCGTTGGTGATGTGAAGCGCATCCACTTACAGCCAGCAATCGAAGCTCTTCCGGAAGAAAGTAGGTAGATGTGATATTCTTTGCGGAGGGCCTCGACCTCGACGGCGCTCAGGCCGGTGTAGGAAAACATTCCGATCTAGCATCTGGTTAGCACTCATCGTATTCAAGAAATGGATGGTTGCTCGACGTACCTGCTCAGTGATGTGCTTCCACGAACCAGGGGTACCAAGACGAGTCAGCTCATCATACAGAGCCTGTCTCATAGATCGGATGCGGCTGCTCATCAGCTGCAGTTCGGCCAACCACTCTCTAGAGAGACTCTCGCTCTCCAGGATGGTCTTGACAATGGTCGACCCGTACCTGGGGGCGACCGAGTATTCGCTGCGGATAAGAGCGGCCAGGTTTCCGAGGGCCTTGCCCCTTGTGCTTTCCGACGTGTCGTTGATAACCAGGTGGAAGGCCCCTGCTCTCTGTCCATAGAGACCGAAACTCTTGGAGAAGGACTGGGCGACGCACATCTCCATGGGCGGCTGGTGGTTGTAGAAGTGGCGGATGGCCCACGAGTCCTGGACGGGGTCTCCTGATGCGAAACCTTGGTAGGCGTTGTCGAGCACGGGGAAGAGCTGTTTCCGGGAGCAGAGATCGGCGATGGCGACCCATTGCTCTTGGGTGGGATCCAGGCCCGTTGGGTTGTGGGCACAGGCGTGCAGAAGGATGGCATCGCCGGGCTGGGACTCCTTCTCCAGCACGTCGATCATGGATGCGAAGTTGAGAGTGCAGTCTTCATTGTTGTAGTAAGGGTATGTGCGAGGAGTGATGCCGGTGGACTCCCAGATGACATGGTGGTTGGCCCAGGTTGGGTCGGACACCCAGACACAGCGAGGACGGACGTGGTTGGCGAGGAATCTAGCGGCGACATGGTTGGCACCGGTCCCCGAGACGGTCTGCACACTGATCACGCGAGGGTCCGAGGTCTGCCTCCCCGATGGGTTGGGGAAGGTGGAGGAGAAGAGCAGATCGCGGGCGGCATTGAGGAACTGGTCGTCGCCCTCGATGGGGATATAGTCGTGGCGGGTGATGGCCTGCTGCTCGTGCAGAGCCTTTTCAACCTTTCCCACCACCTCCAGGGGCCATGATTTGCCCTCGTCTGAGAAGTAGACACCGGCACCGAGGTTCACTCGCTGAGGATGAACGTCTACTCGGAACTTTCCCAGGAGGTCAAACACCTCATCCTTTTCCACCTCGGGTAGGGATGAGAAAATCCCAACGGGAGCAGAGGCCATGGTGAGAAGTCGCAATTGAGAGTTTTCGGGATGTAGAGAGTTCCAGAGGAGGTTGAGCGAGCCACAGGAAAGTCCAATTAGACCCAATGATACGCCGAAGGCAGATTCTAGGTATTATTTTGTCTTAAAGCTGCTCAAAGTCAAGGTCAACTTGTGTGGATAGGACGAAGCGATCTCGGATTTGGCTCGAAAAAATCAGGGACTTGTGGAGCGAAAGTTGTGCGGGCTCGGAGCTGAATTGGCGAGTCATAACAGACAGTTGTGGAGGCTGGTCCCCTTGCCAACCAGCCACTTCTCACTTGATGACCCGTGTGACAGAAGTCAATTTGACTGTTGACTTGATGTTCAGCACTGACTATCTTGACTTGAATCACTTGTCACTTATTCATAGGGAACAGAGCATTGGGAGTACAGAGTTATTAATTGTCTTTTCTAGCGGAGCTCCACCCCATTACACCCCTGCAGTCACCTCGTAATTAATGGTGAATCCAACTCACTGCGCCTGTGGTACACATCAAAATCCCAGTCTCCAGTATCAGGGAGCCCACATCCGCTATGGAGATCTCGTTTCGCGACCAGCGCGTTCGACAGCAGCAGCTAGGCAACTCCCAGATTCGATAGGTGAGGGTGGCGTGGATATGACTAGATGTCCGGGACCAAGCCTGCGAGCGCTCGAGTCTCGCGATACGTCGCATGAGGCCGTCATTTGAGGTCTCAGCCGCTTCTGCTGGGAATCGAGCGGCATTGGAATCGGCCTTCAGTGTTATTCGAGGCCTCAAAGCCTGCGACTATTGACAGTGCCGATGATGGCACTGCGACACTGGAACGTTGGATTGTTGCATCGAAGCTGACCGCAACGGCGTGCTGCGTCGTCTTCCAAAGGAATCCGGACATGGGCGCAGGGTACTGTCGGGAAGAAGACTCTCGATCGATATCGCCCAACGTAGGTATAGCGATTCCCAGTGAATGTAGCCGGCTTGATGTGCGTAGTTGGTTCTTCCAACCGCCGACCAGACGGCAGGACGTCACGTCTGGCCGGCGACGCGAATTCATGAGTTGCCGTCCACTACCAATGCCAACTTCTCGCATCCTTCTTCAACCTCGCGGGCGCGTCGGATCAGTTGCGCCTGATGCGGTTGTTCGCGCAGAGGCCGTGTTTGGAGACGTGCTGGTGCTTGTGGCAGTGAACCTTTGCGTCGTCACCGGTCCTCTTGGCCAGCCTGGGGACAGCTCCGGGCTGGATGGCCCTGGCGACGGGCGGCGCGTCTCTAACGACGGCGCTGTTGGCTTCTCCCATGCTGATGGGCGAGGCGACGACGGAGGTGGCAAGCCCGAAGGCAGCCAGGATTAGGGGGAGGTTCATGACCAGCATGATGTCGAAAATGTAATGGAAATAATACAAAGAAGAAGAATCGAACTGAAGAAAAGAGCAATGTCAAACTCCACACAGTGGGCTTGGGTCGGAAGAAGGAAACAGAACAGAAGGAACAGCGTAGGTCATGGACATGGCTGTAGTTTTATCGCTTTCGCCTCTCAGGCTGCACACGTTGATCACGGCCGTCAGGGCGCGGGATAAGCAACTGGTCTGGGGTCTGGGCTGGATGTGCGTGGCCAAAGTGCGCAGGGGCGTGACTAATATGGCACGATTGATATGACTGAGGTAGTAAAAGAGCTAATAGAAGATGCTCCTGTCTGGTAATACCGTGCATCGCATCCTTGCATATTATCTTGTGATGTATGTGATGTGATGCGATCTGGAATGTCGAATTACGCAGCAACAGCGCATTCAGGGAGGTGGATTAGCGAGTTGAGGCCTGTAGCAACTGACCTCCAGGGCTGCGTCCAGCGAGAGCGTCCACTAAAAGAGCCCAGTTTGTGGCCGGCTGGGAGCGCTGCTAAAAATAACCTGAAGCCGCGTCTTGGGACGGAATCCACCCAAAGCACACTCCGGACGCAGAGGGACCTTTACAATCAGGGCCTGTAAGCACAGTTCCACGCTTCACTGTTGCTATTGATAATTACCTACCTTCAATCCTCTCGTGGTGCCCAAGCCGGGCGACAGAAGTCCAGCCAGTTTGTGTGCTGCTGCCGGTCTTCCTCGCTCACACCCAAGGACGCGTCCCTCCCCATGTTTCAGGATGGGACATTCCATTCCCCGGGACCGCTGGCTGCCGTGGTCAGAAATACCTAGGACTGACTTCCCTGTCCACTATTTCAGCGAGGCGGGCGTGACCGTGGAGGCCCTGGTCAGGTGATGTAATCATTCACCATCCCCAGAAGCCTCATCCGCACTCTGGCAAAGAAGATGGGCGGCCGGGGATGGATGAATCGCTCAGTCTGTGGTTACCGGCCAATGATACCCCGGCTTGTGCTCGCCCGTGTAGTCTGGCTAAGCACCCGTAATTCAACCAACCAATGCACGCAGTGAGCAGGTTGAACTGTAGCCTCACATGTTGCTGATGCCAATCGGATGGCCTCCCGTTGCCAACTTATCCTTTCGTCCGACCGCCACTTGTGTTGGCACTACCATCCCGAATGACGAGCCATCTGCCTTGCCATCTCCCATCTAAAATATGTCAAAAGACTCAGGAACTGACGTAAAAAGGAAGCGGATTGATCACGAGCCTGCCCAGTTCCCCGACTATAGGGTAGTTCTTGTTAATCGGAAAATACCCCCTACTTTCAGCACTCGAGCGGCGCAGTCAGCTGTCTGAGGAGAAAAAGCAAAAAAACAGGAACTAGCTGGCAAATATTGGACGCGCTGGTGCCACGAGACAAAGGCACGCCGAAAAACAATCATCGAGATTCTCACTGCGAATTGTCCTGTCGCCTCATTGTCCGTGGTCCAGTCGCCAGCCAGCTTCAGGGGTGCCCCTTTTCTATGACCTCAAGCATGGCACTTTCTTTGCCAATGGCCGCGAGGGAAAAGAAACAAGGCGGTGATAAGCGTGGCAGAGCATTGACTGGAAAGCATTGCCATGACAGCAAAAGAAAACGACTTTTCCCGCCACTTTTCATGAAAATTGACATGTGATAGAAGAACATGGATGACTTCCGCTCCTATCATTGCGGTCAGTTAGCTGAAAACATCCTCCCCGTCCTAATAGTGTGTGCCCTTTATTGCCTAAAAGCCGTTAGATCGAGGTAATCGACAAACCAGACCTGGGCATTCAATCGGCGACTGGATGTGTTGTCTTGTGCACTTTTTTCGGCGACCTGCACGCCTTATAGATAGGACTGGCTGCCTGACGACACACTTGTGCAAATCCAATCAGCCCGGGTTGGCTTGATGAAACCAATAGCTAGGTAGTCACGAGATAGGGTCACATTATCACTGGATGTCTGTATCAGCAAAATAACCCAGATACTAGCATCGTCATCCAAACACGGATGACCGTCTTCAACACCGTACATATGCAGGCCCTCTCCTCCCGCAGAGTCGAGGAGACCCTCTTGGTAATATATTTATTGAAATCGGTTGCATCGTCCTGAGGAAGCTCTCAAGTCGTCCTTTTTCTGGCTCTTATCTTAGTTCTTGCGAAGCTGTCGCCCTTATATGTATTTGGAGCGCACTGGCTCAATAAACAGCACGCCGCCCCGCAGAAACCCGGCCCAAGCAGTTAGCAATTAGGCAGATAGGTATTAGTCCGATAGATATTACGCCTACATCTATAACTAGAAACGAAGTCTTACCCGCTCGGATCTCGCAGACGACTTGGAGAAGGGGAGTCCTCAGGCTTGTGAGAGTATGTGGTGTGAGAGGTCCTTCCAAGCCACGGATCCTCCAAGCCCGCCAGCTGCGTACAGCTCAACTAAGAGTGAGACACGCAAAAACAGACAAGGCAAGTCTAGCATTCCCGTCGCTTACTCTATAGGTACTGAAAAAGGTAGCCGGAGCCTTGCTAACTGTTCAGTAGGCACCGACCAGGCTTTAGCCATATCGAGCCAAAAGAGAAGCGATACTCGTCATAATCAAGTCACAACTCGCACCAGAATGCCACGGCGGTCATCAATCGACCCTACATCACCCGAGAGTATGGGATTGCCTGAAACTGACCCGATCCCAATTGTTACGCGCGGCGACAAGAAAGGCAAACGACCAGCAGACGCACCCCCGCCCTGCCCATCACCAAGAAAACGACCAAACTCTTTGAGAAGGAAATCTAGAAAACCCTCGGGCGCTGGACCATCAAGAGGCCATGGCGAAGGAGGGGACGGCCAAGAGGACGAGGATGACGGTGATGACAGCGAGGGCCCGGGCGATGATCCTACCGCAAGCCTGGGCGGCGACGCTCGCTTCTGGGCGTGCCCCTTCTATAAGTGGAAGCCGTATCTGTATTACCGATGTCACGGTAAATACGAGCTCCGCCGCCCGGGAGACGTGAAGCTTCACATGCTCAGATGCCACTCCCTGCAACAGTACTACTGCGAGAATTGCTGGGAGGAATGGAGGGACTACCAATCATGGGAAGCCCACCACCGGCCGCCGAGGCGTTGCATCACCATGCCAAGGCCAGATGAGCTGGACCCAAGGGAAGCTGCGCTTCTCAGGACAATGCCTCGCGGTCTCAAGGAATTGGATAAATGGTACTGGATGTGGGACACCCTTTTCGTCGGCCACCAGCCTCCTGACTCGCCTTATGTGGTGGAGGGTATTGGCGAGCCTGCGACTGTGATTGCCCGCGACATTCAGCTGGCACTCGACGGGGGGCTTTCGCGAGTCATTCAGGAAACCCTCTCAATTTCCATGAGTTCTTCTCAGGCGGCCTTGGTCGCAGGCCGGATTTTCTCCTTGGTGTCGACCGCGCCTCAAAACGAGCCCCAGGGTCCAAGGACGTTGGCAGGTTCTGAGGACGTTGATGTCCAGGAGAGGATCCCAAGCGCAAGATCGTATGCCTCTGCGAACTGCTCGACTCGTAGGTTGGGAAACATGGCGACACCGCTCCAGTACTTGGAGTATCACGCTCAAGATCAGGTCGAGTATGAGCATGATGCCGGCCCCAGCAATCCGCAACACTTCCACGACGTCCCGCAAGTCACCGTCGACGCTCCGACGGAGCCTGTAGAGGATTTCAGCACCTATGAATCCTCACAAGCTGGAAGCTATGATGTCCATGAACGGTACTATCTAAACTCTTTGGGGCTCGAGGATATGAGCTTTGCAACTTCGCCGGTCTCGAACCAAGGCACAATTTTTCCAGAGAGGTTTGATGGTGGCGCGGGATCTGATGTGGGTGAAAGCTTGATGCAGAGGATGGATATGAGGCCTCCTGCCGGGCATGGAGATTCGCCTTTCGGATCCTGGCAGAATGAAGGTGCGATGATGTCTGGACACGCTTGCTTTTGCGGCCCATCCGTAGGTGGGATGCCATGTGACTGTTTTTATAAATATCACTGAGCGCGAGATGCCCTGGGCGATGGTTTATGACATGGAGTCTGGAGTCACGATATGGCCAAGGTCTTCCCAGTAGATCTGGATTTGTATGATTTTCTTATGATATCACGATGATATTTGTGCGGTAGTGTTTTAACAAGGTGCCGGATAATGTAATTTCAGTTTTTGGAGGTTTAGGCAGATCAAGAAATGAGCACACAGTATACATGCCCCTGGCTTCGGTGGACGATGTGTTTGTCAGTGAACGTATTAAGTGCAGATAAAGCCCCTGAGCTCGATGAAAACAACCGAGCCCGCTGCTCCAGTTAACACTACAGATGACACAGTATCCAATTCACGCATCAGACAGCGCCTTACTATTGGCCAGCCTTTCCTTCAGATCCTGCAAAGTCAGAGCGCTCAGCGCATCCACCGCCATGTCCTCCTCATCCGTTCGATTGTTAGACAGCTTATTATTCTTCTCTAAGTACTCTTCTACCCAGCTCGTCCCGTGCTGCTCCCAGCAGTCCTGAACTAGCGACATGACCTTGCCGACACCCCTCTTGAGGTACGCGGAGCGCGGAGGCGACTCGTCCGGGAAGACGGTCTCCCAGATCCGGCGCCAGCGCTCGCTCTCGCCCAGGCAGAGCTTGTCGCGCTTCTTGAGCAGCCGCTTCTGGCGCTCGTTGACGCCGTCGACGGGGCCGAACTCGCCCAGCCGGCATGTCCTGGCCCGGACGTGGATGTCCCGCTCCATGCACCTCTCAAAGGGGCGGCGGCAGATGGGGCAGTACGGTGGCTGGGTGTGGTGCTCCTTCAGATGACTGATGACGGCGCCGATCGACTGTAGATCGTGATCCATGACGCAGCTGCGATATTTATCGCGGTTGTGCTCAAAGAAGGGACATGAGAGATGATAGAAGCCTTTGTTGTGCCGACTGAGGATGACGAGATCGGGGTCTTCTTGATCCAGACCGTCTTCGATGTCTGAGTCCATAGGCCTTGCCCGCTTGCGGGGAGGGAGTCTATCCTGTGCAGGCTTGACATAACGTGCCAGTGATTTCCAGTCCATGAATTTGGCGTGGCACTCATCGAGCAAACCTGGACGCTCGGCTTGGAACTCATGTTCTGGGCCGAGCCGGTAGGGAGCTGAGACTCTTTCGTCACCGTCTTCGGTGTAGACTTCAGAGCGAGCGTCGCTATCAGAGTCCGAATCATAGCTGTCACTTGAATCTTCGTCTGAGCTGTCGGACTCGTACGAATCACTGGTGCTGTCTGATCTCCCAGGCCTTGGTCTCTTCATCCCAGGCTGGGGGAGCCCCTGATAGTATGTCTGAGGCCCCGAAGCGTCGTCTAGCGAGTTGACTCTTGGCCTATAGGTAAGGTGAGGCGGCTGCGGGCAGAGCTGGTGCTCTAGCAGGGGGGAGGGCAGGTGGCCGTTGGTGGTGGTTCCGTGAACGTCCTGGTAGGCGAATTGACTGGCAATTCTGGCAGAAAGCTGTGGCCCGATGTCACGGGCAACCACGAAGCTTTGCTGAGTGAGATTCTGGCCGATGACAAAATGTTCATGAGCCATAACTCGAACGTATGATCCATTCCATTCGCGAAGACGGATGGCTGGGTTTGTTTTTCCAGGAGAACTGCAAATGTCGATGAGAGAGAACCTCTCACCCTTGAGAGACGGAGCCTGAATATGGGCTCCCTTGTTGCTGAACGAGACTTGTCCAGGCCATGGAAACGGTCCCACCCATCTGGGGGGATCGGTATTATTCCCGGAAGCAGTGATGAAATTGAGAAACTCGACCGGAGAGTGTGCATAAAGGCCGCGGATCTTCTGAGAAGTGGGATTGGCAAGCCAGGCCATTATTGACCCGTCAGTAGTATTCCGAAAGACTTCCTCTTGGAGCCGGATGAAGGTATTTTGAGCACCCTCACCCTGCCGGACCTGGAGTGTGATCCCGAGAATGGGGACGAGAGCGTATATTACATCCTCTGCTCGTGCCGCAGATCTGTTAGCTGCCCACGAAATACGGAGGGCCAGTGCGGTATCATAAAGAATTGAAGAGTCTTTCAGGACCTGCGGAGCAACTCTTGAAGCACTAGAGATTAAAGAGAGAAGTCCCGGCGAGGACTTGGATCCACGATACTTGAGCTGTTGATCATAGAACTTGACATCCACGGGAAGAACGAATTCAGGGAGCGCCGAGGCCTTGGTCCAGTAAGAAGATTTTCTCCAAGAGTTTTTGTCGAAATCTGGGCCGTCAATTGGAAGATCCTGGAGGAAAACAACACAAAAGGCACAGTTTCTCAATCTTCGGGCGGAGCTATTGACCGCCTCTTCTAGGGCTGCTGACGAGGACGTGTCAACACACACCGAGGCTTCCCAGATATAATGAATCCCCAGATCGGCGATTATTTTAGCCAATTGGAGAAACCAAGAGCAAATTGGCAGCCATTTATGCTCCTGGGTGTGAAGACTGCCCTGCGGGTTATAATTGTGTGACAGCACCACAAAGGGCGGCGTCTCGTCGCCTTGGAAGCTCTCGAGCTGGCACGTTTTTGTATTGAATAGACTCATCTTGAATGCAGAAAACCATTTGAAACTGGGAACAATTGAGTTAGGGGTAGGGAGGGGAGCAGCGGAAGCAGGAGTGTATGAGGGGGACGATCTGACGTTTTTCAATCGACCAATCTTATAGCGCACAGCTGTGCTCCTCTATATGGAGCTGATGACCAACCGCTTTAGTACCTCTGTGTTGGATTATTGACTCCCTGGTGGAGCCACTCGCACATTTGTGAGATCGTATATGTCTCGAATTCGGGGGCAACCACATTAAATAATTTACTGAAATTGAGCTAAGATTCAGCTTTCGCTTACTATCCACTGATCAAGGATGGTTGGAACTTTTGGAATTGGAATCCTGATTCCTTCTATGGCGTTGGCTGATAAGTGCACCCGACTCATCAAACCGTTGTCCCACCGGATCGACGATGGTGGGCGACTGTGACCTTACGTAGCCATGCGGGGAAACTTGGAAATGTGCACATGAGAGATTTGGAAACTCTTCGGATTGGACTGTCCGCCATGATCACAAAGTGTCGTCACATGCCTGCACTTTGTATGCAGCCCTTACGCCGTGGCTGGACTAGTCGGCGATAATGGCTCTTGACGTCGAGCGGCGGATGAGGTCTAGCACTTTTCCTTGGTAATTCCCCTGATGTGCAGCTTTTGATGTTTCATTTCATCATCTATGCGTCCATCGATGGAATCAGGATGCATTGACTATGCTGTCAGACCTGACCAGCCCTTTCCGGACTATCAATAGAGGCAGGGCCTAGGAATTGCAGTGGCCAGTCATCAGGGCGTTTCAAAATGCATACGAGTGATCTTGGCATGGGCCAGGGTTGAAACGGGCACCTCTCGGAGATTGCTACCTTCTGAAGGAAGGAAAGCATTCAGGTGCATCCTCATCATGGTTGGGCGCATCGGGGGCTACCACGGACCAACTTGGATCCGTACGCCCAATCCTTCCCTTGGAAAGAGGGAGACACCCCCCCAATTACTTCACTTTAGTCGGTCTATTCCATACGAAGATGAAAGACAAAGAATGTCACTTCAATACTGGGCTTGCAAATAGAAACATGAGTATTACGATGGTAACCAGCATTGAGCGTGGAGGCCCATCCTACGTACATCACGATACATAGCAGGCCTTTGAGAACGATTAATTCAGCAAAGAGGACTGTTTTATTTTTAGTTTTGAACTTGTAGTCTGGACCAACATTCCAATTTATTAGCGGGAGAAATTTGACGCTTTTGCTGTGGAGTCAGCCACCACCCTCGTAAGAGGCTATGGAGGGACGACGTAGCTCGTGCGTAGACTAAATAATCTGGAAATCGATCATTTACTGGACGATATAATGTCCAAGCAGTGAAATGAAAGCAATACAGGAACGCATCGTTTAACAGAACATATCCGAATCCACGAAAAAGCCACCACATTCCGGACACTGTCCCAAGAACTTTTCACAACGATTACTCTCCTTTCACTTGACTGTTTTCATCGAAAGAGGAGAACAACTGCTTGGACTTGAAGATTATCCATCTCTTGTCTATTGACCGGACAGCATGTCCCAGATAGAGAGGCCCTTGGTGGAATAATTCTCCACGTAATGCTCTCCCCATACTTGCTGCCAGGTATCTAATACAATATTAGCATATTTAGTTATACGTTATGAGAAGATGGGTCACCTACCAACTGTCGAATTAGGCTTGGTCTGGCAGAGCCAAATGATTGTCTCATTTGTCCCAGGAATTAGATCCGCACTTGGGAACTCCTTGACGATAGCATCGTACTCAGGCTGCGGTATGCTGTTGCTTGATCCAAGGAAATCGGCGATAATGCCAGTGCCGGTGATCTTGACATCAACCTCTTTGTACTGATATAGCCCGGGCTGTGTATGGAGTGCGATAGCATCCCAGACGCGCTGAACCCTTATTTCCTCCCACTTCTTTCCATACTTGTTGCTCCTGATGAATTCTCGGGCGGCGATTGCTCCGTCCACCTCGAATCTCTTATCAGTGCTGATGAGAGTCGAGTTTGGTGTCTGATCCCATCCGAGGTCGTGCAGCAGGACCGCAACAGCGTGGACCTCGAGATCAACAGAGCGCTTGAGGGTCGCGTTGCTGTTGATGATGAGAGCACCATAGAGCCAGGTACGCATCACATGTTTGTAAACCCAGTCAGAGGTATGGCGGCGTGCAAACTCATGCGCATCACGAACGATTTGGGTGTCCACAACTGTGACGCCTGCAATGGTTCTGACGGGCAGTGCACCACGGGGAGCAATTCCGTTTGGCTCGACAGGGGCCTGGATTGTAGGCTGGAACTGGAGCGCCAGCAGGAGAAGAGACTTGACAATGTTCGGGAGCATCTTGGAGGAGAGGATTCTTCACAAACTGATATGAGTGCACAGCATATAGTTTGATTTTGATTGGGACACTGAACACACTCAACCTTTTTATAAGTTTAGTTTACGCATGAGGATTACTGAACTATCTCTTTACCGCCCCATGTGAAGCTTGCATGACAAACAGCGGTCTGCTTTGTAATAAGACGCGGGCAAGTTACATGACATTACCCTGGCAGCTGGCGATATCTCCAGAGGCTCTCGGATGTAAGGTGTGTGATCTCCATATTTCATATCTGTTGACCAATAGCAATCAGAAACAATGTTCTAAATGGGAGGCGGGTAGAATGAAACCCTCCGTGCAGGCTTGAACGCAACATGCTTTCTCAGCAGCTGAAAAATCTGAAAAGTTCTGAGAGCACGGGAGCGGAAATGATTAGGAAATAGCATAGAGGCGGGATAGAAATTGGCCGGTGGATATAGATTTGTGCCCAGCTACGAGTGCTACTGTGGATTATGAACTTTGGAAATTGGCTGAATGCATATTCCTCTGTCATCTTACTGATTTTCAATGGAAGGTAATACTATTAGGCCGTCTTATGGACGAACGCACTGGCCGCTCAATTCAGAGTTAGTATTGTCACTGAAGTAATATCTGCTTGTATCTGCTTGGGCATGGCGATGGACATCTCAAGGCATGTCCTTGGACGGTCTACAACGATAGTTCACAATAATCGAACCAATTTGATGTCCCTATAGTCATGCTTCCATTAACAACCGGAGTGACATGTAGACATACTACTACTTAGCGTATGTTTTAGTGTCATGACTCTTACTAGGGATCGCCAAGGTGAGCATATTCTCCGTGCTAAATTATTCCGGCAAATCGAGGTCCGTGTCCTGACTCAGCGAGTTGGTTTATTTATTGCCTCTCGTCTCCCCGTGCAATCCTTGTTAATCTCTTTCATCTCATCTCGTGAGCCTCCATGAACAGCGCTTCTACCTTGAACCCCCCCTCAAAACAAGACGTCCAATTAGTTGCAGGCATTGCCATCAAAGGCTTGAAACCAAAATCTGGACTGAATTCGCGCCAACTGAAACAATGGGGACACACTCTGCTATTCCCCGGCTTTACCGCGTTCTATTCACTTGGATTGACGGCGCCATCTCCCTCCTTGGCGCCTACATCCATTTCTTCGATATTGAAGGCGCAACTCGCGAACATTTCCCGAAATTACATGAGCTGCCGATTTCTACATTGAAACCGTTTTTCTTTCCCATTGGTGGCAGCATGCTTTTCACATCTACCGTGCAGTTGGGCCTGCTCCGATACACGGCGGACATGAAGGTATGGAAGATCGTTCAGTTCGGTCTTATCCTACAAGACATCTCGATACTTCTAGGCCTGGTAGAGATACTCAGAAGCGGAGATCAGTCGATGTCGTTCGCGGATATATCCAAAACGGGCGCGTTTTCCGGGTTTGTGATGGTTGGCGGGCGCACACTTGCGAGGGTGGCATTTTTGAGTGGCTTAGGCTTGGAGCGACCCGGAAAGGCAGTAAAAGAGCCATAAGACGGGTGATTGTTACTCAATGGGGGCACTGCTATCCAAGTTTTAGGTGTCTAGTCCTCAATTTAGGCGCTACATTGTAGTCCTACCGGTCCATACGTATCTTGCAGTCCAATGGTCCACTGCTGGTGTAACCTTCACTGCCACCCCAAACAGAAAGCCAGAGCCAATCGACCTGCAAAAGACTGTAATTTTCAAACCAACACGAGGCAGTGCAATATTCTCAAAGTGACTCTGACAGCAGAAGGCTTCATATATGTATACATGTCAGCCTCTCTCCTATCCGATTTAAGCACGGGCTTATATGGTCATCAGGCAAGCTTCCTATCTGTGAGCAAAGAACGAATGAACAACAATTTAATGATATCAACAGTTTGATGTCTCGTCCATGGTTCAGTCGTGTGTGGATTATCCAAGAGGTTGCTCTTATGAAAGATCCTAAAGCTGGCATTGTACAGTGCGGCAACAAGTCTGTGTCTTGGGAGAATTTTCGCCATGGCTACTTGGTAATGTCCACTACCCCACCTAAGCAAATCCTTCGACCTGGGTCTAAGCTCGCAGCACTTAAGTCTGTTCCTGAACCTTCATACTTCATGTGTGACCGATCCTGGCGTATGGACATTGTGGACGTGTTCTGGGGGATTCAAGAGTAACAATGCTCAGAACCCTTAGATCGGTTCTACGGCGTTCTAAGCTTGCTCAACATAAAACGGCCGGAATGTGACAACAACAAGAGGCTGAACTATGACATCAAAATTGAGTATGGCCAATCCCCCGAGAATCTTTTCAAAAAAGTTCAGCGTGTAGAGATTGAAACCACTGGAGTCCATCTGCTCCGGTTCTGTGAACTGGAAGGGCAAAATACCGGGGAGGAACAACTAGCAGGCCAACGACATATTCGCTCATCGGTACCAATGCCGGCTGAGGTGCCCTCCTATCTGGCGGTCATACTGCCCAATCCGATCATTCGATTCAAATCGAAGCATTGTTTTCACGACAATGATGGGAGTCTCGAAGTCTACGGCGAGTCTATAGGCTCTGTAGTTAATGTTCTTGATTGTAAAACCTTGGCTACTGAATGGTCGAACGGAGCTGATCTTGCTTTTGTCCTCAATGAACTTCACTATCTTTACAGTATTGGGAGTTTTTGTACGCAGAATATGGACTTGGAGACGACTCTAATGGCAACCATAGACGTGCTGAACCGGCATCTCTATGATGAAATGAGCCCGGGTCACGATAATGCATCGCGCAAGAAGGTGCGAAGCTTTGTATCATGGCTTTGTGACCAAAAAAGACAGAATCCGAGGATTGTTCCCGAGATCGAACGCAACACTCTTCGCCTGGCGGCTCAGGTCAGCGAGAATTTGAATGACATCTTTCGGAAACCCAACGCCCGGAAACCTCCAGTCTTGTACATAACAGATAAAGGGGACATTGGGCTTGGGACCAGCGCCACTACAAAAGGGGACCAGGTGTGTGCTATATACGGCGTGCCCAACTTTATGATTCTCCGGCCAGACAGCGGACTTCGTTGCCGTGTTGTGGGACCAACTTGCGTCAGCAGTCAGAAGCTTGCAGAAGCCATTTTAGGCCGTTGGCCTGATGGGCATGACAATACCTGGGTGGTCTATGATCCTAAGAAAAAGCTGAATGTGCTGAAAAGGGATGGAGATACTGTTATTGACACTCGACTGTCTGGTTTCAGTGACACCCCCGACTTTCAACCCTGGGAGTTTGACATCGACACCAACCGGTCTTCTTTAGCAAAGAAGTTAAGGGACAACCGTCGATCATTCTTATTGACTTGAATCTCATGTGGAAGAAATGAAATTTGCATGTGGAAGAAAAGAAATTTGGGCCCTTTTCAATTTGGAAGATTGGTGATATGTGATGTATCCTACCATGGGGAAGACGGCATGGGAAGAAAGTCAACTTCCTTAATAGCGTGGTACAGATAGCTTTTAATCATTGTCTTGAGATATCGGTCTGGCCTCTTCCATTGCTCCTTTTTTTTTTACTTCATACTCAAACTCTCTCACAGTACAGATAGCTTTATTCCAAATTCTTGCCTGAATACTTGGCTTCAATGTTTCAATGCATTATTGTTTTTAGGGATGGCAACACAGATATGTAAAATGGGCTTTTGACGAAGTAATGCCAAAGCGAAGTAATGCCAAAGGTGCTGCTGCGCCAGGCACCAAATGGATTATAAATAACAGGTTGATGATATGACTTGTCGGATGAGGCTAGGAAGGAACGAATAGTCGTCTTATATGATGACTTGTCAAAAGGGAACTTTTCGACGAAATGCCACTCAAATCGGCCATAGACAGACCCCTTCCACCTAATTCTAACTTGATGCATGCTTAAATCTAGCAGGCCGACATCAAGAATGACAGTTTGAACTGCACGCTGACGCCTGCCCCCGTTTGTTTTCCAACCCTAAGCTTACTTGGGCCTCATAACCGAACGAGGACTTTGGTTCTTCCTGTTCTGTAGTCATTAATAATCATCGAGGAGGTTTTTACCTGTGCGTCTTACGGGATCGCATGGTCAGCCGCAAACTCGTATCCTAGTTAGGTGTACGAGGTGCACGGAACCCCCGGGAATGCTTCATTATTGGCTATGTGTGTCGGGTTACAGCGGAATGACGGAGCCAGGCTAAGCTCATGACCCTTCGGCACCACTTTAGCTGACCAGCAAGTGCCGGGATCGAGTATTCATAGAAATCTGACAGTAATATTAGGCAATGCTACGGCTAAGCGTGATTAGTCTTCACTTAGTCTTCACTCCTCCGCTAGGAATCTCACCATTGGCGTTCTACGCCGCAAGAAGCCATGGATCCAAAAGCCATGCCGGAATTCATTATTTATGAGGTTGAAAGCCCCATGATGTTTTAAGACAACATTAGTTCCTTTTAACGATCTTTTCTAGTTCTTTCTAGCATCATGTTTTTCTCTACTGCGATTTCGGTCCTTCTCTGCGCTGCTTCGGTGTTCTCAGGTTCGCAAGCCGTTGCTTTCCACAAGCGCGCCTCATCAGGTTGTGGGAAGTCACACAGCTTCATCGGAGAAACCAAGCAGTTCAGTTTCGAAAGCAGCGGCGGAACTCGCACCTACCGAATCTTCTTGCCCAAAGGATACAAGGTGAACTCGCCCCAGCCTTTGATTATTGCCTATCATGGCTCGGGCAAGACACCTGAGGATATGGAGGAATTGACAAAGTTCTCTGATGAGAGTATCAACTCGAAGATGGTTGTTGTATTCCCAGCGGGAGTCGAGGTGAGATGATTTTCTTCTAAAATATTCACAAGGGAGAGGATTAGTTTTGCTGACCAAGTGGTTGTATCAGAAACATTGGCAAGGCCCGACTTATGCCAAAGAAGGTGTCAGCGATAAAGTTTTTACAACAGACCTCGTCAATCGGATCAAGGACAACTATTGCATCGACGAGTCTCGCGTCTACGCTGCAGGGCAATCGAACGGCGGTGGCTTTGTAAACACCTTGGCGTGCTCCCCTGACCATGGTGGGCAGTTTGCAGCTTTTGCCGCCAGCTCGGCTGCTCTGTATACCGACGTGAAGGGTGATGAGACGTGCCATCCGGCTCGTTCGCCACTGCCCTTCCTGGAATCTCATGGCACAAATGACCAGAGAATCGACTACGAGGGTGATGATAATGCCAGTGGCGGACCTGTTCCAGCTATTCCCGAATGGCTCGGACGCTGGGCTAGGAGGAACAAATGCTCGGGCTCATCTTCTTCAGATATCGGAAACGATGTTCAGCAGGAAAAATGGACTTGTGCGGGAGAAAAGGGCTTGCTAACCCATTTCAAACTGAACGGACACGGGCATGCATACCCTAGTAGCTCAGACAAGCAGTTGTTCCTGTCGCCCAAGATTATCGAGTTTTTTAACTCGCACACAAAGCCATAATAAACAACAGCAGAGGGTTCATTCTAGCCCTGGGTAATTAATGTCTTCAATAGGGGAATAGGGGTTGTCGACAGATTCAGAGGGCAGTTTGTGTGATAGAGAGGCAAGCACATAGATATTCGAGAGTGAATTAGTTTTAGATTGCATTCCGTATAGATGTCTTTTTCTGACGAATATTACTTACTATCCAGCTAGCCACGCCTCACTACTTATGAAACCGCGTGATATCTTTCCTCTGATGAATCACATGACAATGTTGATGGTCAGATGTGGTTTGTTTCAGCAAGAGCCATACAGCAGGTCGCTCCGAACGGGGTCAAAGTGGCCGGTTCCGTTCTCGGACCCGAAGCCTCGTACACTAAACCTCGTTTGGACCCGAAGCTCCCGCTCCTTTTTTGCTCATCACTCAACGCCATCGACGATCAGGCAATTTGTTGAGTGCAATTCCATCTACACTTCTCTTCTGACCATTGCCTTTCAATCAAGAGAATAATTGCTTGTGCTTGCTCTGATCTCGTTGTTATATCCTGGACCCGTGAGCCGGCATTTGCCATGTCCGCTTCTTCGTCTGGCCAGCACAAGTATGCCTGCTGTACCTGCGCACGACGGAAGATCAAATGCGACAAGGCGGACCCCTGCTCCAACTGCTCAAAGGCGCAAGTGGAATGTCTCTACGAGGACCATCCGCCACCACGGCCCCGTAAGAGAGCCGCCGATGAAGACCTCATAGCTCGGCTTGGAGCATATGAAGACCTCTTGAGGAAGAACAATGTCGACTTCAGTCACTTTAGCCACGCATGGATTCCTTCGGACTTACAAGGGAAGTTGAAACATTCTACGAGCGGTAGCGAGAGCCCGGCTTTGACGCCGGGCACAAACAACCTGGCAACCTCAGAAGACCCCCAGCCAGATAATCGTTCGGCCGAATGGGAACGGTGAGTTTGGTTCACAACCTGGACTTCTACCACTTTGATCGGTAGCTGACATCGACATCCATAGGTGTTTATGGTCTAGCTTGCCCATAGAGGTATGAACCTTTTCTAAGCAGTATTATGTTACGACCAGGAAGGACTAAGCATTATGACCTCGAAGCTCAAGTTTCCTCCTACCCGTTATTTGCACTATTCTGAAGACCCTTGTTTGTATCCGATTCCATCACTCCATTCGATCATGTCTAGTGGAGGGTCGACTAGTCATAAACTACACCCCGAGCCCAGGCAAATTTACCGGCTCTGGCAACAGTTTGTTGAAGCAGTAAACCCCTTGATCAAGATTGTTCATGTCCCTACCATGCAACAGCAAATATTAGATGCCAGCTGGGACCTTGAGAATATTTCGCCGCCTCTAGCCGCCCTGATGTTCTCTGTATACAGTCTCGCGGTCATATCACTCTCATCGGCTCAGTGTGAGGCGACCTATGGCGAAGCCAGGTCGACATTAATCACTCGCTACCGAGTCGCGGCATTGAGTGCCTTGATAGCTGCTGACTTCCTCACCACAAAAGATCTGCAACTGCTAACAGCATTCGCGCTGTTCCTCCTGACCGACCCTGATTCGGAATTCACATCCAGTCTCACCCCCACCGCTGTAAGAATTGGCCAGAAAATGGGCCTGCATAAACCCAGTCATCCCAAGGTTTCCTTCTTCGAGAGCGAGATGCGCATTAGGCTCTGGTGGCAACTCAATGCCCTGGACTCTCGGGCTCGCGGAAGCCATGTTCCCGGAATGCGGCCACCTGCGCTTGTCGAATTCGGCGATATCCGTGTGCCGCTGAACGTCAACGATGCCGATCTTCATCCGGACATGACAGAACCTCCCACGGAGCACGTTGGCCCGACGGAGATGACATGTGTACTCATCAAGTTCCAAATCTTTCGGTGGCTTAGGCACTCCAGCGCTAGCCTTCGAGTGTTTGAGGGCATCAGCCACAGTCCGGAGAAATCCAAAAGAGCCCTTAAGATGGAGGACGCGTTGATTGATAAATTAGAATCCATTTACCACGAAAACTTCCTCCAGTACCTGGACTTGAATATCCCTCTCCACGCTCTGTCCAACGCCATGGCCATTCTTGCTTCGTCTCGCCTGCGATATATGGCTCATCATCCCCGATTCCGGGCCGTCACCCACGATGGAGCAGTATACATGAAAAAGGAAGAAGGTGATTTGGCGTTTAATTCTGCAGTCACGTCGTTGGAAATGCTTCAAATAGGAGAACAAAGCCAATATTCTCGCCACTTGTTCACGCACATCTCATCCACCTTTCAGTTGGAAACGAACGTCTACATCATAAGTGAGCTGCGGAGACGCCTTTCCGGAGAGCGCGTGGAGACGGCTTGGAAGCTTGTACAACACTTTTTCAACGAGTACCAGGAGCTCCTCAACGACGAGCAGAACAGCCTCTTTGTCGCGCTGGGAGAAATTACACTGGAGGCTTGGGAGGCCCGGAAGAAATACTTCCAGGTCCATGAGCAAGGGGTTATGGAATATAGCCCCCTACCTCGATTCATTGAATTGCTGTGGAATAAGCAACAACTGAGGAATGGACAGAACGTGCAGGCAGCTACGACGTTGGACTCACAGAATCTGGATACATTCGAGTTGCATGATGTACATGATGTTGATTTTGACTGGGAATCTTGGGGCACGTTCTGGCGATTCTGAACCTTTTCTCGGGGCCTTTACTTTTAGTAGTAATATAGGGATCATGTCGGGCTTACATGGGGGCTTGCATGAAGCCGCAGATCTTCATCAAAAGTCAGGTTTTACGAACACTGATTTGATCTGCGTCATTTCGTGGCTAGCACCATTTCGGGAGCGCATGATTGAATCCTCCGCCGATCTCATATGAGAGGTCGTTCAAGTTAGCGTCCTCCCCCTCGGTACTTGCGTTCTTCTATAAGCTCTGCGTATGATTGGAAAGTCCGCCTAATTTCGCCAGAAGATACGCAGTGAATGTGGGGAGAACGAATGGGGGATGTATTGTTATTAGCGACCATCTAGCGGCTCAAGATCACAGCCCGTTGCAAGCGTTAAGACCGCTAAGAACCAGTATTCGCTAATGAAAAGTTTATGCATTGTCACTGAAAACACCTGCCCGGCAGGCCCGGCTACCGAGGCCAGATTCGCCCCTTTCGTGAAGGAGATGTCACTGCATCTTTCACGCTTTGGTCGAGGCAGCCCCTTGTAACATATATGAAGAAAAAGGAAATTCAGCGTCCGCTAGTTCCTAAGATAGTAGAGTGGCATTTTTGCGTATGCACGGTTGGCGAAGTCCGAATACGCCCCAACGTCTTAGTGCTGACACGAGGACGAGCCAACGCACGTGTAAGCGCTATGGGAATGTCATGACGTCGCAACAGTAAATAGCAACGGTGATTTAGCCCGGGGAAGGAGATTTTGAATAATATTATATTCTCGTCTTCTCGACCTTTCTGCGGTTCTGAAGTGTAAATACATATCTCATTGCCGGATCAAACATGCGGCTGGGCTCTCTCTTCACGCTGCTCACCGCTGCATTGGTAGAGTTATCTACCAGTACACTGACAACACACGATGAAACATTTCAGCCAGATCATATTCTGAGGGTATCTGCAAAAAACATCTCGGTCGCTTGTGAGACAAGATATAGCGCCGTCATCAATGGAACCTCACCCGGGCCAGAGCTGCGGCTGCCAGCTGGCCAAGTGACCTGGATCCGCGTGTACAATGACATGCTCGATGCCAACCTCACCATGGTAAGAATGGTCCTCTCCAGCCTCTTTCCACCGTTTCAAGATCCCTTGGAGACCAAAAGCGAGATGTTGAGCTAATATTTCCTCGCCTTTTCACTAGCATTGGCATGGACTAGCAATGCGCATGGCACCCTTTGCCGATGGCAGTGTGTTCGCATCGCAGTGGCCGATCCCCCCCGGGCATTTTTTCGACTACGAGGTTTCTACTGCACAAGAAGATGGCGGCACCTACTTCTACCACTCTCACGTCGGTATGGAAGCCTTGACAGCTTATGGCCCCCTGATAGTGGACGAGTATGGCGTGTATCCCCATTACTACGATGAGGAGCGCACCCTCCAATGGGGAGACTATTTCAATCAGACGGACAAGAAGATCGAGCACGGTTTGGAGGCGGTGCCATTTGTATGGAGCGGTGAAACAAACGGAGTTCTCCTGAACGGCGTCGGAGTCGGACTTGGACACACCCCCGGGACGAGCGACAATCAAAGCACGTGCTCTTTCCCTGTGATCAATGTCGAGCCTGGGAAAACATACCGGTTCCGGTGGATTGGAGCAACGGCGCTCTCGCATCTGGTTATGCAGTTGGAGGGTCACCTGGACCGCTTTACCATCGTTCAAGTCGACGGAGGCGAGTTCACGAAGCCGGTTACTGTGGACAGGATGCAGATTGGCTCGGGCCAGCGGTTCGATGTTCTGTTCCGGGCAAAAACTGTGGATGAGTTGGCAAGCGAAGGCAACAAGACGGATTATTTCATGCAGTTTGAGACGAGGGAGCGGCCTGCCGTCTTCAGAAGCTATGCTGTGGTCCGCTACTCCGCCAAGCCCGACAACCGCCAGTTCATTCCGGAGGTGAAGGCGCCAGTGATCCCTCCGTTCAATCTCACGAACGCTACATACGATTGGCTTGAGTATAAGCTGACGCCGTTGTATGAGAAGAAAGACGGACAGGGGATGCCAACTCTCTCCGAGATCACACGCCGTGTGACCCTGGACACATGGCAGGTAGGAAGCGAAAAGACGAATCAGACGATCTGGGTTATGAACAATCTAACGTGGACCTTGCACACGTTCGAGCGGCCCATGTTGGTGGATATTTACCAAAGAGGCGAGGAAGCAATGCCCAACTACGAAGCAGCGCTGGAAAATAACGGTTGGGATCCAAGAGTCCAAGCCTTTGCTGCAATGCCAGGCGAGATATTGGAGATTGTTCTCCAGAATCACGGATCGCTTTGGAATAATGGAGGTGGCGTTGACGTTCATCCGTTCCATGCCCATGGGCAACACTATTACGATATTGGTAGTGGGAACGGCACGTACGATGCGGAGGCAAATGAGAGGAAGATGCAGAATCTAGGTTATGAGGCTGCACAAAGGGACACTACCATGCTCCACAGATATACATCCAACGCAGGCGCAGGTGTACCATCGGGTTGGCGCGCCTGGAGGATCCGTGTGGACCATCCTGGAGTTTGGATGATTCATTGCCATACGCTACAGCATATGACTATGGGTGAGTGTTATCTCGTTGGATCGAAATCCGCTTTTGCCTGGCATCTACTAACTAATTGATAGGTATGCAAAGCGTCTGGGCTGTCGGAACAGCCCAGGAAATTATTGCTATTCCTTTCACAGAGAGCGAAGGGTACCTGACTTATGGTGGCAGTGTTTATGGCAACGAGACTTATGCGCCAAAGTACCCGCATTACTTTGACTCCTCCAAGTCGTAGTGACATGCTGGGGAGCATGCTGAATTCAATAGAGCAGTTCAAATGTAGATAATAGATAATAGAGCACCGATTTACGAATCTTCTCAAGTCTCCTCGATAGATATTCAAGTCGTTGTAGGCAGGCGATGGGAACTATACCCTAGATGTCTTGAAAGATTGTTGCATAACCTTCCACGGTTATTCAATGTGTTTGTTACCTCACCCCTAGCTACGTTTCATATGTTGAATATGTGATAAGCAACCCGATCAAAATCCTCAAAGCAATCATCAATCCAAGTAAGATTGCGCGTCTGTCAATTGAAAGATTTGGCACCTCAGCGGTCAGGACTGAATGAAACATACCAGTTCAGTTCCTGCGGCATTCGCACTTACCCTCGACATTCAGTGCCTCCCACCTCGTAGTTGTCGAACGGTCCAGTAAGATGTCCCAACTGGAGCTGAGTCTTTGGAGGCATTCCTAAATAATATCGGCCCTTAGAACAGCCGTTGCGATGAAATGGAAACCCTTGTGATGGATTTCATTGTTGATGTTGCTGTGTTATAGGGTAGGCGAGATGTCTTCGGGGGAGGATACCCGGTTGAATACCAAATCCCGTTGGCTGCGACATGGGAGTCGGTCCATTCGGTGATAAGAAATAGGCACTTTGGTTGTATGATCCACTGGAGTAATTACTCTACCTCCGCGATTGCATGGAACAATTCTTTCACTTCGGTCTTGCCTGAAATACTTCAGACATAGCACTTCGCTCCAATGGGCTTCTTCTCCTTTGATCGAGACACAGACTCAATCTTTTGAGATACGAGAACTTTAATAGGTACGAGAGCGATAGTTCGGTTTGTCCCGCTGGATGATCTCTGCCTCTTTTGACGGCACGAGCTGAGCTGTGCCGCATGGCCGAGGCCCCGTCTGCCCAATTTGTTTGCATTTTTATCGATTTGGGGGCCGTCATATATGAGGTAATATGGAGGACACCGGGTGAGCAATCAATCGAGAGGGAATCCGCGGATCTGAATGGGTTATGAACATGCTCTTGAGGCGGATTCGATTACTGTCTTGCCTGGCTGCAAGTGCCTGAATTTTGCGACTTGTGCTGCTTCGGCTGTGGTTGTGAGACTCATCAATGTACTGTGGGAACATTGTTTTCACCCATCGGTGTATTTTGGTAGCATCTCTCCCGAAGGGTTACATTTGGAGGGAGGCTGATGAATGTGCAGTCAGACAACGTCATCGGTATTAGTCGCACCCGAAAAATAGTTTGTCCCTTCTCTGCCGTATGCTTCGATGCTGAGCGATCACGCGACAATGAAGTCCAAAAGGTGTGGCTTTGATGAACGACTTGAGTAACGCAGGCTGTTGGCTGACGGTTTGTTGCGTGCTGGTGATCCCTAAAATAGCCGGATCAGTTTATGCGCATCTTGGTATTTTTATGCTCCAGGGCTGCTCTCAATATCGGGCCCGTCACACGTTTCGACGGCGACGAGAACGAACATGGCTGTGCCAGCGTTACCATGGAGACATCTTCTGTCGGCAATGAGCCGTATTGGAAATAAAATGATCTGAACCACTTGCCGTACTGCTCGCTGGCCATTGCCTAACTGAGCCATCTGATGGATGATAATAATAAGACGGAGCTGGGGCAGTGCCATATCTCACCCCCCAACCTACATGTACTAATTGTGGACGCTCTCACACACCCAACCGGATTATTTCTGATGCATGCACTTTGTTCAAAGCCGACTCAATCAAAATGTTATTATCTAGACCCGTCCCCGTCCCCGGCAAGCGTCTGTGCCTGGGATTTATTTCCTCCCCCCCAGCTCCCATGGATTTGACCCTTCCATTTCGCCTAGACTCTCTGTGCCCCAATCAACGGAATTAAGCTCGACTTTGACAGACAGGGGGTCGCAGACATGATGTTTCTACCCGTCTTTTCTACCGTTCTCGCGTTTTCTGGGCTGGCCATGGCTCATCCAAGGCCTTCACCCTGCCGGGCATTATCAGAGCACTCGTTTGCTCAGTTCCGGGGCCATCCGAACAGGCTTATGGCTGAGCTGAAAAAGCGGCTTTTTGACGGTAGGTGGTAACGAGTTCTTCATTCGCACCCCAGGATTGGAACTGACATGCCCGTGGAATTCTAGATGCTGCATCGTCCAGCAATTTGGTTTCCCTGAGGAGGAGAGGTACCGATAAAGCTGTAGTGGGCGCTGCTGTTGGAGGAGTGCTTGGAGGCCTTTTCCTGATCGCCCTGGTCGTGGCTCTCTTTTGGTTCCTCCGTCGTCGTCGCGGCCATCGCAATAGTCAGGATGGCGAGCCAGAAACTCCGCCCCAGGCCATAAGTGTTACAACACCCTTCATGGCGGATCATCCTGACTTATCACGCGACACACACGGCGTATCTCCTGAAAAACCACGCGAGGCGACCACGCAAGCATTGAGCGACGGCACTGCTCGACCACAAAGCGGAGTTCGTTCGAAATCGTCACACGAAATCGATCCTCGATCACTACAGGAGTCATTGCAAGGCATCCCGACCGAATACACAACCGGGCTGGGACTTTATCAGAAGGAGAACCAGGGGGTACCTCTCCGCGTGGAATTAGAGGGGTCCAGCGAGTTCAGAGACCAAGTTGGCTCATTACGGCCCCCGTCGAGAATCAAGACGGGGCAGCGGCAGTTCATCGCGGGATTCAAAAGGACGATGAGCTTCCGGGGGGCCTAATAGCTTGCGTTGGATCATTTCATATTCATTTCCCCCCCCCCCTTTCTTTTCTCACCTTTTATTTTCTTTTTGTTTTGGATTTGGATACCAATTAGCGATGGGCAATTGATGCCGCGCTCACAATGGTGGAATGGAAGACGGCTTGAGCACGGAGTTCCACATGATATCAGTTAGACAACAGGAGTTTCGGTTATTGTTTCCACACATAGAGCCTATAGACATTTCTTTTGTTTTTTTTGGTCGATGGTAAGGATGTTGCCACATATCCTACAAAGGGCTTGAATACATTACCCAAACTATACCGCTGCTCTATCTCCCTTTGAGGTTATTACAAGAACCCGGCGCTTGAAGTGATTAGTATTGTTGGCATGGCAACTTCATCAGTCGCAAACGATTCAGTATTTTCTGTATATTTGAATATGTATTTTGCCAATCATACTAGAAATCTTCGGCATTCTTTACGCAGCATTGAACTCTGCTCGGACCCAGGGTCCCAGGCCTCGTAACTTCTCGCAGGTTGGGATGGATCTCGCCGACCTTTTGCTCCCAGGATGGCTAGTTTTTCTCCGTTATGATAGCTTTGGAACTACATGTATTGATTTATTTTAAAGCCGCTTATTCTAGTAGCCAAGAGATCTGTCGACCTGGTTGACCACAGGTTGCCCCTTGGATCGTCTCTCCAGATTATATGTAAGAATTTTGAAGGTTCTTTCGTTGAAGTGGTTCGAATTCCCAGCACAATGAGGTGTGATAAACACATTCTTGTAGCCCCAAAGCTTGGAATCAGCGGGCAACGGCTCTGGCTCTGTCACATCGAGCGCAGCGCCGCGGATTTGGTTAGAGTCGAGAGCGGCAATTAGGGCCTCAGTATCAATTACAGAGCCACGGCCGACGTTGCTGATAAATGTCTTTTTCTTGCTAAGAATGAAAAACTGATCGTGCCCAATCATGTTGGCGGTGGCAGGTGTGGCTGGCAGTGTGATGACAAGTAGGTCAAGGTCGGAGCCGAGGAAGTCGTCGAGCTGCTCTTTGCCGTAGAACCACTTCGAGGGAAATTCACCAGCTGGGTCACCGAGGCCCGGCTCAGTGAAGCCGTCATCTCTTCGCGACTCGGGTGTGGGACGCTCATGGAGAGTGTAGGCGTGGACATCCATCCCAAAAGCTTTGGCGACGCGTGCAACCTGCCGGCCGACTGCACCGTATCCAAGGATTCCACTTCAAATGACATGAGCGAGATATTCTGTTAAAGAAAAAAAAACAACTCATAGTTCAGTACTCACACTCTTAAGCCAACTGCGTCTTCGACGTCTTCATCTGAGTCGGGATCAACCCAGTTTCGCTCTTTCTGGTTCTGAAGGTGCTCATGAACTCAGAAGGGTATTAGTAGTGATAAGTTGGGCGAATATGGGGAAGTTCTGCTTACAATGGTGTTGGAATCCAAGAAAGCTTGCAAACACCCACTCGGAGATCTGCGGGGGATGGACTCCATTGGAAGTGCTGAAGACAATGTCCGTCTTCTCGAACAACGGAAGACCAAGAATCTGGTTGGCACCTGCGCTATGCAACTGGACATACTGCAGGTTCGGAGCCAGCTCCAAGGGAGGGAAGGCTTTCCACGTATACAGCGCGGTGGCTTTTTCCCAAAGCTCCGCGGGTACAGCCTTAGGGATTTCCTCGGCGTACATTTTTGTTGGATGAACATGAATTTTGATACCAGGCACCTTCTTTCGGAGGTCACTAATCCATGCCTGCGCTGGTACGAATGGGGTGATGATAAGGAGAGTCTCGGAGCCCATCTTGCCTGTCATGAATTTGGCTAGATGACTGAGGATGTTCGCTCCAGATTTTGGAGATGATTAAGCTCTTTATCGCGTCTAATTTAGCAAATATGGGCAGAAATTTCCCCAAGTATTGTAATAATTATATGACTTTACCACGCGATAATTGTTTATGGTTCGCTGTGTGGAGAGTGTAAGATGGAGAGCATTTGATGCAACTTGAGAGAAGAAAGGGAAAGGGACAAATAAACACGACGAGCGATTTAAGACTATTTTTCACATTGAAGAGATGATGTAGAAACGCATCTCGCTTGGCGTCGCAGTTTTAAATTGGGTTGTGTTTGCTGGGCCGAGTCAACTGGGCCGGTTCACCCTCCCTCCCCACATGGTAACTGTCACTGGCCCAGCATGAGATGCGGCATGTGATGGACGGCTCGGGTCCCTCCGCGTGGACGAATCGGCTCCTATGATGACAAGAAGTAGGGTTTCGTGGTGAAGGGTAGCCCGACAGATTTGAACTTTGGCAGCAGCTTGCGGATTTTACAGATGAGATAGACCCAATGGAATAGTATCGCACAACTCATCTACAGTCACGGGATGAATCTATTCTGGAAAAGGTGATCGTTGTCAAGTACCGAGAAATATCCATGTCAAATAAGATAATTTGTTAATTTAAGGTCGAATAAGTGGCATTTCTCACTTGCGAGTTGTTTTACTTGTTCTACAGGCTCATGGAAATACTAAAAGATATGTCTCGTCATTCATTAAATTATCATTCTTTCCTGTATGTGTCTTACTGGGCCTGATTGTAAGAGATTCCCATGGTAGGGCAATGAAATAAACATAATCTTAGTGCCCCGGATCTTATTCTTGTCCAGATTTCAGCCCCTAGAGCAACCAAGCCGTCAAGAATGAAACGACAAACACGCTTGCTGCCATCGTCATTCGAGAGGCCGACGACTCTGAATCATCATTGCCGCTCGTATTGTTCACCGCCAAGAGCTTAGTTGAATTGGCGTTCTTCCAAATATCCTCGTACGAGAATCCCGGAGATTCGACGAGGGGCTTGTTACGCTCAGATCCAGGACCGTCCACTGATCCAGCAACGCAAGCTGATGTATCCCCTCCAGCAACCTTTGCGGCAGCTTCCCAGAGCAAAGTGACGTCGCGGATCATATCGATGGTGTAGAACAACCGGCAGTTGGCCGCTTCATAGACAAACTGGTAGGGAACATCGAGGTTACCCGTGGAAACCTGGTCGAGAATGTTGAGGGCCATTGAAACCTTCCATGGTGCCTGGCTAGCGGATGGGATATCCTCAATCTGCGCTACAGTAACACCAAGCTTCGATCTCAGTGCTTCGCGGGATCCGTTCTTGCTGTCCAAAAGCCCTGACCGGATCAGTTCTGCAACTTGGGCCATGTCGCCGTGCTGCCTTACTTGGCTTCCTCGAGTCCCCGCCACGCCTTGCATGGGTCCGCTTTGGGGAATGCCACCGACAGCGACGCTCTTGACGCCACCGACGTTCTTCATCAAGTTACTGAATATAGAGCAAGTACTTCCACAGTAGCCGTCATAGAGGATGATGATGTCACCAGGGGAGAAGGCCTCGTCAAATGTCGCCTCGTTGGTACCGTACCCCGATATGTTGTAGGTTTCAAAGGGCGCATAGTTTGTTGGCAGCGACATGTCATATTTCCAGGCCTTGGTGAAATTGTCACCGTTGATCTCAAGAGGCCCAGCAAAGTCTTTCCATGACGTCCAGTGCTTACCATCGGCGGTGAGGGTGTTGTTGGTGTTTAAGTCTCCCGCGTTGGCAAAGGACGCATGCAACTGCTGGAGAAACTCAGTTTCAGAACTCCCATCGACAAGCTTCCCTGATTGTTCGACGAGACGACCGAAGAGATCGAACAGAGGGCTGGCACGGGAGCGGGACAAGGCGTCGGGGCTCTTCTTGGGGAAGAATTGCCTGAAGACGTCGTATCCCAGCATTACATTACCACCGCCGTTTCCAGAGAGGTCGATGACAATCTTTTTGGTACCAGCTTTCCGAGCTTGGGAGATAAACTCCGTGGCAGCCACGGAATACTCTTCGGCGCTCTCGGTGTAGTCGTCACGCGACGCGAAGCTTGGAAGACTGAGTACGCCAGTGGCGTTGTCCGACAGGAGATATCTTGACACGACACCGCCACGTGTGAAGTTGGCCTGAGTGACGATGGGGGTTTTGGGGTAGCTGCTGTAGGGCACATATTGAGGCGTTGTGGTGGTTTGGTTGGCGAGGGCTCGCTTTTTAAGCTCCTCTTCCTGCTCCTGCTGCTGCTTCTCGGCGAGGCCATATACGGTGAAGAGATCCTCGCCACTGGTGATATTGCTTGATTTGAACTGGGCTGGCGAAGAAGCCATGTATTTCCATTCAAACTGGGTTCCGTTGGAAAACTTTCCTTTGAGTGAATTACCATTGTAGATTGACGTGGTCTGGATACCGCCGATAGTCATGCTGTTTTTATTATCTGCGCCCCAAGAGCCGAACTGAGTAGCCTCATTGTACATCAGTTGGTTCCAGTCAGCGTGGGGATCAAGCATATTCGTCACTGCGTTGGTCGCCGCGTATTTCTGGAGGTAGGTGAAGACATTCTGGCCCTCGATTTCGACAATAGAAGAGGGGTTCGAGACTTTGTCAATGATGTCGCTGTGGACATAGACTTGGGGAAGTTCCTTTCCATCGACGGAAGCCGAGACAAGCCCATATGGAAGATTGTAAGAAATCAAACCATTAGGCCCATTCCCGATGCCAAAATGGGTATCGTATACGCCTCGGTTGATCGCGATAATATCAAGTTCGAATTGGTTAAAGTTGGAATAATTACCCCGGTTTGCCTTCTCAGCAATTTCATTTAGCTGAGCTATCACATCGATTGAAGGCTGCTGGTATGATTTGGGAGGGTTCTTCAAAAATGGGATGGTCGAGTATAAAGCGAGAAACTTCTTGTCGACTTCCACCATCGCCGCTGCCTCAGTGTTGTTGATGGGTATAGAAGCAATGCACTGATACGCGGTTTCAGCATCAAAGAAGGCCAGGAACGGGATGTTGTACGGATTGACGGAGTCCAGATCCAGCTTCCTTATTGCTGCGGTTTGTTGCTCGTTGACCTTCTCGCATGGGCTAACAGACTGCGCCAACACAGCCGGCACCAGGGCGGCAAGCGCCACAAACAAATCGGAACTGTACATAACGACTGACTAAGAAGCTGTCACTTCCTTGTCGAAGCCTTGGTAATGATAGGAAATTAATGTGGTACGAGCTGAGTGTTTCCACGATCAAACGGAGAGGCTTCTCTCTTCTTATATGACTGTTGGTCCCAGCCCAGGCAACCGAGCACAATCACAACCGAAATACATCAGCTAAGGCAAGCAGATGGGTCGCTCAAGCCACAAGGATGACTTTATGACCAAATTCATCCGCAAAGGGTAACAATGTTCATCGCGTTGGTAACATGTCATCATTTCAATGTGCAAGCGCGGCGGTGCAAACATGTCACCACGCCATTGGAGCAGGCAGCAAATTCCCTCTCACCTTGCGGCAGGGCGTCTCTCCACTTCCCATTGTTCCATGAAGTTGTTGGTCAGCGTTGGGTGGCTGAAACGTCCCTGGGGCAGCTGAAATGAAGCACGGCAACCAACGCCAAAAGTTCCCCAGCGGTAAAACCAGCTCGGTCATTCGGGGACAACTGGAGCTGCGCCTGTCTTTCATAGTGGTCTTGGGTGCCAGTAGCATAACCCAGACCCTGTTTCAACTTCATAAGCCCTTCCTTCTACACAAAAATTGCTCCAGCACTCTGTTTCATTGTTCCGCTGCAACTGAAAAGTACTGCCGGCGCATTCTTCCTTCAATGGTCATAAGCGACATGACTTTGTCACTAGCACTCAGCTCATCTCTCAGCCACATGCAGGGGTTTCGCCAATGCATCAGACCAACGGTCAGCAAGACAATTAGCCATTACGTTAGACGTTGTCGATGTAATACGTAGATCCTCATCCTGCTGGAGCGAGGAGGTAAACTTTAAATTTAAATAAAGAGTTATGCATTTTAGAGGAATAAGAACATAATTGCTTGTTCCCGATGGCTTCACGAGATGGCACTTTGGTCAGACAAAATTGACAAATATCAGTCAAAACTTCCCGCCACGATTTTGCACTGGTTGGTATAATGTAAGCCAGCATTGAAATCGCAAGGTCAGGTCATTGAAGGGAGGGGGCTTAGTGCGTCATGCAGCTGATGCATCCTTATCCTTTGCGGAGTGTGTTGAGGAATTTATGTATGCCCAGGAGGGACCGTGATCTAGACTCCCGGGGGCTTATTTTAAACGCCGGAACGCCTCCCGTAGGTCCATATTAATATGTACGTTGCAACCAACATCTGCATCCAATGTCACTTGTGCGCTGACCATGCCTAGAGAATAACACCGATCCTTCAATACAGGTGGACTCCAACTCTCTGCTGGCACTCGGAGGAAGATCATGGTAGAAAGCATGGTGAAGTTCATGTCCGGAAATTTGTGGTGAATTGGCTGGCCCAGGAGACTGAGCAGAGCTGCGAGACGAGAGATGACGTGAGGTTTCGATCTCCCACACTCGGCTCGTACATAACTCCGTAAATAAGGCGCATGAGCAGCCATGCAGTTAACAAAAGGCGGAGCAGCTACCTCACCCTCCAGAGACCTCGGTCATCCTGAGAGATGATTTGGCCTCGTTGTTAAACATAGGCTGCTCTTAATCAGTGAAGCCTTTGTTCCGCAAGTAGCTTGTTGACCAATAAAAATTGCACGACTGGAGATGTTCTCGGAACCTGAGAAATGGGAGCAAAGTCCGGCCGTGAGTGGTACGACAGCGCATTAGGGTATATTTGAGACCGTGCGATGGCGAGTAAAATCTTGCACAATCCGCTCAGGGTGAATAACACGCAGTCTGCTGATATCCCTTCATTGTTAAGACCCACGTAGACGGTAGTCGTAGCTAATGCCTTCTCTGCCCAAGATTGGGCATTGTACAATGGCTGCACAGGCTATAGCAGATCACTTTCACAACTTTAGAACGAAGCTTTGGTTCCCAGGTCCAGGGAATAATAGAGTATCAATTGTAGTGATTGTAAATAGTTCAACATAGATGAATTTGCCAATTGCTCTCAAAGCTTGCATTCATCAACCACACAAGCGCACAGGGGGATTTGGGCAAGTTTTAAGTTTCATGTCTCTACTTGAATCAGTAGCTGTTGCCAGGCAAGTCGGCCTTGGCGGCCCAGGCTTCGATCTCATATGAAAATGAACTCAGGTACTCTCGGAAAAACAGAAGACAAAGGAGTTCCACATTTCAAAATGCATGTAATTTTCTTGCTAGCAGATATAAAGCCACGGGAGCTAATACAAGCGAAAATATTGTTTATACTGCGCGTTGTGTACAAAGCCACTAGCAAAGCCATGTTTCAGTGAACCATAGTTTTTCGTCCAGCCTTTGTTCTGGAGCTCAAGTTTGGTCCTTGAGTCACAGCTGTACCGTAGAAAATTCAGAGCGAATCACACACGAAGCGTAGTTCACATTCTCATCAACGTTATTCTCGTGCTTCGACATCTGATCAGCCTTCATGAATCATAATTGTTGTCGAGTATAAATGGCGACACATATTCCAAATGGTGCCTTACAATCTTGGCCATTACCATTCTCAGATCACACCTTTTCTGTCCTCAATTGCCACCCACACACTATATACTAGACTTCTTGAAATTTTCGCGAACATGTCACCTGAAACCACATACGTTCGTCCTACCACCCCTCAATGCAGGCTCAAAGCACATTCAAAAGTACCGTGCTGTTGGGGTCTAATCCCAGAATATGACGAAACATTTTGCCTCCCCCCAACCATGGAAGACCGCGCACGACCGTTCTATCTCTTCCACTTGGAATGGAGGCAAGAAATCCAGGAGATGGTATCTCAGAATCAAGAGGGCTCTGGAATCGACATGGATGCTCTCAAAGACATCTCTTACATCAACGTCCGGACTACTTGGGAGGGATATGGAATATGGGACGATGCACGATGGAAGCACTTGCCAGGCATGCGGTGGAGGTATGAACATATTGATGGGGGAAATTGAGCTCGAGTTTGGGGGTATTTTGAACGCCCACGTTCATACAACATAGTTTGTCGGGCAGAAGATTTTGGCTCAAAGGTCGGAAAGTTTGTTTGATAGCGATTGTTTACCTACAGATTATAGGCGAAGAACGTGTTGGCATATGATACGAATCTATTCTTTCTATTCAAGCTACTGGACAATGGAATCATTTATCGACCACGCACACGTGACACGAAGGCTGAATTGGCCAATACAAAAACCATCCTCTGGCTAAATGGATATTCATAGGTCATGAAACCTTATGGCATGCGCTATATTATTTCTACGGGACAAGAAAGAAATCTTCAATAAGCTGAGCCTGAGACCGTTGGGCCGTTAATAGGGAAGCTGAGTTATCTCACCACAGAGGAAGGAACTTCTCCAGTTGCCGGATGGTCATAAGTTTATCACGACCGCCACAAGCCGTTAATAGCTAGCATCGATTAATTTCTATGTTTGAGTTGCGTATTTTACAGTTGTCTATATTTGTATAGCTGTTTATCTCTCTGCCATTGGGTAATGTGTTGGCCTATAAAATGCCCAAATTTTGCTAACCCCAACGCAAAGATGAGAAACATGAATCACCAGGCCTGTTCAGGCACAGGTAGTGGAATTGATCTTTGAGACACTAGTGGATCAGTGAACGCACTGGCCGATTATCTAGAAGTTTAGATACCCTTCATTGAATATCGGTGTTGGTTTTTGGCAGCTCCTTCGGACCAAGCAAGATACGTTCTCGATATAATATGTGGCATTACCAACTGTGTCAAGTAGCTATGTAGCATGTGCATCAAATATTGCTTCCTTCTAGCTGTTTCTATTGATCCCTCTTTTTTTTAATCTCACACAAGAGATACTACTACCCAAGCGAGATGGATAAACACAACCCTATAGGCCCGCGATGATTCTTAAATCACCACGCACGAGTCTATTTCTACTTACCGGTACCACACACCAAAACATAGAAGCATACCATGATGCTCTTCGCCAAGATATTTGCGTTCATCATTATTAACTTCCCTCTTAAAATAATGCGCTAGTTTCCTCGGTCATTAAGGGTAAAATTCTAATATTTCCGCACAACAGAGACCCGCTGAGAAGTCGCCCGCATCAGGTCCTCATCAGACTCGTGTTCGGCTTGCCAGGTTTTCTAGTTACACATGATCATGAATGGCTTATTTTTTAGGTCCCGATGCTGCGCGATCTGACGTTGGGCGTACCATGGGAGGTGGGCAACCGGGATTCACCAACAGAACGGGTGCAGGCAATCAACTGATGGGATATCGGTGAAAGGACAAATTTGAAGGACTTGTCTCATTTTTGTGGACTGCTCCACGTTGGGCCAACAAAGTAAAACGCTGGTAGCTTGGCTAAGCTACCAGGTGGAGCTCGCTTGGGAACCATTCCGTGCAAAGAATCCTCTGCAAATCTATAGAAAAGGCATCTGCCAACTAGTTTAGCAGGTTTAGATGCACCTGATCAGCTGGTGTGAGGTGCGTGCAACCTCGTGCAAACAGGGCTGAAGAGAAGCCCGATGAGACCATCATCTCGATCGGCTTTAGGTCTAATTTGGGATTCATCGTCCGAGCAGCTCCACAAATCAAATCGTAATTCCGCGGAAATCCACAGTTGTCACTTGTCAGCACGAGTTTTGGAACAGCCGCCAACTGTCTCTCACCCCTGATTCCTGAGTCGGTCAGGGAAATGAGTGGGCCGTCGCCACGTTTGATATGTGGCTTAACTAAGATCCCAAAGATGACTTGTTTTTCCCTCCATTCGCGTCGTCATCCGGCATAGCCGTGCAGATTAGCTACAGAGTTTAAACCCTAAAGCAACTGATCTGTATGAGAGAAAGCTGTGCAATATCAGGCTCTCACTGGTTAGCACGGCACAATGGTCGGAGTTCCCGGACGGTCCCGAGGATGCGCGACCTGCCGCAAGCGGAAAAGAGGCGTGAGTGATGGGCCTTGTTGCAACCACAACATATGCGTGTCAGATCGGGGTGTGATATGCTAATTCAGCCTCCCAGTGTGATAGATCATGGCCGTCTTGTGGCCAGTGCCAAAGTGCCGGCGTAGAATGCGGTGGTTATGAGAAGAAGCACATATTCTTGGTCAGCACAGCAGAAACAGTCCAAGGGGGCTCAACCAAGCTGAACACGGCCTTCTACTCCAAAGACAGAGGCGAGAACAAGCCACTCAAGATAAAACAATATCAACCACGGAACACGCAACCAAGCCTGGAACTGCTTTCCAATAAGCTTGCACGCAGTGCTTTTGAGGAGAACGTCGTGAGCGAGTTCTGGGATTGCTATCTTCCGAATGCACGCTCAGCCTTGTCCAGTATAGTGCAGTATTCAAGTGTTGGATGGGTGGCAGCCGCTCAAGAGATGTTCCAGGGGAACCGAGTCCTTCGAAGAGCGGTTCTAACCAATGCTGTGGGATTGTGGGCGCGGAAGAAAAATATCCCGCAGATGCTCCCTTCTTGCCAACAAATGTATGGACAAACATTGCGCTCAGTCGCGAGTTATCTCGGAAACGCAGATGAGCAACAGGACTTGACATCTATTATTCTTGTTGGAAGCATGCTATGTTTGTACGAGGTAAGGCCATTCCCCGCTCTATCAATGCTGTTTCAATTTGTTGAAGCTTATCTCGTAGTGTACGTATGCCCCAGGCTGCGATTTGTTCAACCCTAAGCAGATGGAAAAATACTTTGCCCATGTATTCGGGTTTGAGGCACTTATGATGTCAAAAGACCCTTCATTTTACGCGCAGGGCATCTCACATTACGTCTTTTGCGATACGCGTATTCAACAGGTGCGTCAGAATCCCATAGATCGCCCATTCTTCTATATCTAACATTAGTATAGATCACTCTCCAGTTGCAGCTACGAAGAAAGGCACCACTTGCCGACAAGAAATGGAAAACGTTGCCTTGGATGTATTTACCGAAAACAACGAAGGATCTTCTCATTGATATCATGGCAGATTTATGCTGTGTTATTGAAAAGAGTGATTCCATCGCGCTTCAAGAATCAACATCAAAGCTGGCTTCTCAAAAGGAACAGCTGGTGTTAGAATGCTGGAGGCTCCATCAAGAGATGCAGCAATGGAAAGCCGGAGCTGGCTACCCAGCTATCCAATATCTGAACAGAGCCAAAGCGGGTGTAGGGACGAGAGTCGAGCCAACAGTAGAAGAGTGCGCAATCAGTGAATTGTCTCTCTTGTATTGCTCCACATGCATCATTTTGTACGAATGTCTTCGGACAAACTCCGACCAATCCGATGTGGCTGATTGGCCTGAAGAGACGGACCCCCGCCTGTACTGCCATAAAATCGCCTCGTTTGTAGGATTCTTCATGGCATTTGACCAAGGGCGCATAGTTACAAACCAGGTTATATTTGCCGTGCTAACTGGTCTTCAATTCATCACTAGACAGGAGGCACTAGGGGAGAATTTGGTTGAAGAAAAAATAGCCCTATTCATGGGCTTGGGGGACTTGCGTGAAGTTGTTTTGGGAGCAGTTAGTGGTGTTAACCAAGCCTCGGCGACACATCACGTCAAGGAACTATTAGCATTGAAGTAGACGACCAGAAACAGTGGTCAATCACTCAGTTAGCTGATTTCAGTGTACTGATTTCGTTCTGTCCATATAGACAACCGAACCGAACTGGCTCGAAGACCGCCGTCTCAAATCCACAGATACTTGATGGCTGAACAAAACATTAGAAATATTACATCCATGGCAGCTCCAATCCTCTCGCTTAGTTCTAGCTAGAAACTCTTAAGAAGACTCAAATCCGAATGTTTCTTGAAATAGGTGTCATTTTGTTACTCAAGCCCATCTTTACCCGCTTTACCGAATCTAAGTTAAGTGATTAGACCCGACTCAGAGACTTAATTTGATGACTCCATGGCCTCTGGCGAACAGTCACCTTCTTCATGTGTGACATTATCGATAAATGGCCCACCTCTTGTGTTGAAACTGCCCGCATGTTCAGAGATTATCGGAAAATTAATGTCATGATCCCGTTTCTTTCCATCATTATGTTATCCACAAGATTGCTTGCTAATACGAAACCGATGAATCCCTGTCGTGGCTTACTAATTGACGATAGCATCATATATAAACTAAACCCATATTTTCCTCTGGTTGAGTCATACGTGAGCAAGGACGGACACAACATATCCAACAGCCACAATATTGATCTACAATGGTAGCAACAAAAGTAGAACTAATTCCCTGGGACCCAGAGTCTCCAGACCATATTGCAAGACTGGTACTGCATCGGGAAGAATGCGGATGGCACGCGCAGAAGGTCGCGGGCGAATGGGCCGACAAGCAGCGAGCCGGCACGAAATGCATCTATTGGATCGTATGTAACTACGCACTATCTTGGAACCATAAAGCCTATAAGCCGCTAACTCCGAGGCTTTGGGAAGGTCTTTCATAGTGATGGATCCGCGGATTTTGACGCCGCCATGCAGAAGCATTCGGCGAAGCACCCCTCGGTTAGTAATTGTTTCATTTCTCTGCTTCTGAAGTCGCGTTATTGACTGTGACTAGGATAAAACACTCCTCCTGGACACCAACAAGTCACTGCGAGGCACCCCTCGAGTCCCCTCCGGGGCTCAATTTCATCCTGTCGGACACATTTCACTAGACAGCGAAAATCCAGACGCAGCAGATTTCGGTGTGAAGGCACCTTTGAAAGACGCATGGTAGATCAAGAGTCTTTACGTCTTCCTTGAGTTGCGTAGCTTCGGGATTGCCCGAAGCGCAATGGATCAAGTCGAGAGCCAAGCGGTCAATGAGCCGCTCAACGCCCGCCATCTCATGCTCGATACCGGATTCAAGGAAGATGTGAAGAACCCAAATCTTGGGCCACTCTTCTATGGGCAGATACCTCCGGTAAGTAACAGGCCATAAAATAGCTGGCGTTAGCCCTAACGCTTATTTATCGTTAGTTGACTCCTCACGAGTGGTACGAACGCAGAGGTTATCGCGTGATTCAGACGGTGAAAGATATGTACCAACTCGACGGCAAGGATATGGGTATGAGGACGGTAATCTTGCAACGAGATGTCGTCTAAGCATACGGGCTTAGCAGTGCAGATAGCCAAAAAGAGTTCGATATATCTCACGACCCTCTCACCTTGTGATTTATTGTTGTGTTCACCGAGAGAATGCTCTTCGCTGTTCTACTTTGATACGAATTTGTACTGCGGTGCGCAACTTATTTCTTCTGCTAGTGGATGGTTGACTTGTTTGCCCTCCATGCACCTGAATCCAAATAACTAAGCGTTCACGGATTGGGGCACTGCTGTTGCGCCCATCATTGGGAAGACCATGATAAATTTCAATCAACTGAAACCGATGCCGCCCCCCCCCCACAGTTGTATTGCTAGAAGACCTCAATTAACCCCTTTGCATTCACCAAGCAGACCTCCTCGGCCCTTATCTAAGAGATGATTGTTCTACAGGTTTCCACTCGTCAGGGAACTCTGGTGTCGGCCATTGATTACTGGTCTCTTCTTCTTCTCCTTTCAAGCGAGCTGACATACGTTCCAGGTACGATTCCTCAGGAAACAGCTGTGCCACACCAGGGACCTCTTCCTCAATCCCTTTCACTTCCTTCAGGCTTGGGAATCTCGCTTCCTTGTTGATCAAAAATTCGTTGACGTGTTCATCAACATCGATGTTTTCTCCCTTCTTGTAACCATACAGACAGAAAGACTCCAAGTTGGGTGGCAAAGCATCGATGAGCCGAAATGGAGGCAGACGCGCAAGGCGCTCACCAAGCGAATTAGGAGGGCCTAGAAGCGCGTAGATGCCGATACTGAGGTGGGTGAGGGAGGTAAAATCATGGAGCGAGCCTATTGTCCACCCATAACTCTCAAGAGCGATTGGGGTCTTCTGAACTAAAAGACGAGTCTCCTGGTCCATCTTGTAGTAGTCTCTACCAAATTCCTCTATATCAGAATCCCCGTCATCAGTGCCATCAGTGCTGTCTAGAACTTTTCCTTTGCAAGTAGATTCCAAAACGCACAAGTCCAGGTCCAGGTCAAGCGCTGCTACGGTTTCTTTGTGCTGTGCTAGCGCTCTCCCGATGGACTGCGGGTGGATTGTTGGGACGCCACCATCCATATGTTCCTTCCCGCCCAGTGACACCTTGAGATTGACGAGGACCTTAGGTATACTAATAAGGAGTCCAAGAAGAAAGTCATCCATATCGACATGCTCCAGCTTGAGGGTCTTCATATTTCCGGTCCGCGGAATGAATGAAGTATAATAGGACTGATACTCCTGGAAACTGTCAATGGAGATAGCGTTGATTGCCGGGAGGCGGTGGAAATATTGGAAAAGTCTGAGGAACTCAAGGTGGCCGTAAGTTGTCTCTAAATTCCACCACCATCCAGGCAAGACCTCGACTTTCTTCAGATTCTGTAGGCCTGGTGCCTGCAACAGGCCATAGTTGGTCTTGAGAAGATAGTCCTCCAGCATGGGGTTGAAACCTGACAACGGTTGCGCCATGTGCAAGGTGGATATATTCTTGCAAAGGCTGAGCAGGACAACGGCTGCGAGTCCAGCGAACTCGTCTCGCAGGTAATCGGGCTCAGAAGGTAAGTCTCCTGGCTGCCCTTTGGGCGGTATCTCTGGCCGGTTCGTCCACAGTCGTAGTACGTGCAACATTGCCTTGGTCTCTCTATCACCAAGGCCAAGGCTACACACATGCTTACGTACCAGATCGCCGGCCACTCCCAAGCTGGGCTCCCGGGGCTCATCAGGAGGGTAATCATTTGGCCAGGAATAATCCGACGATGAAAAATCCATGACTAGCTCTGTAACAGATTCTGCCAGTGAGGGCTGCTGGATATAGGCGGTAAGAAGAGGGTAGAGCCGGTCAAGGTCAGAGACACAGAGCCTCTGCCACGCTGTGTGCTGCACCAACGGCGATGAAACACCCGATTTGGTTGACATGGCCAGCCGGGGAAGCCGTTGGGTCTGAGCAACAATTGGACGAGCTACAGCTGCAGACGCGACTCTTGTGAAGCGGGCCGCGTAGAGGCCTCTGAAACCGCGTGAAGCTATCGCGATTGGCATGGCGTCTTCTCAAAGAGTACCATCAGAGACGCTGTTGAGGTCACAGGAGGTTAGATATGGGGTTGAATCAATCCCCTTGGTCGTTTTTATCTTCCGGGAAAGGAACGCATGCTGAAATTTTGATCTGACAGGACCTGGGTTCATGTTGTGTCAGCAAGCCAGCTGCCTAGTTGCCTACCCTAGACGCGAACGCTCCTGACTTGAGTTTGATGAGATGAAGGGCTCCAGGTATCATGATCTCGCCTGAGGAGTAGGAATTTGGCGGACATGGTGGAACAAATAACGAGACACATCAATGGCGTGTTGTGTCAGAGAAGTCTAACAACCAAAGTCTCGTTGCTTTATTGAACTGGGTTGAAGCCTCATCAGCTGCCAGATGGCAGCTTACTCGAGTGAACAATTTAACGTCCCTTTCATGGGTTTCGCTCAAGACTGCTTTCATGGGGGCAGGTTTGTCAACCACAAATTCGTCCGCGTTGATTGATCTGGTTTAAAAAACAGGATCGTATTAGATGTCTGCGTGCATCTCCAGGCCTCTTCATTCGCAGAAGTGTGAGTTGACGTAGACCACACCATTTCTTGATTTCGGCATTCATACCGATTGTGGATACTCTGGAGTCTGGACTGATGAGGCGGATCCAGGTACGACCATGGTGCTTGCTTACAGGGGACTCCTGGTCTGACGTATTCCCACTGGAGAAGGTGACGGCATCGTAGGGACACTCGGGTTTTGAACTAGCTTTCATCAAACCAGAGCTCCACTCACTGATTGGTCAACCATGACCAATCCTTGCTCCTACAACATTGAACTCTCGTTGATGACGAATATTGGGATATTCGATCTAATACAGCCTGGCTGTCACCCACCAGGGTTCCACATGTCACTTTGTCATGCTCAATCCCACTCGGAGCTCCCAAGTGCATGGATACCACGGCTGAATGTATATCCGGAGTGGCATAAAGGAGATTGGGAGGAACAGACGAACCACTTCCACCTCAAAAAAAAAGACAATTACACTTTCGGTGATGGGGGTTTTGACCTGCTTAGACAAACATGCCGGGGAAGAGCCATAAAGCAAAACATGGCGCTTTGGAGACTTCATGTATGCTCAGTGCCTGAATAAATGGCGCTCTAGATGATCGGCCACTCTCGCTCTGAAAACGTTTTATTAGAAAATCCGCTAGAGCTAAGAAGAGTTCCGGAAAACATCTAGGCTAAATAAGGCATCCTTGGTGCATGATGGAGCCCCTATTCAGATTGATAACGACATGCTGTGGAGAAACGCAAAGACTGCAAGCCTGGTATCGAGACAGAAGTCATAGATTCTGCTATTACTTGACTCCTGTTAACAAAGAAAGGGAATTAGGGGGGCACAAATGTCATATGTGATAGAGAGAAAGTCGAAAAGAGGAGGAAAGCGTTGCATGGACACCAACCGTCTTCCTCAAGATTCCCAACAAATCTACGCAAGTGGATTCGAGCCTGAAAAATAAAGATGAAACGGATACCCACACACCGCTGCCGGAACTACCGAATGTCAAAGCAAGTCAAAATACGGAGTAGTAGACAGCAGATCGTCCGGCTTTTGAACTTAGCGTCAAGGCAAGCGGAAGTAGCGCTCACAAGAGTTAGTTTCCGCGGAATGTGAGTGAATTTCATCTAGTGGCAGCCGTGCCTGAATCCTTCTCGTCTGGGATGAGCTATATGTGCTTGCATGGTCGTCGTTTCTTGGCCCGCTTTTTGTCCCCCTGAAGTATATAAATACTTACTCTAGCCGTACTTGATGATAAAAACCAAGAGACATTAATGTCTAGTTGCATCGTTGAGGTTAACTACCATGCGTTTCGTATCAAGAACTGGACAAGTGGCTCTGGCCCTGGTGGGTAACTCTCTCGCCGCCTGCGCCAAAGGCAACACTACCACTTACGACTACATTGTTGTCGGAGGTGGACCAGCGGGCATCATTACAGCCGAGCGAATCTCGGAAGCAAACAAGAAGGTTCTTCTTATCGAGAAGGGACCTGGACCCACTGTCTCAACGGGATCCAACCATACCCTCGTCTGGAACGACACTCTGACACCTATCGATGTTCCTGGTCTAACAACTGCCATTGGGGGGCTGGATCTCTGGCAGGAGTATACCTGCAAAGACCACGAGGCAACTGCAGCATGCGTCCTCGGAGGAGGTGTCACAATCAACTACATGGTCTTTGTTCACCCGCCCGAGCATGATTTCGACGACAAGTGGCCGGCAGGTTGGAAGTGGGCAGACATCGCCCCTGCTGCCCAGAGGCTGTACCAGAGGAACCCAGGATCCAATACTCCATCAACCGACGGCGAGCGATATGACCCGGGCATGTACGATATTTTCTCGACTTTCCTGAATAAGCTGGGCTGGAGGTTAACCGATATGTCGGAGCAAGCCAACGACAAGCACATGGTGTACAGCCACCCGACCTGGAACATCAAGAATTCTAAGCGCGCAGGCCCCGCCCCGTCCGCACATATCTGCCTCTTGCTCAGCAGCGAGACAACTTTTCTCTGCGCCTGGGAACCACCGTCATCCGCCTCGTCCGTGAGGGCTCCCGCGTTACTGGCGTTGAGGTCCAGGGATCTGACGGTACTCGCGAAATCATTCATCTCTCTAAGAATGGAAGGGTTGTTTTATCTGCCGGTGCGCTTGCAACCCCGCGTGTGCTTTTTAACTCGGGCATCGGCCCCAAGGAGCAGATCGAGGTGGCAGCAAAGACCGGTGTGACATTGCCACCCCAGAAGGACTGGATTGAGCTCCCTGTGGGCAAGAACTTCAAAGACCATCCTATTTTTACCCTGGATATCCAAACCAATGGCATATGGGGACCCCTTGATAGCGATATTGTCCTTGATGGAAGCGACACCAAGAACATCGACTTGTATGAGACCGCCGGCTCTGGCGTCCTGACACAGGGCAGACACCGTCTCATCTTCTTCAGCTCGGCTGTTGGTAGTGATGGTGCCACCCGGTACTTCCAGGGCTCAGCTGCGCCATCAGGAACTGGACTAATCTCTCTTAAAGTGTACCTCACTCACGGATTGACTTCGGAGGGAGTGTTGGGACTGGCAGAGGATGGAAAGACCAAGATATTGCAATCGCCATACCTGCAAACAGAAGCTGATGTAGATGCTGCCACCACTTTCATTGGAAGCTTTGTTGAGAATCTCCAGTCTTCTGAGCTAGGATTTAAGATCAAGAACTTTACCAATGTTTCTGCCATCATCAACAACCCTACCAGTGGTGTCCATTTTGTTGGTACCGCTAAGATCGGCACTGATGATGGACGCAAGGGAGGCTCATCTGTTGTTGATACAAATGCCAAGGTGTACGGAGTGGATAACTTGGTGAGTAATAATTCAAGAGCATTTGTCGTATCTCGCTAACTCGGTCTTCCAGTTCGTTTCCGACGCCAGTATTCATGCTGATCTTGCCAGCGGTAATAGCCAAGCAATTGTGATGGTTGTTGCCGAGGCAGCAGCAGCCAAAATTCTGGCTTACAAATAGACCTTCATAGAAGAGACGTAATATGTTTAGGGGGCAGATATACAGATTCGTTGATAAGGTGTTATCTGGAGAACTGCAAACTATAACTAGCAATAGACGAGGTGCCATCAGCTAGATTTCTTGACTGCTAAAGAAATTATCTAAAATAATGTGCCCAAATAAGTTATGTTCAGGGGAAGAAAAAAGACTATATGGTCCCCACCATCTTCAACAACGTTTCTGAGTACTGTGTGGCACTAGGCCGATGGATCGCTTATAATTTGTTCTGTGGCTTGTCTCTCGACAATCGGATCATCCCCTCTTGGAAGCAAGATGCTACCAATGTCCCATCTCTATTCCAAACACGCTGTACGACGAGACCCCTCTCATCACCGGCCCACGGGGTCTCCATCTCCGCAAGCATCCAGTCATCTGCCCTGATAGAAGCCTGGTTATGAAAATATATCGAGTGATCCAGAGTTAGCATCAACTGGATGTTTGCGCGTTCTGCGTCTGACTTGATGGAATCCTTTGTGTACTCTTCCGCCTCTTCCCGGGCCAACCCATCGAAACTCCCAACAACATCCCTGGTTTCCGCCTCTACATCCAATAACGAAGATATGATAGGCTGAATGGACTGTTCGTTGTTGAATCGCTTGCCTCCATGGGCACGCGCAACGGTACCGATGAAATAATTGTCAGTCATATACGCGAGTGCAGCAAGGTGTGCTCTTTGACTGGAGGCAGGAGTATCAAGACTCTTCGAAGAATTTTGTTCGTTTGCAGCCGGCCCTCGTGCTCTGATCCATTGCCGTAATTTTTGTCGCTCTGGTTCATCTTCAGAACGGGCTGGCGGAATTCGAACACACTCATACATGCTCCCATTCCGTGTCTGGCCGGCTTCAGCCAGAAGAGCCGGATCCACATCCTGGTCGGGCCTCGAGGGGGGACCTTGCTTCAGTATCTCAGCTGGCATGGATACTTGGTGGTTCATCCCTCGCCTGGTACTCGGTGATTCAACGAAGAAGCTGATGGTCGCGGTGAAGACGCACTCCCCAGATTGGAATGCCTTGACCACTCGAGAAGCCACGCTTTTCCCGTCGCGCAGGCGTTCGACATGATAGAAGGTGGGCACTGTGGTTTTGGCGGAAAGGATGAAGCTCCCATGCAGACTGTGCACCACGAAGTTGGACGGGACTGTGTCCTGGGCGACGGCGAGGGACTGCCCGAGAAGAACTCCGCCAAAGACACCACGGCCCCATATCGGATGCCATGGAGTTTCTGTGGCACGGTAGACGTCTTTGCCCTTCTCAGGTGCTGGAGTGAAAGATTGGGCCCAGCTTAGAAGGGCGTTGGCGTTGGCCATTTTGGGAAATAATGGCCGTCTTTTTGTCTCTCTCCGACGTTATATAACCTTCAAATGGCAAAGGGAGAATTTAAAAATTTATCTACACCTATGAGGAAAGAAATATCATGGGAATGTTGGCCCGGCATAGAAGTTAACCCCCCGGCGTTTGAGCACACCAGACACAGCTCGGGGAATCGAAGGTAATCTTATTAATTGCCTCGGCATCTAGATAAGGAGGGGCTCAAGCCGACGGATAATATCCGGATGGTCTTTGGCCCTGTAAGAGATGGTTGTTGACTCAGCAACCATCTAGGCCTCCCTTTTTAACTTTCCCTTTAACTTACCCTGCATCCCGGTAATCACACACTGTGGGTAGGTACATAGAGAGGTTCTCTCGACGATTGATTTCGTGCTCCAGTCTTGATGACTTTCTACAAAAATATCTTAGGAATTATTCGGAAATATGCGAGATCTGTTTATTTGAGAAAATAACTGGCACGTGAAAACGTGGAACCAATCGTAGACACTGGCAGAGCTGAGCGAAGTCGCAGATTAGGTTGAGCCAATTGTTATCACAATACCTGACTGCCGTGGGATAAAATCATAAAAAGTAAAGATGGGTTTGTTATTGATATCCTAAAATAGTCTTTGGCAGAAAATAAACCAGAGTGTTAATATGACTGCCACAAATTAAAGATCGACTACAGCCTGGTGTAAATCGACTAGACGCGGAGTTCCACCGAGTCCGTGTCCCGTAAATTCCTTATTCAACCTCTAAATAGGAAGAAAATTCGATCCGGCTTACGCCCATTTTCCAAGGAAGCTCATGAGGACCATGCCGGCAACCAGACTGAACATGGCAAGACCGGTAGTCAGCATGTTGGCGTTGGTCACGTCGCCTCCGAGCATCCAGTCATGAGCCAACATCTCCACGACACCGACCCAAATGAGAATACCGGCCGAAAGCGCATCCAGGGTGCCGATTGCGATGATTGTAGAAGGATCGTTGCCGTTGAAGGAATGAAGCACACCGATACCAATGGCCATGCCGACCGGGGTGACGAGCGCAAATCCCGTAGCCATGAGCAGCTTCTTCAACATAGAAACGGAGCTGGGCAGTGTACGATCGACTTCGGGGGGAGGGGCATCGTGAGCGTGAGTGTGGACCGTTGAGGTTTTAGTGAGTACGGTGCTGTAGCCGAGAGATGCAATTCGGGTACCCAAGGCAATACCTTCGAACAGTTGATGGAAGATAATGACGATGGAGAGGGTAATGTAGAATGAATCGCCTGCAACCACTGTGGTGACACCGATTACTGGAGTTTAAGTTAGCCGATGTATGTCCCAGGACAAAGGAAGGAAATGGGTTTGAAATGAACGTACATAGAGAGTGGAAGATGATACCAGCCTCCATGATGGTAACATTGGTCGTCTCGGCCTTTGCAATGGCGGCAGGTGTCAATTCAGCGTTTCCCTCGATCGCCTCCTTCTCTTGCTGCCATCGCAAGAGTCTAGAAACAACGAATTCGATGACGAAGGAGATAAACAGACCAGCCATGACAATGGCCGCCGTAGTCGCCTCGTACTCCAGCCCCGTCAGGCACGAATTTCCGAACATCAAGCTGGCGTGGGTGAAGAGCTATTGGGATAAAATTTAGTGAAGTAATGGAGCGTGTGGGATTTACGCGGATCTTACATGGGCAAATGCTGTTGAAAGAATGATACCGGTTCCGAACTGCTTCAGAATGATGAAGATGATATTGGTCTTGACTTGAACGAAGTTGGACAAAAGGATCGGCCCGAAAACACCTATTAAACGGTAGTGAGCATGGAACACCAAATGAAAATATGAGTTGATGTAATCTCGTACCAACTGCGCTTGCGACAAGAGTAACAAAGAGCATTCCGATACGAATGGGAATCTTGTACTCTCTTTCGTTCCGTTCGCATGATGTGGTGGAACTATCATTTTCAGACTCTCCAGCCCCGACACAATGTCTAGAATCCCCGTATTAGATTGATAATTCAGTAAAAGTCAATGCTGGGCAGAAAGCATACTCGACGCCAGCATGGAAATGGCAGTGCTTCTCGTCTGGGTTCGCGTTTCCAGACTTGACATCTTCGGCCAGGAGAATCGCCACTTCATCAGTATCGGTCATACAGTACCTACACATATGTCAGTTAGATAAAAAGACAGGGCAGGCTACATTAATTAGAATAGAAACTTACGTCTCTGTTCCATGATTGTGGCACCCAGTAAACTGAGCTGGAACATCGGACGTAGCAGTGACAGTTGTTTGGACGTAATACTCTGTCGAACTAGCGGAGCAAAACCTGGATAATATTGTTAGAGAATGCGATAGAGCCTAGAGTTAAGTATGGCCATACAAAGAACTAGATGAAAGGTGACAATCGGTGATGGCAGTGATACTAGGCCCGGAGGTTGTCGAAGAGCCGGTAGCTGTACCGTGCGAGCTGTCGGATGTGATGGTGGCATCCGCGTTCACCACTTGAACCTCGCCATCAGAACTTGGTTCCATACAGTACCTGAAAAGAAGTGAGCGTTAGTCATTTGGGAGGGATCATATAGCCTACGTAGCGGTGCCATGATTATGGCATGCGGTGTAGGAAGCTGGAGCGTTTTCGGTTGCAGTCACAGTCGTTTCGGGGATGATGCGATATTCAGAGCTCCCAGCCATGCAGTATCTTGAAATAACCCAGGTTAGGCTATATTAACTCCCAAAGTCAACTGGAAATTACTCACTGAGCCGTTCCATGGAAATGGCAGCTGGTGATCGACTGGAATGAGACAGGGGCTTGGGAGGTGGTCGTGGGATCAGCCCGCCCAAAAACAGAAATTGTTGTGGCATGAATGCCACAGGCAAATAGAAAAGCTAGAGGGCGCATTTTTTGCAATTTCTTTTCGAGTCCCGAAGCAAGAGGTTGTTGCGCAAGGCTGCGTCGACGGCCCCTATGTTGGGTTTGTCTCGGGTGATGGGCAGATGGTAGCAGGAAGGGAAAAATACGAAAAGCAAGAGGGTTGGGACATTAAGTAACTGAAAGGAAGAGACCAGTCAGCGCAAAAGTCCTGGAACCGTGGTGGGTGTGGCGTAAGTCTCTTTCTCGATTAAGTTCAAGGTCCGCCCTCAACCCACCCACAACTCCAATATTCTTGATCCCTACTCCAACATGGTGCAACGGGGGCAGGCATTTTACGTCAGTAACATGATGTGCAGCACCCCCTGCTCTTCACCGCTGCTGGCGGGTAGCTACGGGTAGGCACAGCAGCCGTGTTAACCGTATAAGTAACGTTGAAAACAGAGTTATTTCAAGTGCGAGAAGGTAGGGGCTCGCGAACTCCGGGAGGGGTGGCTAGCAACATACCTTAATGGTTTTATCCACATGGCGGAGTCGATCTAGGTGGATATCGAACATGGTGGTCGCTCTTCTTCGAAAACAGGAAGCGTCCGAACTTCCTCGTCGAGGAGCCGCAAGGGGCCAGCGAAACCAACAACCAGTCAGCTAAAGGGAACCGAACCATGAAGGTACAGAGGCGCGGATCTCTCCCTTGACCAGATGAGCAACGAAAGAAATCTCATTCCTCTGCTACCCATGGCTGACTCAGTCCCACTCTTCTGGTGCGTTGAATCCAAAAAGGCTTGTAAGAGAACCT